TTGTTTCTCCTCATCTAAGGAATGACAAACTCTGCTAAATTGCACCTAATGATCTCAAACCATCATTTGTTCTTAACGCCTCTGAGCGCAATGGCCGTTTGTGCGGACACTCATTTTCGTAATTTCCCGGCCTGAAAGAAAATCCCACGCCGAAGCTCATTAACTGCAACTGCTCCTCGTTGCAGTTCCTGAGAATCAGCAGCTCGATTCATCAATCCACACAAGAAGACCGATGCAATTCAGCTCGAGATGCAATTCGACGTTTGTACAAATCAAAAGGCAGAAACGTCGCCGGCCGAAATGATGACGCAGCTCTCCTTTTCAATTAATTGTCGCTCGTATGAAAAAACCCTCTGCGACGATGGGTGGCCAGGTTTATACAAAACAACCATCGAGCTGAATACGAAAATCAGAGTGCTGCATACAAATAATAAAAACGAATTTCAATATTTTCGGTTAACAACGGGCAGCGAGGAAAAAACGTTCGATTTGACCCTCTCATCAAACCACTCTTGTGCATGCGAGCGATATAAAAAATGTAAATTGCGGTTTGGGCCGAAAACTTGTGTTGCGAACATAATTCCTTTCAATATGTAAGGCGGCCTGCTGCTTATTTTCTCTCTCTCAAAAAATTTGTTTCATCTGCTGCTGCGAAGAGCAAAAGGTCTTGAGGAGCTGGGGCGCGCGTTAATCTGAAGCAATTCACAAGGAACACGGGCGACAATGGTCACTCCCTTTATATCAACCAGGTGCGCCGGACTTTCGGGGAACGCGAGTACAAAGCCGACGTTATTTTGACGCATTTTCTGCTCCAAAATTCACAATCGATGGATGACCCGAACGCTCGGCATGGCTGTTTTGTGTGTGTGTGAGAGAAAAAAGACCCTTTTTTTATCATGCATTTGAGTGACAGCCAGCGACGGACTACGCAATTTTAAATTGCGATCGATTCTCAACGCCAGCCGAACAAGGAGTTGGTCGCAAGGGGTGCCGAGTTGTTAGGGGTTGCATGGGGTGCATTTCACTGACCAGCTCATCTGCACTGGACGCGTCTGTGCTCTGCGTTAGGGGTGAAAGAAATGCATCGCTGCTGCTGGGGACGCAAATTCGATTTCTTTTCTCGCTTCCTCCCTAATAAATATACACTTTCACATCTGCATGAATTTCCCTCACGTCCAGCACCACTTTCTTCCCGTATCTCCAATTCCGCTCGAAAAATCTCAGTGCACCCCTAATATATATTTTAGGCGATTTTCGCTGCAGGGTGGATGCGATTTTCAAGATGATGCTATCAATGAATCATGCTTTGGACATTGAAATCATCCCTATACAAGCGGGCAATCATTTCAATATTGTGCAACGTTATTGGCTCTATTTATATGGATGTGAAGTTTTAAAAATACACAAAATCATTCAAGAAATTTTATAAGAAAGCAAAATTTTTGAATACATATTTAATGAATTATTATTCTATCTGAGAACCAAGCAATATTTTTATTTTAAATTAAGAAACTCTGTGTTAAAATTGAAAAATATTTATAATTTTTTTGCAAAAAATAAGGCATCATAATTATTTAACTTTATCTAACTTAATTGCCATGCATAAATTTGTCTGATTGAATTTAATAATAATTCAAGAGAAATGCTTGTTAGCCAAATTTAGTAAAATAATCCAAACTGCCCCCAATCACATGAGCATCAGACCAAAAATAATAAAGAATTCGCCCTTTGTCGGGAACTTTGTCGAACAAAACCGCTTTTGATTGAACAGCCCGCAGAGAATTACGATTGCATCTGTTACGTCGCCCATTGTCCACTCGCTGAAAAACGGTCCAGTGTCGAGAGGCAGCGCCGATAATGAGCAACTGAATCGCGAATATATATCCAATCATGCATAATCCCCGTAACAACATTTACGCACTTAATAATTTACAGCTGGAAATCCGATCCTCGCCGCGCGGACAAAATTGTATCCATTTAGCTTTTTTGTTCCCATGCGCCGAGATGCATGAAAGGAAAATAAGTTTTGCATATTAGAATGGGTAACGGCCGGCCAATAATAACAATAATGGCAGCTGCGCGTCGATCGGCCGAAGGTGAAAGGGAGGGTTGAAGCCAACCCCTGCCTGTCCTGCTTGCACCCCTTGCGGACCGGGCGCGTTTTCCATGATGGCGATATTGACTGATGGACATGCACACACACAGTTGCTGGCCACTCCTCTCTCTCTATCCCTTTTATTAAAAACCGTACCCGTCCCTGCTCGGCCGCTCTTCTCTCCAAGGGCGCGCTTACTCATGCAATTTTATACCTCCGCGATCACTCATGTAAACACACCTAACTGCCTCCATGGTGTGTGCATAGCGTGTTGCAGTGGTCGACTATTAAATGCGCTTTGCTGTCCGACTCTATACGCAGCCCTCCTTTATTACTTTCTTTTCCGAGTGAAAATAATGTATTATTATTCGACGGCTCTGTCTGGCCGCCTTTGCGTTGCTGATTAGACGACCGAGATAATACAAAGTTTGTGCTGGTCTGCCAAGGGGTGAATTTGGAGAATTGAGGCAGCACATGATGTCTAGGGGTTTGGTCACTCGGAGATCAATCTAATCTTAAATATTTATTCATTTTTAAGTCTTCATGTGCTTTTTTCGTTTCAACTCCAGTTTATAGCTTGAGCCTACCCTTTCATTGTTTTTTGTTGAAATAAAATCCATCTTACTCGCTGAAGATGAGCAAAACCTTATTGTTTCTGCATGATATACAGAAAATCAGAAATTCATCAAAAAATGAGCAGCTCGTGTGTCAAAAGGTTCCACAACAGCAACGGCAAAAACCTCTAATTAGGTCCATTCATTGTCATTGAAAAAAAGTAAGCCTACTTTAAAATAAATTAAAGTTTAAATTTAATATTATAATTTAATGTTACATTTTACAGTATTTTTTTAGTGTTATTTAATTCATTTTTAGATTTTTTTTAATAGATATATTAACAACTGTATAATCAACAAATAATTCCTTGTTTTAACGCACTTTACATTGTTTATATCATTTTTAGTATACACGTAGCTTTACTGAAATTTCATTATTTACATATGATGCGAGTCCATCATTTTCCTCTTGACGTTGTGACATTGCGCTTTTATATAATTTATAATATATTGTGTAAAATATCTTTAAACATTGCCGCAGGGAACATGAAATACGTGTTGATTTTAGATAAAAAACAGATATAATTAACCGCCATAAATTTTGATATACATAAATAATTGATAATAATTTTAAGAGATTAACGGAAATTAAATCGACAAAGTCATGATGATAAAACTTGTGTGATTTCATCTTAAAAATTGAAAAAAAAGTTATTATTCAATGTTCTAAAACGAATTTAAATTTATAAATTGATAAGTGCTTATTTGCTGGGCACGCTTCCAAAGCAGCAGATGATTGCAATCGAATCGATCATTATTTCCCGCTCCATCAAACTTTTACCCCTATCATTTCGATTGCACGAAAAGCTGGAAACCATGAAGGGGTTGCACGCTGGGTTAGTCTTTATTCGAATGACATACAATTCAAGCACTCGCTCTCCACAGCGGGAAAAAAATGCAGGTATATAATACGTAAATAAAACATTGCTACAAAGCTGCACAAATTGCTCGGAAATAAATAATACAAGTCTTATCAGTCCACATGCATCTCTGGCGCATTTGTGGAAAAGGAACACAATTATTTTTGTTGTTATTTCGGCCGCTTTTTATATCTAAAGGGTCGGCTGAGAGAGAAAAAACGAAGCTCTCTCGCATAAAAAACACGTGACGCCAATTTTTTCCCAATACGGAGGCAGACGGTCGGCTATTTTTATTGCGCTTAGATGGGTCAGTGGCCAGGTCAGCGCCAGATGCGATCGTTATTATTATTTTATATACAAGTAGACAATGCTAGGCCATATCAGATGGTCGCTCTGTTAGAAAGCATGGCTCGTGCGAGAGGTGGACCTTCCTTCAAATTAAACTATTCGCGGGGCCTGATAGCGGCCGGGCGATAATTTGTGAGAAACGGGCGGGCGGCGAGCCGGCGCTTTTGATGCGAGAGAGACGGTTCTTGGAAAATTGAAAAAAAAGTATAAAATAAAAAAGAGAGGAGGCGACAGAAGGCGATTTGATATGGACGAAGGTCGTTTTAAACAATTTATAGCAGCTTTGTAGGATGAAAAAAACTTAAATTTAATTAGTGATGATTGCTGCATTAAAAATGAATTGAAATTATCTTATGATAAACAAAAATGTAAAAATAAATACCTAAAACTGCTGGTAAATAAGATTCAAAGCTTATTTTCATTTTCATTAGGTAAATAATTAAAAACGTCGTCCAGACCAAGCAAAACTATTAAAAAAGGTATAATTTTTTTATTTTTAAAGTTTGTTATTGATGGATCTGTTTATCATTTAATTATATCAAGATTTTAAAATTTCAAAAGTTTTATAGTTTTCTTTGAAGATTTAAATATTATTTTTATGTGAACGTTTTTGCTTATTTTGGAATTTGAGTGTCACAAAGGTGCACTTGAGACGGTCGAGATTCTCTGCACTTCCGGGAGGTGTCTTGTTTGAATAATGAGAAGTGCGTTTTTTATCCATGACGCACGAGCATAGAGAAAAGTGATGCTGCGCCGGCAGCTTTTTTACTCTCGTTGGCTGGCGTGTGTGCATCATTTATTCGGCGAGCCAAGGGCAGGTGGGACCCGGTTTTTTGGCTCGGAAAGAGGGGAATTGCCACGGAAAAATCTGATGTGTGTGTGGAGGGTGTGTTGTGTGTGTCTCTCTCTCTCTATATCCGTATTTTTAGTTTTCGTTCAGGGGTCGAAATAGAGGAAAAAAGTGGTGCAGCAGCCATCGGGGTTTGTCAGTTTTTGCCAAGGTCTGTAATCATCAACGGCACGCGAGTCGAAGCACAACTCAGTCAGTGATCGCAGCGCGTGCCTCGAGATAACACACACGTTGCGATTCTGCACTTTCGCGGCTCCCATTCTGTTTGTGTATCGCTTTTCCTTGGTATTCGAGACCGACATAATTGCTTTTTCAAATCTAATTGTAAGAGAAGGTCTTATACATCAAATTTGCTAATTTGCCGATGTGGTGCAAATCACCGCTTGGCCAGTATGCTTGACACTGTGGAACTGAGGAAGGGCAGAAAGCAAAGAGGTAAAGTTAGCAATTTTTATTTTTTACCGATCGTCGTGCATGCATGCTATTGTCTTTCAATACCTTTTGAATGCACGCGCACGCCATATTTATTGTATGGTAAATTCATCAAAATCTTTTTTACGAGGTTGTAATTAAAACAAAGACAACAGAAGCTTCTTATTTAAATTTACTTAATAAATAACTATATTTTATATATATTTAATAACTTTATTATTTTTTTTAAATGCAATTTTTTAACTTAAAAAAGATAACAAGTTATTTTACTTTTTATTTTTTTAATTACATTAAAAAGATTATTTGTGATAGTTGGAATTAATTTTGAATCATAATTAGTTTAAAAAAAACTATAAACTATAAACTTTTTTTATTTTATCCGTTTTATAAAGACAAACAGGTCCCAAACTGCAATGAATATATGAAAATAATCTTCTTTGGCAGAGTTATGCTTAGGATGCTTTAGCTCAATTAAATACTAAATGTATATTATACAAAAATAAAAATTTAATCTCTTTTTCAACCCAGCCCTTTTACTATGACAATGAATACTCTTTTGAAATAATAACTATCTGAAAATTTTGAGAAAATAAAGCATAACCATGACTTCTCTTTCTTCTGAGGTTCCAACGAGTAATTTTTTTCATTTTCAAACGACGAATGAGGGTTATAAACTCATTACGCACTAATGAAGTTATTATAGTAATTATCTAATCCACGCAGCAGCCACACACATGATTTTAACACTTAATTGCAGGTCCTGATAAAATCAAGTACAAAACGCGCCTGTCCGATAAGCTCGATAACGAGGCGCGCGTTTCTGAAAATTCTAAAATCAATCGAACTTGTGACGGCATAACGAGGAGAAAAGAGGTGATATCTCGAATAAAAAGAAGGAAAAAAGCAGCTGCACTCGAAATTGGAAGGAAAAAGCATCTGCGAAGGAGGTGCTATTATTGGCGAAAGAGAGAGCCAGCGAAGGGTGTGTTATTTTTTAGTAATTCAGGTAAAAGGCTGCTTTTTCCGCCCTCTCTTTCTTTGTTCAAGAGGGGGTTACCTATTTTTCGGAATACACATTCCCGTTAGTCTGCTGCTCTATGAAAATCGCGTATATTATAGAGAGGAGAGAGCGGGTAAGGAGAGAGAGATGCGAAAGGTTGTCCTGGATTCCTCCGATTTTCAGGCCACAAAAAACAGGGTGAAAGGATGCGCAGTTAGGGTTCATTTTCTCAACATAAAAGGGAAAAATTCGCTGCTGCTGCGGTGCGGTTTGGAAATAATAGAACGGGGATGTTAAAAACGAGTTTCGCTGGCTGATTGGACATGCGTGGCCTAGTTAGAGTTTAAGGAACCATGAGACGCCATTGGGGGTTGCAAGGAAATTTCAAGCATCAGGTGTTAAAAATGAAGGCTGACAATAATTTCTAGTAAATGAAGAAATTTTCAAATTTAAATATAAAGGTATTGTGAAAAATTATAACGAAAATTCGGAAAATTCAATAATTTGTGGCTATTTATTTTCCACAGAAAATAAAATAAATAAATAAATAAAAAATTCATTAAATCATAATAATTTGTTATAATCAATTTTGGGTCAGGTCAAGATAATTTATTTTTGTCAACCCTTTATAAGTTGAAAAAAGCACCACCTAATTTAATTAAAATAGTTAAACTAATACAATAATTTAAAATATTTACTAACCCAACCTCCCTGCCCACAAGTTTTATTTTACTTTTTAAAATAAAAGTAGACGTCCAAATTTAACAATAAGTTGTGGTCTTTATAGATGGCCACATTTCAGATTGCATAGAAACATTTTAGTATCGCTCTTCTTTATCCCAAAACTCCTTTAAAGAACCCGAGAATCACGATCTTAGATGCTGCTGGAGATATAATTGAATCGCCGGCCGGCTATTTCACGGTCCGAAATTGTTATTTTGCTCGTCGTCGGCGATATTTATTAGTGAAGCTCGTCGAATCTTTATTTCGGAGCATTATTCAGAAAAAAAGGAGATGCTTATGTGTGTGTTGTGCTGCTGCAACACTATCAATAGAAAAGTTGTTTGCCGAGTGTTTTGTCGGCATTGTGTGTGGGTTCGTGTGCTGTCCCCGAGCGCAGCACGTCTTGGAGAATCTGTCACCTTGCACGACGCACGCATCACTGCTTTTCCCCTGAAAGAGGAACTTTTCTTAGCAATCTTGCCTCTGCGCGCTGATTACAATAAAATATCTTTTGGCGTAAACATGCACGTGGCCGCGTGCACCTTTTCCCCGAAAGCTGCAGATTTTTCTTATTGCCGCCGATTGATCGGCCAGACGCACCCACCCCATATCTTTTATGATGGAAATAAAAATGGTTGAATAGATTTGTGAATGCAGTGAATCGCGTTACAAGAGGCTGATGCAGTTGCACGTCAAGATGCTTGAGAGGTGTAAAATTGTCCAAATTGCGTCAGGCCACATGTCACCTCTTGAGATTAAAATCACAAAAATATGTTTAAAAATTTATTTCTATGCCTATATTGATAAAAAATTTAATTTATTTTTTGCTTAATTATTAATTAAATATTGTGTGAAAATATTTTGTTCCCAACAATTTGTAATTTCAACAACTTTTTTAATCTCAAATGGAATTTTTGATTCATTATTAAAATTATTCAATCATTTATTTCAAATAATTTTATTTTCTTCAATTAGAATTTATTTTAAAATTCTGTGTAAGAATAAAAAATTTCCCTTCTTCAGATTCTCGTGTACACTGATTTAAAGGTTGAGTTTCAAAAATTTTTTTTGGGGTTTTTAGGAATTAATTTTTTATATGGGAACAAACGCGTTCAAAAATAATTTTCGGTCAAATGCGCACATCTCCCTCATCCTTTCACATCTCTATTCCTTTTCTCAACCACTTTTTGCCATTATAAATCTGCCCGAAATATACAATTTTCGGCGCCTTTGTGCCGCGGTTCTTCACCCCTAAAATTCGTAAAAAAGCCTCTGCTGCTGACAATACTTCTTTATTGTCTCAGGTCATGTTCTGATATGCCTTTTATACCCTGCAGTTGGATATTGGCGAGAAAAAACACTTGTGAAAAAAGTGGCCCGAACCTTCCTCACTCAGCACTCAGCTACACGGCCATAAAACAGCCCTTCTTAACACCCGTGCCATTTATTCAGCCCTTATATATGTATTTGGGTTCATTTCCCCTGCACTCGACCTCGTGCTTATTTTTTCTTCTTTCAAAAGTGCGCGAAGGACTGTTTCTTGTCTCTGTTCATTTCGTGAAGCGTCTTTTAGCCTCAGCTTGGGGTCTTTGAACTCGGAGGAAGAGAGGGGGAGCGTTTCTTAGGGTGGAGATGGGGGGTAGGTCGGTCGGCCGATGGACCATGTGCCTCGCCTAGGCCTGCGTCTTCATCATTAAATTCTGAAAACCACCCTCCTCCCACACCCACCCTCTTCTTACATACAATTTTCTTTCTTCTCTTTCTCGGCAACGCAGCATCCAGCAGCAGGCCGCGCGCTCAACGCACATATGGCGCCATTCTCACACTTGGAAAATATACCTTGTGTGTGTGGAGCCGATTATGTTGCGACTCGCGGCTCTGTTTTTGGGCGCTTTGAGCCGCAGGGGAACTGCTCGAGAATGAAATGGAAAATTTGCATGGAAATTGGCACTTTGAAGATGCGGCCAGGCTCAACTTGGCGAGTGATTCGCAGCTGGAATACAGAGAGGAGAAACTTAAAATGAACACATGTAATAAATTAAAAGTTTTATATTTTAGTATATTTACGTTACTAAGAATTCCATGTTCAATTATCATTTTTTATTCAAAGAAACTTTTTGTTAAATTTTAAGTGCAACCCAAATATTTTCTTACAGCAGCGATTAAAAGAGGTATGATTTTCAATTTTCAGAAATTTTATGCAGTTTTTATTATTTTCATTTACCTCAAAAAACCGAATTACATATTTTTATAATTAATTACCAACCAAAATTTAGTTGCATTTAATTTAAGCGCATGCGAGCAAATATTTCTCCCTTTAAAGACACAATCTGTCTTTAAAATTTTGTCATGCCAGCCTAAGCAACTCTTTCCTCTTCATATTTCGTGCACATCCTCAGCATCTCCTTGTCGCATCCCTATGACAGAGACCCCAATTAAGCCGCGTCCCGATTTCCGCCAGCAGCCTCACAATTTCGCTTCTAATTAAAACCAACGTTGCGTCGTGGTTGGGAGGAAAATTCCTCGGGTTCAAGGGCCTCTGGCAAGGCCAAAGGGATGTTGCAGAAGCACCTCCTACTCGTTCACTCTGGAGCCACATCATAGGCTCCTTTGGGGTAGGTCAGTCCGTGACGTAGGGGGAACTACCTCTGCTCGCGCTAGCTCGTCTTGGGTCTCCCTTTGGCGCCGTGCCATACTCTCAGATGATATCACTCTCTCTCTCTCTCTTCTCTCTCCCTCGCCCGTCGTCCGCTCGCCGCGCTCTCTCGCCCGCTCGCTCGACTCTCTCAGTCAGTGCTCGACACGATCTCCTCCTGTGCGCCTCGAGAGCAGCGCTCGCTCGCCGCTCAGTGCCTATGGTGTATGCAACCGGTTGGGTACGCCTGCTCTAAAGGGTTGCCTAGATCAACTCTTTCTCGACTCAACTCCTTCGAGGTAGGCTTCACTCGCAGTCTCGCTGCTGCATTTTATTTCAATTACGGAGGCTTCTGCCTTGCGATTTTTGACGGAACAAATTATTGCCGCCGTCGCGGGTGTTGATGACGGAGACTCGGCGTTCTGGAAAAGGCTCGCTTTCCGATTAACTGCGCAGCTCCGTTTTTGTTTTTAAAATACTTCACAATTTTGTTGGGTATACTTTCATTTTTAGTTGCAATTAATATTTATTGATATATGACAGAGGCAATCACTGCCCTTATTTTTATATTGACATCAGATTATTATGTATGGTGCTCTTGTTCAAACTTCAAGTTTGATGATAATTTATTTAGTCAATTTCCTTAAATGAATGTTTTTAGGTTTATACCGCTATATTTAAATTTCATTTGACACTCACTTCATTATCAATGCTATTAGGATATCGTCAAAATAAATAAATTTTTTAAATTTCCACATGAAAAAAAAAATATTTTTAAATGAGGCGGTGATTTTACTATCAATACGCAAGTTCAATAAAAATGTCCTTTTATTGTTAGGCTTATTTACGTATTTTTTTCTCATTAAAAATAGTGAACTGAAATAAGAATCTTTATTATAATAAAAGTATAGAGTTTTTGTTAAAAAATAAAAAATGCACGCAGACCTTCAAATAGGAAATACTTTTTACATTCACTTTTGTGGTACACTGGAACAAGTGGAGCAGGAATAAAATTTTTAATTCAGTTTGAATACTAATTATCATTATAAAATTTATCTCATCCACTTCTCAAACTTTACGCTTAATGAACAATAAATTTTCAAAAACTAAGATTAATTTCCTGTCTGAATTTCTATAAGCCAATAAAATCTGTATACTCGGAGCTTTAAAATATTTTGTTCTTAATTTAATTATATGTCTGTGCTTTATCCCTCTCACTTTTTTTTGTTATAAATTTCTGATTTTGTGTCTGCTGCACCTCCAATTGGGCAGATATTGGTTTGTGGTAACTCAATAACGTTATTTGCGACTGGTTCTAGTTTTATTTAAGACATTGATAATAAGAATCACACAATCTCTGAAAAAAATCAACTTTTTAATTTGCAATGGTAAAGTGATGATTACCTACAAATTATTAATATTTTACATGAAAACATGTAATACTTCATACTTCTATTAATATAATCAGATGATAATATTTTTAAGTTCGTTATTAATTAAATCTCATGATACATTCAAAAATAATTAAAATAATCTTGTTTATATGTTAAAAAAAGCAATTCTATAAGAATAAAATAGAAAAAAAATTGTTTTATAAAATATTATATATAATTTCTTACTAACGCAGATTTGGTATTTAAAACTATTGCGTATATCCAAGTAAAAGAACATTATCATCATCATTAAATTTCTTATTCGAGACTCTTCTTTTAAATCAATATTTTTCTTTTGATAATCTTACATATTAAACAATATCATTTTTAACTAATCTTTTAATGACACAAGGACAATACAATTTTTTTGCTTTGTTCCAGGTCCAGCCACGAGACGCCGTGGCGAAATGAAGACTGAGGGCGGAACCATCCCCGACTCGACCATCTCGCCGCCGCTGATGGACTCACCGTCGCCCGACTCGCACGCGGCCGCGATGGCCGCCGCGGCGGCCGCCTTCTCCGGCCTCGCACACCCCCTGCTCAGCTCGCCCGCACACGCGGCCGCCCTCCTGCGAGCCTCAGCGGCCGCCTCTCAAACGGCCGCCCTGATGGGCCTCCTGCCGGCCAGCCTGGCGGCCGGCGGCGCTTCCGCGGGCATGCCCGTGCACCTGCACGCCACCCTCGCCTCCAGCCCCGGCCTCTTCCAAAACGGCGCCCTCTTCAACTGGTCAAAACTGGCGCCGACCTCGAGTTCGCCGGCACCGGCGGCCAAGGCGCCCAAGAAGCGGAAGGCGCGAAACGCTAAAGAACCGAGTCCCGAGGTCAGTCGGACGGAGCCCTCGCTGATGTCCTCCCCAGCGACGCCGCCCGAGGCGCCAAAGGCGCTTAGCTCGGGCGGCAGCAGCAGCGGCGGCACCGAGGGCGGCGCCGGCGGCCGCGACAAGGTGTTCGAGTGCCGCGTGTGTCACCGCTGCTTCGGCTACAAACACGTGCTGCAGAACCACGAACGCACCCACACCGGCGAGAAACCGTTCGCGTGTCCCGAGTGCAACAAACGCTTCACCAGGGACCACCACCTGAAGACGCACATGCGGCTGCACACCGGCGAGAAGCCCTACCACTGCACGCACTGCGAGCGGCAGTTCGTGCAGGTGGCCAACCTGCGGCGCCACCTCAGGGTGCACACCGGCGAGCGGCCGTACGCGTGTCAACTGTGCACGTCGCGCTTCTCCGACTCGAACCAGCTCAAGGCGCACATGCTCATCCACAAGGGCGAGAAGCCCTTCGGGTGCAGCCGGTGCGGCGGCCGCTTCCGCCGCCGCCACCACCTCATGCACCACAAGTGTCCCGACGCCGTCGCCTCCAGCACGGCCGGCTCCTCGCCGCCCATGGACGAGGACGACTCGGGCAACAGCATGGAGTTCGACGAACCCCTCTTCCCCAAGCAGCGCCTGGTGCGCGTCGCTGCCACCACTGAGGTCAGTACAAATTACACTTTTCATTCCAAAAATTTTAAATAATTATGCAGAAGCTGATAATTTATTTAAATTGAATTAATCCTAATGAAATATAAAACCCTTATCACATACATGAAGAATTTATTTTAAAGTAATTTCAGATTTGTTTTACCCATACAGCTTGTGTTATGATTTAAAAATTTACAATGATGCAAATTGTCTAGCAGATATACAGTTCCTTTGACGCTAGCCTATTCAAAGCACTAACTTATTATTTTAGGATACACAAGTTAAAATTAACCTAAAAAGCAAGCTGATTAAGTAATTTTTGTAGATAATTTTATTGCGACATTAATTAACTAATAATTTAAATTTGAGGTGACGATGTAATTGACAATTCAAATATTGTATAATCAAAGAAATAATTTATAGGTGTTCAGCAAAAGATATATTTGTTTTATTATATGATCTTTTATGTTTATTAAATAATATTGTCTCTTCTTTACTTGCTGTATTGCTTTTTAAATTTTAAATATACATTGTAAACAAAAATATGTAAAAAATATTTCATTTATTAAGAAAAATAGTTTCAAGTTTAAATTTAAAAATATTTGTGTAATATTTAAAATTAATATATACATTATTACAAATAGTTTTTAGTAAAATTAGAACTACATTATTGAGGTCTTTTTTCCAACTTGCTGAAAAGCAATTTGAATTAAAAACTAATTTTCCATTGTTTCCCTTTTGTGCTTCAGGTGCCGACTGAGACTGGAAACTGCCAGATTCCCGAACAGACGGAGCCTGAGGACCTGTCCATGAGCACGTTGCTCAGCACCAACAACAACACAATCCACGTCGCGGCGCGGCGCATCGCGTCCAGTGTCAGCGTCAGCAGCTTGTTCAGCTCGTCGGACGACGACGACGCCATCCACGGTAAGCTGTTGTCGCCGTCGTCGCCGCCGGCCGCCTTCATGGGACACCCCAAATTCCGCCACCAGCAACTATCGGACGCGCCCATTTCGCCCATTTCGTAACATCCGCAGAGGTTGCTATGTAGATTGTAAGTAGCTTATTGTAAGCAAGAAATTATACAAAAGACCGCTCAGAGACTACCAAGAAATTTATCGAGATAAATTAATATCTGAAGAAAAATATTCAAAAGAGAGACCATAGCTAATTATATATAAAAACAAAACTCAGGAGACTTTATACAGGGATTTTGACCACGAACGTGCTCAAAACTCACACTCTCTCAGATGGATATATGATTAACACGTGTATAACTATGATGATATAGTCCCAGCTTAACGTTTTTTATATCGCATACGATATATATATTATATGATGTGTATAATTGTTTGTTCACTCAAAGTTCCTCGCGTTGGTTGATTGATTCGATTCAATTCTCAATGATTGTGTTTTTCGTTCCTCATGCGACGCATATATAGTTTTTTTTCCCTAGGTTTTTGAACAATTTTGGAAAACGTCGGCAAGCGTGACGCTTGGCCGGCTCGGACTCGCGCTTATATGATGATTGATTGTATTACTATTATATCTTGCACTACTTCCTGTGTTGGTTACCTCAGAGAGAAAAAAGAGACGCGCTCTCGGGGGCGAGAAAAGTGCACGCATTATTAACACATACATTTTTATCCGCGCGGATTATATAATCGACACAAAACGTTTGAGAGCTACTTTTTATCAAAAAGAAAAAACCTTCCGTAGGTCGTTGAACCACCCCAGGTAGAATATCTTTGTATAAAAAATAATTTCGCGCCTCTCAAGTGGGCGCGCATTTTTCAATCGAATATAAAAGATCGAGCCGGCCGATGATGAGCTCAGGCAAAATTTTCATCCCCTGACGCACAAAGCCGAGGGTTGTTTACCGCGGCAGGCAGAAAGTATGTGCGAGAGCAACAGCCTTTTGCAGCAGGGTGGGGGTGAGAAAGATGCTGCAACACTAGAGGGGGGACGGCGAAGGTACAAGTTCGTCGACCTTCCTTTCCTTGTTGCGTCTTCTCTCTCACTCTCCCCTGGTGGATTTAAAAAAATATTTCTGCCGCCGCAATTATATTTTGTTGTGATGATCGGCCCGAGAAAGGATCTCGTTTCATTTGCCTAGCGAGAGGTCCGGTCGGCCGGGGTAAACAACCCTGGGTTCTCACGCTTTAGCTCTCAAAGTGTTTTGTTAGCCCTGTTATGCAACCAACGAAACAATCAAAAGGTCGCTCACCCTGACCCTGTGATGCTCCCTCCACTATTATTGAGTTCCGATAATGCGTGCAGTGATCTTCCGCCCTTCCGAGAGGATTACTATTTTTGTTTTTGTGCCAAAACCTCAAGGTGCATCTCGCTTATTATGAAATATGATTTTTTTATGTGTTAGTTTTTAGTCTATAAGCATGAAGACGTTAGTTATGTTCATTCTTCTTTATTTCCGAGCGAAAATAAAAACCATTTTCAGTTTATAATTTCTTTTGTTTGATTTATTTTTACTTTCTTTTTTCTTTTATAGAGACGCAAGGGAAAATATTATATAGCAAAGCGAAACACCTCGCGAAATCAATCCGCCCTGAATAAGAAAAAATTGAAGCAAATTATTCATGCAAAGTAGCGATTATTAGCATACACTGTGTGCACACATTCAATGTATATTTACACACGTGGATTATATATTCGCCAGTGAAGACTGATTAGTTAGAAGGAGAGACATAACTCAAAGAGCTTGATTTTCAACCCACACCACTTCACTTTCCTCCCGCAGAGACTGAACGGAAAATTAGCATCATCCCCGTTTCTGCGCGTTCCAATCGAGAAAGAACTCTCAAGTTTCGAATTGATTGAAATTTCCAATGCAAATTCGCCAAAAATGCAAATACGTACGAGGGTGTTGTATAAAAAAAAGAGGCACCCGCAGAGCAGAACGCCACCGAAAATTAATTACTTAATCACCACTTGAATTTTCAAAGTTTAATCTCGTCGACGCACAACTTAATTACGAATTCATAATTTTCTCCGCGTCTACATTTCTAATTAAATCGGTTGCATGTCGCGTCCCGGTTGCTGTTTCGGCGAAATAATAAATTGCACCGGCGCCGCGCCGTCTTTTCGCTCTCCGCTCGCAATCCTTTGGGGAGGTTTCCACTCTCTTTACTTTCTTTCTTTCTTTTTTCCACCCTCAACCGGCTGCACAAAAAATGAGTCGCTCTTTCTCTTTGTGCGCTGCAAGTCTAATGCCTTGGGGTGGCTATTGCTGGGGAGACGCACGCCGCGTATATATTTTTTTCCATCCACCCCACGCACTGCACGATTTTTTTTTCATACCGTGTAGTCACCCCCTTCATTTTTTTAAGCAGGCAGCAGCTCCGGCTAAAATAAAAAAAGGGTGCTGCTGCGAGCCCTTTCTCTCTTCGCGATCACCATGGTAACGACGGAGGCCCGAAATTTCTCCGCAGCAGTTTCCATTACGAGGCTTAATTACGAGCGCAAAAGAAGGCAAAAAGCAGGAAGAGCCTCGGGTCCCCCGGGAACGTCGGCTCCTTTTAAAAATATTTTGGCTGTATAAATTAATTTGGTCCTTCCAAAAGAGAGGAAAAATCTAACCGTTGGCATCGCGAGCTGCTCTCTCAAAGTGCGAAAGGAAAGTCAATGAAAAATTGCCTTCTTGCAGCACCGGCGCGCGGTCTTATTATTCATGTGGTTATTTTTTCCGTCGTCCCCTGCGCCGCGCCACCCCGCCGGCTCCTCTTGTAAAACTTTTTTATATCATCATCCACCCTCCCGCGCGCGTGGGGTGGCTAACGCGTGGGGTTATTATGAAAAAACTCTTTTTGTGTGTGTAGCGAAGATAAAGACAATTGAGCCCGCGCTTTTTTATGCTCGCCATTAATTTCCACCCGGGCTGAGCGAGAGAAAAAAACGCATTAAAAAAAGCGCCAGCGCTGCTGCTCTGGGAAATTAATGGAATAAATTTGTGCAATGTCCCGGTCTAATGAAAGATAAAAAAGTAATTTATTATCCGCCGAGTGAAAAAAAGGGATGAGATTTTCTTTCTACTATACTTTGCTCAGCCAGTCGCCTTTGTTATGCAGAGTGGATTTTTCAAATAAATTAACGTGCCCGATGTAATGAAACGAGAGAGGGCGGAGAGAGTTGGATAGCGGAGGACACTTTGCACAGCCAAACAAAGGAGTTATTACTGAGATTAGAAAATGAGACGAAAGAGGCTCTCTCACTTTTTTCCGCCACTGCCGAGGAGATTTTAATGAAAACCATCTCTTGAAAAAAATGACGCTTTTAATGGCGCGCACACTTTTCCTGCGCCAAAGCAAATTAATTTTCGCTTCCGTAAAAAGAGACAAAAGTTAAAGTTTTAAGAGGGTGCTTTTTAAACTCTCTTTTGTTTGGAAATTTAATTTATCAGAAGTTGAAATAATGAAGAGCAGTTAAAAATATTTCAAATGTTTTTTACTTTAAAACTTCCGCAGCTTTTCTTGTCACATTTCTCCAAGGGTTTCTTTCCGCATACACGATTTTTTAATATCAAGGGCAGTGCAAAGTGCGTCCCTCTGGCGAAAATCATCATTTAGAATATCTCACCCCGCAGCCATGTTTAGTGCACAAAATCCCCTTAGCAGGGACGGCGCCGGCGTTTTTTTTTTTCGTGCCTTTTTTATTATAAAAATTTCCCAAATGTTCAATCGAGTTGAGAGAGGCGCCCATCCCAAATGACTGCTGCCAAGATGGGGCGATCAAGACGCAGTTAAAGAAGCAATTTTTCCGAGGGCGAAAATATCAACACCAGGCAGCGCAGGAACAAATTGCGCTGGCTGCATACTCTGCACTTGAGGGAGTGGTCGCCCCGAGTGCAGTATGACTCACATCTTCCATTGCACTCCCACGCAAACTAGCCGCCGACGAAATCGCTTCTAACTCTTCCCCAGGCCAAAAAAACGCTCTCCTTTTTTTTTTCTCTCCATCCGAGATGCACTTTTTATCTACAGGGATTTGCACTCGGATGTTTTATGTGTCGGCGCACGCTTGATAAATAGGAAATGGATGTATATTCCGTCGCAGCATCAAAAAAGAGCGCACGTCCAGCGGGGGGAGCCAAAATGTATCGGCGGCCAAGATCGCATGATGCATATGTAACCGAAAAAGGGAAAAATGCTACCGCCGATTTGAATCAAATTTATATATACGTTGAGCCACCCGACGTCTCGAGTCGCGTCAAGATGAAAAAAATGTTTTTGTCTTTTGGGGATCGGTTGAAAACTATATGATTATGGGTCCATCTTAAAGTTAAATTCCTTTTTTCTTTGATTATAGCAATTCGGGCAGTTCGAAAAAAATATCTCTTTTTGAATAAAATTACAAAAGGCTATTTTAAATATTAAATTTGTTTACAAGGAAGATTATGTTATTATCTCCCCATTGGTGAAAACAATGAAGTTTCAATTTGCCTGTTTATAATTTGTTACTTATAATTTTTTTTCTAAAACATTTTAAATATAATGATTGAATTTAAATTATTTTCAAACTGTGTGGCTTATTATTTTCTCTTTAGTTTAATTATTAAAACAGAATTATTAGTAAATGAATATTCAAAATAAATACACACTCTTTCTGTCAATCAACTAAATTTAATAAGCAGCCTCCATAGTGAACACAGAAAATCCAATAGATACGCAATATTTGGATTTCTGATTTTCTTATACACCTTCAGGGTTTGCATTTAGAGTATGTTTTACAAGAAATTAAAAGATCGGTTCGGTACTTCCTTGGTGAACAATTTGTGTTTCGCAGGTTGCATAATCTAACCGTTGATAAGTTGGCGCCGACGCCGATTATATATATTTTTTTTTTAAATTTGGAATGGTTTTAATTTTGGCCTGAATGTAGTCCTTCGAGATGTATAAAAGGAAAATCAAAACTAGTACTAGTTGTGAATAAAATTAATTTTCTGTGTTTAGCGAAAGCGTGTTGTGGACATTGCCAAATCAGATTATTACTTTTTGACGGATTTTTGACCTCAAATAAATTTTCATGGTCATTAGTCATTCCCAAATCGATCTGCGCCACTCTCACATCGCAATCAAGAACAAATCGAACCCAACTCACACAACTCCTGCGAGTCTATGGCCCGAAAGAGAATAACTTTTTAATGGATTTCATGGACTGCCTGCCTCCTCGAGACCAATCAAACCCGCGCCCCGTTGCCCCTCGGCCGGGTCTTCGAGAGAGGGAATATCATGCGCCGGTGCAACGACGAGCGCAGAATTTGCCACTCAAAAAGTTTCCTCTATCTGCCTTCCTTCACCCTCTCGCTTGTGTTTCAACTTTTATTCCTTCCCCTATCATCATCAAGCGAGAGAGAAAGATTGCGAGCAAACTTTTTCTTCCCTTAGCGCGCGTCTTTGGCCGGGCAGGAGAGGAGGAAGGGCCGGTTTTCTGCGAGGGGTGGCCACTCTCCGGCAGCAGTCCATTGCGCGCGCGGGGGTGGCTTTGGTGCATGATGGATGTGCAAAATTTAATACTTTGAACTCGCTGGAGAGTAAATATTGCATTTGGAGAAAAACGGCCACGCATACAGTATTAAATCTCTTCTGAAAAGTATCGTAGTTTGTAAATATCAGATAATTTTTGATATGCTACTTTATAATTTACATTTTTTCTTAGTTATTAAATAAATTATTAATTATTTGTCTTTAAAAGTTTTTTTAAATCACTTTAATTTTGTTTTTATCATTGTTTTAATTTATAAATTTGAACTATATTTATTTAAATTTTTTCTCACACCTCAAATCATATCGAAAAAAAATAAAGTTAACTTAAATTGTGTTTATCTCAAGTACTTTGAACAAAACATATTTGAGATGAATACTACTAAATTTCCTTCATTTACAAGGTGCTTATAAATTAATATTTGAATATTATAAAATTAATGCAAGAAATAAATGTTTCTACTCATTCTTTCAATCAAATTAAACTCTATTTCTGCACTCCCCAAAATGCAATATATTAAAATCAGTTCCAGCTGTTCATTCCTCACATCGCATTTTAGTAAAAAAAAAACTTGCTATATACCAAGCGATATGATGTAAATCGAAACCGTGGCGTGTCAAATCAGAGCCGCTTCCAAATTCGCCGCTTTTTTCCTTCAAAAACTTTCCGCAACGGGCGCGTGCTTAAAAATATACCCAGTCCTGGATGCATTAAAAAAAACGAAGCGATATAGCGAAGCAGCATCCCCCGTATTTAATCGAGGGTGGGGCAGGTGTGTTTAACTGCTGCTGCTGCATCCCCCGTAGGCGCCCATTTTGTCAGTCCTTCATTAATTTAAACAATGTATATAATATGCTGCGGGCGATTCGGCGTGCTGCGCGTCATTTTGTGGCTTAAAAATCAGTTAAAACTTCCCATGAGCGCTTCCTCCTTTTTTTTGGAAATTTATAAATGAAAAAAGAAAAAGAGAGGGTCGTTAAAAGGGCTACGGCGCAATCAACTCCAGGAATTACCCCTTGGATAAATTTATATATTTTTGTCGGAGAAAAATCGTTATACTCTGTCACAGCTTTGCGACTTGTCAATTTTCGGCGAATTCTCCGTAACGACTCTCGAGACAAATCAACTCTTCACAATGAGAGACCGGCGCGCATTTGAATTGTATACACAAGTTCTATATAATTCTTAACATTTTTCGCACCGGGCGCGTTTTCATTGCTCTCGATTATTGTCACAAATAATTTTATCCTGGCGAGTGCATAAATTGGAAAGAAAATCCATTGTTAGTCAAATAAAAATGCAGAGTGGCTGACTTCATCAAAATATTTTCACCCTCGTGCGCGCTCCACTGAATGCATAATGTCAATCATGTATGCATGGAAATCAAGCGGCTGCGCTGATCATTATTAACAAGAGCGGCGGGCGAAAGAGACGTTACACTACTTTTCCCCGGAAACTCGACTTTTTTTGTGTAGCTTCTCTTGATTTTTCTTTCTCGGCGCATATTTAAATAAATTCGAAACCCCTCGAGCTCATGAAGTTCTTTCTCGATTCCCAACGTTTCCATCCGTTTTTGCATTCACGCCCATCCAGTTGAAGAACGAACGACTTTTTCTCTCAAATATCAGATTATTTTTTAATATCATCGACGTGACGAGAAGAAATATATATGAGAGACATATAATAATAATATTTTTGTGTACTGCTGTTGCAATTTTTTGGTAATATTGTGCTATGGTAAAAAAAAATCAAGGAGAGGAATTCAATTCTTTGTGTATTTAACTGTGTGTGGAATTGCAACAACACGCAATGAACGGAAATTGCGTGCAACTGAAATTAATGGTAAGAAGTTCCATGCGTCATTCGAAAAATACATATTTGATTCCTATTAGAGGTACTCGCTATAAGTATTAAAATTAAATATATTTATTATTGAATTAATTGAGCGAAATGTGCTGAGACGGTGTTGAAAATAACAATTAATCGATGACGCTAGTTGTTGCTAGGTTTACATATTCGTTTTTTGGTTGCTTGAAAAACGAACTTTGATGTTGTCGTGCTGATTGTCTGGAGAGAAAATGAACTTTAATTTTTTGAAATTCAGCATTAGTTTCGTGATCGTGGAAATTATAAAATAGTGTAAAAAATTATTAAGTGTTTCTACATATCAGAAGAACTGAAAATGAGGATTTAGTTTAAGTCAGGTTTGGTTTTGAGCACGGATAGAATATTATTTAAAATAATTAATGAAACCACGGGATGTTTACTATTGAATAATTTGGTGATAAACTGCGCTGATTAACTGATATTTAGTTGTAATGCGCAGCACCAATTTTCAAAGATGTGCATAAAATAATCAAAATACTTAGATAATTGAATAATTTATAAGACGTGATTTTGTTGAGTTTCTTAATTGATATGCGCAACTTGATTTCAATTTTGTATAATATATAAACTGACTGTTTTGTAAATATTCGCGTGCGGTCTTTTGTCCTTACAGATTTCAAAATCCTCTTTCATAAAAAGTCATTTTCAGAAGTGTTTGTAAACATTTGATTATTTTTGTAGATGAAAACAGAGTAACTGGGTGTATGTAAATTAGCTAATTAGCGGAAATACAATTTAACTGAAGACGAAGAAGAAGCACAGCAAGGTTCCTAATCCGTAAAATGATCATTTGTCGCATAATATATAAAAAGGATGGATTGATTCATTGGTTCCTAATATATAATTGAATTGCCACACCACCACTCACTTCTTGTAAAAAGGTGCAATCGATTTTTTCACACCGTTTAATTGACACAAAACCTGTATAAAAGAGAAAAAAAAACTATTTTCCAAATGAAATAGTAATTACTCTGAATTGAGTTTCAATAAAAATTCAATAATAATCACCTCTGCATATTCCAAAAGGTTATAATCAGGATGTTTTTCCACAATCTGCAAATCACACTGACTCGATACATGTCAAAAGACGTGCCTTTCACTACCTCTCTTATATAAAACATAGCATTCCTTCAGTTGCAGACAAACTGGAATATTTTTATCCTATAAAAAATTCAATCTGCAAGCGAATTCCTCAAACAATTTCCCCGCAAATAGAGTCCAATAATTCTAAGTCACATTGTATTTGTCGAAAGTACAACAGATCAAAAGCCTTTTGACGCGAAAATAGTCAATAACCACACAAATCTCGAAAACAGGGTCAAATCTTAACCAAGTCGAGAAAATAGACATAGAATAAATTAACCACAAGTAACACACATTTTTTAAGCACCACTAGAGCAAAGTAAATATTTTTATCGTGGGATATGCTGTGAAAAGCAAGAATGAGTGAATGAAACAAAAAAAATCGTGTTTTCTATCGAAATAAATGTGTCGTCAAAACAAAATAATTGTTATTCCTCACGTGTAAATGTATTTTTAAAAACTTGGCAAGCGCGTGTTTGGATTTTCTAAAACTTACTATGCAGATTCGCTAAGCGCGCTTGCCAATGTTTTCTATACCTCACGCGTCCAGCAATAGTCTGACTGATTGCTCCTCTCGCTGTATTTTCGTATAAGAATTATAAATCGAGAAATATCAAATGTATGAAATCCATATCTGAACCATAGTGATCCACCTTTTTGGTTGCAGCAGCTCTGTTTACTCAGAGTAAATTATAATGACCTCCTTCATATTGAACAATAGTGATCATACAAATAAATATTTAATTAATACAAAAAAAATGTTATCTGATAGTCGTATTATCTGTAACAGAATAATGTTGAAACTGAACAGAAACACTGGAAATTCACGAAAAAAGAAAGAAAAATGTTGTTTTCTTCTTCTTGCAGCCACACACGCCGACACTTCTGAATGCGAGAAGATTCATTGTTATGTCATGCTCGAATAATTTGTAATTTTTGTCATTAAATAAAAATTGTACAAACTTTTTGAGAAAATTAAATGTGTTTAATTTAGCAAATTGTTATCACAATTTTTGAAATTAATTTTCACCACAAAATAAATTCTCTTATGAATAAAAAGCAAAAGGAAAAGAAATAAGAGAAGTTCTGATCTGAAAATAGAAAAATTATATTAAAAAATATGAAGCGCCTGCAGCCATGAGTGGTATGCAACTCGCAGAACACGTACTCATAAAATTGAAGAAATCAGTAACAGTGCTGCCATCTTTGCGGTGCTTTTGAAGTGTTAGAGGAACCGGTTCACCGTGTTGCGAATTTTCTGCAAACCGGCGACCACGCCCCCTCCAAGAGTCACACCACTTTTTTGCACTTCAGTTTGTCGATTCCCCTGTCCTGTCTGTCCGTCCTGCTTGCTATGCTCGCTGGCGTGACGTCTGCGGTCTCTTTGCAGTGCAGCGAGTGCGGGCGGCTTCGACTCTGTGATGAGCTGTGCTCACTCACATCAGCCTATTTGTGATTGATCGACCAAGATTCTGATAAGCCCAGTCCGAGTCTCGAGATTTGCGAAGAATTATCTTTTTGATACTCACGACACGACCGTGGTCTTCAGTCTTTGGGCCGCTCTGAACTGGACACGGAGAATAAAAATTTGCAGGTGAGAATAAAACTCGCACATGCTCGATAATATTGCACTAATTTGCATATATATGAACTTGGCTGATTTGTAGTGCTTCTCTATCGATCGTTGCTTTCCTCCGCTGCGAAATAAGTATTAAAAAATGCTCGAATGTTTTTGGTGTGGCCAACTTTTATGCAATTACCTTATTATTCAACCACTGCACTTTCGATTCAGCTTTTTTATAATATATTGATCGTGTTGCTTTCTCCGTTGCCAAACAATTGTGGTTAATGTCGTTGTTGGTGGGCCGGCACACGTTTTTTTGGCGCACAAGCAGCAGCTCTTTATTTTGATCTTGGTCAGTCTTGTTTCGGTACTGCCACTTAGCTGAAGGTACTAAAGTAAGTTTGCTTCAAAAATATGTTAATCCTATTTTACAAGTTTAATCTTGAAATACGTGCTCTGCTGGTGATTGCAATTGAAACTTTGGTCAAATCATCTTTATTAAAATATTGTTTTAATAATTCATATTATTTATAATAATTTTATCGTGTTAATTACAATTAATTAATTACTTAGAAATTAATCTTCCCACTTTTATTTTAAAAAAATGAAAGCTTGTTTTTTAATGCATTGTTTCTCCAAATTTGAGCAACAATTTATTTTTAATGTGATTTTTTTCTTCATTTGAATTTCAGTAGTGTATATGTTGCAATATATTAATAAAAAAATTATTCTAAACTTAAACAACTATGGACAAATATTTTTATAAATTAAATAGAGAAATTATTCATTGAAATATTTAATAAATATTATATTTTATTTCTTAATTTCTTCCTTTCAAAATAAATATAAATTTTACTCTTTTATAGCAAAATAAAGAAATTTTTTTTTAATTTGAAGCTGTAATAGATAAAGTTTCAGACTTTTCATTTGGTGAGACCCGTCTCTGATTCTTCAACTGAAATGCATTTTTTGCTGTTACGCTTGTTCACTATTCTGCTCATGCACTGAAGCAGCAAGTTGTGTAGTCGGCGGTAGCATGTTAATGACCCACTATTACTTATCACATCATGTGCAGAACATGCTGGGGTCCACCATCATCAGTCTCCAATCTCCTGCCACTTCAATAAACCTGCGATTGTTTATTGTTCATTCAAATAATTGTCTCGCCATTTCACCAACCATTGTTGACACGTTCAGTCATGCAGAATGATTTCACACTTAAAAATTATCAATTTTGATAATTGGGTGAAATTATTGCTCAACTTATAGAATGTTGGGTGATTAGAGGGAACAAGATTGACAGGGTCAGACCATTCAAAGTTCAATTTTGATAGTTTTCCGTTATTTTCTTATGATATTATTTTAAAAAACGCTTGGATATTTTTTACTGAACATCATATGGATGGTACAAAATATTTTTTATTTTAGAAATTAATTATAAATAATCATTAAGTTTAAGAGTTGTCTATTGTTAAGCCCTAAGAAACTTAGGAAAATGAAATATAATATGTATTTATATTTTTATACAAAATGAAAATTTAAAAAGCATTGAATAGCATTTGAAACTATTTCAAAATAAATTGTAATATCTGAATCACTAATTGGAAAAAAATGACTAAAAAAAAGTACAATAAAATTTGCCTTGTACAACTAATTCATTAAAATTGTACTTATAATTTTTTATTTTTAATTGAGTCTTAGAAATTGATATATTTTGCCGAATTAACATAACTGGCATATTTCACAAGCTTGGTATGTTAAAAATCAACGCCTGCAACACCAAATTTACTTCCAATTTTCCAAAACGTATTTCTTTATTAAATTTTAGTGTATTGCGATTCTCTGATCATGAATTTTTCCAATCAAATTTGTATCTCTTTTGTGTTTCAGACTCCCTTTTGCTTGTCACTCTGTCCCAGCTTCTGAGATAGCCGGTTGCAAAAAAATGGCACTGTTCAATTTTTCAAAGTCATTGACTACTCTGGGCGTAGTTAGACCAGCCGTCGTGCGACAGCCCATCAGCCTCAAGGTAGGAAGTGGAAAAAAATTATATTTTTGATTCGGCGCCACCAAGGTCAAATCAAATTGCACTTCTCCTAGCGTAGCTGCGGAATGGGCTGATCAAAAGTTGTTTGTTTCATTTTTCAGCCGATGCCTGCCTCGAGCATGCTGATGAACAGAAACATCGGAATCAGGTATGCCAGCGGCAAGCAGGGCGACCGCATCAGGGACCTTCACATCAACAAGCTCACCAAAAATCTCGATCTGGTAAGCTTAATTTGACGTTTTTGCATCAAAATAAGAAAATGACCTTGAAATTATTATTATTATTTTTTTATTCTCTCAAATTATGAAAGCGTACGACTTTGAATAAAAAGTATTATGAAATTTTTTATTTATTTTATGAAAATTAAATTTAATTGGTTCTTTTTATTAAATAATTTTTTTCTAGTTACAAAATTGTGCGTCCAAATTTCTATCTCATTTTTTTTATCTTGAGGAGGAATTATTATAAATTTCTATTTTAATTATTTTGAAATTTTCTTGCAAATTTTAAGTATTTGCACACAATATTTTCATTAAAATATACAATCCATAATTTTATAAGATTTTATTATTTTAAATAGTTAGTTATGATTTGTTTGATTGTTAGTTCACGGCTTCAAGTTCCAAACGATCATTGGAGAACGGTGGATCGACTCCGGCAGAGGCAGGAACTTCGAAATCCCTTAAACTAAAGGAGGGTGACAATTCTCAGCAGCCGTTGGTCGTCATGTTGCCGTGGCTCATGAGTCAAAACAAGCACATTGCAAAGTACGCCAACTTCTACCTGAAGATTGGTTTTGAAGTCCTCACCTGTCGCCTTACACCCTGGCAGCTTCTATGGCCTGCTAAAGGCAGCCAGGTATGGAAAAAATTAAATCGATAAAAAAAAATAAAATTCTTCAAAAATTATGTTACAGGTCGTAGCAAATGATTTGCTTCATTTTCTGGACGTCAACACGCGGGATCGTCCAATTCTGATTCACGGCTTCTCGGTGGGAGGCTATCTTTGGGGTGAGGTGCTCTCTATAGCCCAGGCCGATGAGGCTAGATTCAAGCCAGTCATGAACAACATCGTGGGTCACATTTGGGACAGCGCGGCTGATATGCAGGATATTCCCGATGGTCTGCCTGCTGCAGTGTTTCCTAGAAATATGATGCTGCAAAACGCATTTCGAAAATATGTCAAGTGTGTAATTGCATTTTTTTTTTAAAAATTGAAATTATTATAATTTACTTTCCAGATACCACATGAGAACTTTCTATGACGGAGCTACATGTCATTACATCCGTTCTAGTCAAATGTATCACAGTTCGATGGTTCGAACCCCTGCCTTATTCTTGGTATCCAAGAGAGATCCTATTGGGAAACCAGAGAGCAACCTGAAGGTGGCTGAAAACTGGGAAGCGTTGGGCATTGATGTAAGTTTTTTTTTAAATTTTATTTTAGAACCTTGATTTGATTTGGTTATTTCTTCAGGTTCGCTTCAAAGTTTGGAATGACTCACACCATGTGGGCCACTTCAGAAAGTACCCAGAGGAGTACATCGCTGAAGTAGCAGCATTCTTGGCTAAGATTGGTCTCATGCCTGTGGCCTGCAAAGCTCGTGCAAAATTGTGATCGTCTCGTGATGAACCTGACATTCCTATTCATCGTGGAAATCATTCTACTTAATTTTTTTTCTATTTTTATGCTTCACTTTTTGGAAGTTTTTAATTTTTTTTATTGTTCTTAAAATTGAAACTCAAATTGCCTGTAGTAGAATTTGTTGGCTTGTAGAAAATTAGCTGGTTTAAGGTTGAAGTGCTGGCAAGATCAAGAGAGATACTTCTTGTTGCTATGTTAACCCTTATAGTCCTTTTACACATACACTAATTATTACCTCTTTGACCCATTGTCCGTTATCAATATTTGATCATACCACTTTGATAGCAGCATTGATATTATGATGATGAGCACATTTAATGTATTATCTTTGAATTTTTAGTGGCCAGGTGTGTCTCTTTTGACCTCTTGTTGATGGAAGAGTTGTTTGGAATTTAATCAGCTGTTGAAAATTAAAAATAAACTCACTCTCCTTTTACTGCTTGCACTACTTATTGTCTATATTGAAGTCACATCAAAATTTGAATGACGTACCATGTAAAATACAACTAAAGGAAACTTTGGAGAAATTATTTCCTCTGTCAACAAATAGCTTTGAGAATAAATTGATATTAAACGAAGTACACTGCTTAAATTTATTTTGCAACCCAATTTGTTAGAGCAAAGCTTATAAATTTAGCTATATCGTTATTAGTGGCTAAGTGGAGTATGCTCTTGCCCTCCATCCCGGAGATTGTGGGTTCGATTCCCACTCCAGGCGGATTTTCCTCGGGGGAACCTGAGTGATTTCTCATGCTGGGACTGCGAGTAAAGGGTTGAAAGTCGGCCGGGGGCCCCAGGATTTCGTGTTGAGAAGGGTGTTTGCATTGCACCCTAGTTGTACGCAAAAGCGTTTAATACAAAATCCTTTTATTTTAAACAGAATCTTAAATCTTTGATAATAATTTACAAAAAATTTATATTCTCCATTATTCACCTAATTGCACTTAATATTATTATTTATTATCCCTAAATATTAATTAAGCAAAGAGAAAAATTTAAAATTAAAAGCATGCCAGAAAAGTGAGCATCCCGCCAATTCGGCCAATTTTTGATTTACTGTAATTAATCCGTTTCATTGTTGGTAGATGGCGCCGCAGTCGATTTATTTACCTTCTGACAGCGAAAGTTAAGATAGGGATATGATTCACAAGTGTCACAAAGTGTCATAAAATTGGATTCCTACACTTAAAAATAGTCTTTTAAGCTTATTAAACGCTCAAAACTTTCATTTTTGATACTCTCCATCAACAACCAACCGTTAAAAGTGCGTACATTTATTATTTCGTGCGAAAATCAAAATAATTTTCCGTGTTGTTATTGGGTTGTAAACAACGCTTTTGCTTTGGTTCATAAATTGTCTTGTCTATCAACATGTTTAAAAATTCAAATCGTTTCCAGAATTCAACGATGGAGTGGTTATTCGGACGGCGAATGTCTCCTGAAGAGATGCTGAGGAAAAATCAGAGAGCCTTAAACAAAGCCATGAGAGACCTAGACAGAGAAAAGGTTAGGATGGAACAACAAGAAAAAAAGATAATCATGGACATCAAGAAGATGGCTAAAGAAGGTCAAATGGTTTGTGATTAAAATTTAAAAAGAAAACATTTTGCTTATAAGATGGAATTCATAGGAATCTGTGAAAATTATGGCCAAAGATTTGGTCAGGACCAGGCGCTATGTGAAGAAGTTCATGCTGATGAAGGCAAACATCCAGGCCGTGTCTCTCAAAGTGCAGACCCTCCGGTCACAAAACGCGATGGCCGAGGCCATGAAGGGAGTTACCAAGGCGATGCAGAACATGAACAGACAGCTGAATTTGCCTCAGATCCAAAAAATCCTGCAAGAATTTGAAAAGCAGTCGGAAATTATGGACATGAAAGAGGAGATGATGAATGAAGCTATTGATGACGCAATGGAAGATGAAGGGGACGAGGAGGAGAGGTAAATTTTTAATTGTCACTCCTTGCGTGGTTTTTACTATGAATTAATTACAGTGATGCTGTCGTCTCTCAAGTGCTAGACGAACTTGGTCTCCAACTTGGTGACCAACTTTCTGGACTACCTGAGGCGTCTGGTTCGCTGGTGGCCCCGAAAGGAAAAACTGCTGTTCCTGCTGCAGCTGGTCCAGTTTCAGATGCTGACGCAGACTTGCAGGCAAGGCTGGACAATCTGCGCCGGGAGTAAATTGCTTCTCTGGTCATACATTAATTGGTATTCCATTCTAAAATGGTTTATTTCATTATAATTTATTTTTGTGCGGTTATTCATGCCTGGGAAAAGCCACATTCACTTTGACCGCTTTTAGAATAACCGAAGAGTTATTTTCCAAATCAATATGTTAAAAAATTGTGTAAGTTAGAAGCTAGAATGTTTATATTATTACAAATTAAATTTTAATATTGAAAATTGAATTTTAAGCTTAATCTAGTTTTATTGCACAACAAGGTTTGAACCCACTTTTTTCATTTTGCAACTTCTTTTTAATATTTCCTCACAGACAGCATCCATTTTTTTTATGCTACTTAACATCAACAGTTTGCTGCTGCTTAAATTTTTTTTTTTATAAATCGTACTCTGCTCCAAGCACTAATTTACACTTTTATTTAAAACTTTTTTTCTTGCATTACGGATTTGAGAAAATTGTATTGTGTTATTGAAAAATACAGAATTATTATGGTCAAATTAGCAACATTTTATTACATGAATAATCAAAAATACAAGAAACTCTTGCTTCAATTGGAATATGTTGGCCTTTGGCATTGAGGCCACGCAACACGCTGTGAATCCTCTTATATTTAATAAGTACTTGCAAAAATTCCAAGCTCTTTGTCAAACTTTGATTCCTTCAGCATTAAATAATAAGTTTGACAGAAAACGTTGTAGAGTAGAAGACAGTACGATATAATATTCCAACTCATGGAATGTAGTTCGATGAAATCGGCAGCATTGCTGCTCACACAACTTAAACACTTAGAAGGAGGATCGGACAATATAATTTAATATTATAATACATTCAACGATTCTTGTGTCTTTTAAGAACATATACTCAGGAACATAAATTCATGACAATGAGGATGAAGGAAACACTATTGAGAAACATTTACAAATTACACAAGTGATTTATAAATTAATTATATCAAAGTTGATGGAAGAGACATCTCGCATTATGTAAGAGAGCAACAAATACATCCAAACAGCAACTCCGCAGGAAGAGCAACGGCTGTCGTTTTTGACGGGTGGCGTTGCTTCTTGTGTTGAAACAACATACTTTGGGATTCCATTTGGCTGGGCCAATGGTTTGATATTCTAAATGAGCATTCTTGTTTTTAGATCAGTCGCATCTCGCTTAGAGATCAATTGAGTGGGGTCGGAGAACTCCGCTGATTTTGGTGTTCAAGACAGCCGTGCGAAATTTGGGTTTTCACACCTCCAGTTGACGGCGTTGGGCCCAAATTTGTAGACTAACCTTCTGTGAGTTACTGGTTGGAGAATTTTGCTCTTGTAGTAATACCTGAAACAATAAGAAATTTAAATTAGTTTTCTTGCCACAAAATCTTTTTAAAAAGTAAAGTCAGTCAGCTGTCATTATTTACACAGCAAAAAAGAAGAAATTTCTCTCAGAAAAGCAAGATACAGAAGCCAAACTCAAAGCATCTGTAACCTTACGTATGAGATCAATAATATGTGTACGAAGTCGAATAGTCTTGGCTTTTCCAGCCATGTGCATTGGGACCAAATTTGTAGACTAACTTCTTGGGATATCTACCGGTTTTAGGAACGGGTACAAGGATTTGTCGGATGTAGTAGGTCCTGGATAACAAGCAGGTTATTGAGGATCAGGTTCAGGTGTTAATTTTTGGATTTGCATGATTTTTAGTTTAAATTATTGCTCTCAAATCTCACCTCATGGCTCGGCTCAGCTTCTCGTAAGTCATGTTGGAGTTTTTCCTCTTGTCACCCCACAGCTTGGCAACTTTTTCGCTGCTGACGAATCGGAAGACACCCTCTTCGTGGTTCTCCCAGCAGATGAGACTAGGGCAGTACTTGGGTTCCTTCAGGAGATCGCGGATGAATTCCCAAAGTTTTCCGTGGCTCTTTTCTGTGGATCAAGCAAAAAAAAATTAGTTCCGAGAACCGATTCACCGACAATATAATTACACACCTCTGCGTTTTGCCTTGCTCATAATGCTGGGCGGCCTTCCTCTCTTGCCGGTGCGACGGGGCACTTGCACTGCTGGTTTTTCCTGCTCAAAATCTTCAGCATCGTCTTCTGATGTGTATTCATCATCCTTGTAGCTGTAGCCCTGTTGTGCCCACGGGTAGTCCATTTGTGAACTGCTTTCCTGCTTGACTTCGTGCAACATCTCGTGGTTACCTGTTGATAAACCAAAACACCAATGGTGAAAATTTCATTCATCAGAGAGTAATAATCGGCTTTATGAATGAGCGAGGATGATTCATTTGAAAGCTATCTGGGTAGTATCACTTTAAGCAAACAAATTCGAGTTTCCTCATAGCCGTTTGCTGACTAACTTCTCGTAAAAAGCCTCCCAACAGACGTGGCAAGAGCCAATAGGAGCGAATGAGGAAAACCAAACTCACCATTATTGAAAACGTGTCCGTCTGGAATGTAACCGGACGAGTGAGGGTTGTACGAGTAGAGCTCGTCGCAGGCCTTTTGAAGGGTTGGCGCCGAGATGCCGAGTTTCTCGGCAAACATTTCAATGTCGTTGGTGAGCATTCGGTACAGGTCGGACACATTGGAGAACTGCAGCTCCTGCAACCTTGCGGTGTCCGCACCATACTGGACGAACCAGTCGACGACAGCCTTTTTGTTCCACAGGTTGTTCGTGTCTGGTTTCTTATCATATTCTGACGTGTCGATTTCTGCGGACAAAACAAGATATATTTTAATATGAATAAAAGAAGTAAAATTATGTTAATTTTTTACTTTTTTAAAGCAAATATACAAAATTGGTTTTGCAATTTCTTTAATAAAATGAATTAAAAAACAAACAAGAAAAGTTTATTAATTAATTATTTATTTAGTTTTATAGCCTATTTCAAGGTAAATTAAAAAAATGTAAATGAGGCTTTACCTAGTGACGAGAGTGGAATTTCTTTGCAGTTGGCGGTGGATGGCATCGACATGCTGCTGGTGTCCTTTCCCTCAAGCACGTCACATGAACTCTTGAAAATGCTAGAAGTTTCTGTTTCGAAACTCTGTAACAATTTGAGAAACACATTTCACTTCTCCGAAATCTTTTCTTTTTTTTAGCGGGGGGCTGATTTCAATTAGAGAATAATAAGAAGGCGCGCGCTCTTTCCTTGTGCATGGCGGCGCTTTATAAAATATGCACGGCCGCAAGTGAACTGGCGGCGGCGAGTGCAAGGGGGGCAATAAAAGAGTGCTTCCAGGAATTTTATATTATACTTACATTTGGGTGAAAGTTGTCGTTGGAAGTTGGGTAGTTTTGATCAAAACTGAAGTCGTACGAATCAGCAGAGTTGAAATTCATATTCAAATTCTGCAACAAAAGCAGGCGAAATGCGTTAGTCAAATTGCGCGCGGTTAAATAATTTGAGCGAGTATTATAAAGTGCACAATTGGCCAACGTTGCGCGACACAAGAAGAAAAGACCGTCGCCGCTGCTGGCGTGTGCAGTGCAACTGAATTTCACTTACTTCGTGCATAAAAAATGGCGATAAATTTTAATTTCTTAAAAACATCAGACTTGAAATTTTGCAGGGGGGACTGTTATCACCATACGAGTGTACAATTATAATAATTGGCCGAAAGTTGAGGGCAAAAATATAGCCAAACGTGTCAGGAAAATGGCTAAAATCTTACACATTAATAATAAAAAGCCAAGTTAATTGTTGCTGCAATAAACTTTAGCAAAAGTAATAGAACATTTTTATTGCATTTTAAACAAATATAATAATGAAATTAAGAAAAATAGAATAATAGTCGATATTTCTAATGAAAAATTAAATTCACGTGGCTAGTTATAACGTTTTTTAAACACATCATGATTAACGAAAGATGGTTAAATTTGTATATATCACAAAAAACAAATTAAATAAATAAAATAACCCCACAAAAGTCGAAATGCGCAGTAAAAACGTGTCAAAATTACCTCCATAGAGCCAAAGAATAAAAGAAAACAGGTAGCGTCCAAGAAAGTTTTTCAACGCAGCGTGCTTCACACATGCAGATTGCGAAATAATATGTATAACCGCGGCGTGTTAAAAAAATAAAAAGAACTAAATGCGATCGGTGTCGAGACCGAATTGGCGGCTCTTGGGGCGCCGGGCCGGGACGTTCCTACCTGCCTGCATGGTGCCAATCATTTGTCCCGGTGAATCAGGTAAAAATGTGCGGGGATATAACATTAGGTAGTATCCCACTCATCCATCATCGGAGGAGGAAAGTCGGGCTCTAAATTTCATATCTGCCGGGACTTTCCAGCGAGCGGCGCGGCCAATCAGCGGCGCCGTTCGCGAGCGTCGCCATGGCAACGCGGCGCTACGTATAAAATCTATACTGCCCTACTACCTCACTGACTCACGATGGTGCTCAACGAGGAAAGTGTTGCAAATAAAGCGCGCCGCTGATTGGCCGTCGCGCCACCGCGTTTCCCCGAACTGGTGACGTAGGACCTTTAAGACGAGGCTGCCGCCTCGAACCGAACACTTACCCGGAGCGAGAAAAGGTGAACGGCAGAATCTGATCGCACATACTAATTATTCAAATAAACGCCAATGACGCGCAATTAGCCAATGACCTCGCAGCGAGAAATTTGCGATTGTAATAAAATTGAATAAAATAGCGAAAAAATATAATATAATAAATTTAAATAATAATAATAACAATCAACTACCCCCTTTCGACGAGGGTTGGAAATAACAATTTTTTTTTAGTACCAAGTAACTTAAATTCGCCAATTCATTAGATAAGATTACCTGAAAAGTCCGTGAGAAGTATCTGAGCATTTTCGGTTTGGTCCAGATTTGTGTACCTGCTGCGGAATTTTAAAGACCGGAACCCGAGCTTGGCATTGAAAGGCCGCAATAGCTGACCGCGCGTCCGACCGATCCAGCGCCCCCACACAGCCTGAAGCTTGGAAAAGGCGCCGCCGTGCCGAGATAAACGCGCATTTTCCTTGTACCGCAGCATGGAGCCCACCGCCGTGGCAAATAATAATTGAGTTCATGAATGACCACGTCGCTACCGCGATAAAAAAAAAAATAAAATTGGGCGACGTGCTGATTAAAACTTAATGACGACAAGGGAAGAGGGCAGCGAAAGACAAGGAAAACGAAAATAAAGCACACGAGACCGTCTGTCGCGAGCGAGATAACAAAACTCTAATGTGGCAAAGGAAAATGGTTAACTGAAAAACTTGACCTCTCATGACCACCAAGAGTTTTTGAATAAAAATAGCAACCGAAACAAGGAAAATGAAAAAAAAACCTAATCTAAAATCTCAAACTTAAATTTAAAGCTCTTAATTCATATAGAGATAATTTTGACACTAAAATTTTTCCTAAATAATTGAACCCTTAAAATGAAAACAAATAAATAAATAAATTTTGTAAATTTGTACTTACATGGTGGAGGTAGTGCTCTGGCAGGGCTGCACTGGACAGGAAAACCTGTTGCTGATGATCCATGAAAAAGGGGTTGTAGTTGAACTCATCCACGAGGGGTGAGAGGGCTTGGAGTTGGGGTGCCTGGGCACCGTTGACCAAAGACGTGCACTCTACGGGCGGCATGAGTCAAATGTGTTCTATCGCGCGCTGTGTACTGATTATAGCTGGCGAGCTCGCGGGCCATGTGGAGTGCAGCGGTGCTGTGTTTGGCGCTGCCGGGGCCTTCCCGAGTCGCGCCTGCTCCCACTGGCTGCCGCCACTGACGTCAGTGGTTCTGATAGCCAATAGCCGCGTTATCGCCGAGCCGGTTCTTGGAAGAGAGAGAATGTTTACAACGCAATGAAAACACGCGGCTCGCGTGCTTATGTCGTTTTTTCATAGGTGAGAGCCGAGCCGGTTACAGGTGGTGATTCACTCAATTATCTCCTCCTCCTCCGACGAGTTGAATTTTTGATACGGCGCTTTTTTGGATCAGCTTCCGTGAATTCGGAAGTGGGTTCCAGAAATTGTTGACAGTATTTTGCGCCGTATACAAATTTGGCGTTATAATATTTACTTTTCAGATTTCCTAAAGAAAATTTCTCATAATAAAAAAAATTGTGATTATTTAATAATTTGTCCCAAAACTTGTAAGAAAAAAATTTAGAAGATAATAAGATTAAGATAATTGATAATTGTTGCTGATTACTTGATAAATAATAATTTACTTTCAAGTAAAATAAATCTTCCAATCTACATTTTTGAGATGATAGATTCCAACTTGATGGAAGTTAGTATGCAACTTGCAATAACACATGGCATAGCAATTTCATTTCAAGTGAATTTTTAATGAAAATTTTAAAATTCGCTATACAAGCACATACTATTGGCTATAATATTATCACAAATTATTGTTAAATACATTATATCAATTAATTTTTAGCCGTAGAAAAAAAAATAATTATAACAATCAATGCTCTATTTTTTTAACTCTACTTCGAATAATTATTATTGGTTTATTTTGCGGTAAATATTTTGCAATACCCAAACATAACATTTTTATTCAAGGCAAGTTTTAGCTTCACAAAAGGAGGCAGGGCGACCGATGAGGGGAATTTCCGTGTATTTTAATTCTAGGTTAGGAAATTTACTAAATGTGAAATATTTGGAAAACTTCATAATTCTAAATTTTGATGACATTACAGTAGTAACATGCTATTTAAATCCGAAGATACGTTCTACAACAGTGACTAATGAACTTCTCTCAATCCTTAAATATGTTGAAAATTTTGAAAATTTCATTTTGGCTGGAGACTTTAATTGCCGACTGGATACTAAAAACAGAAAAATTGACTCGCTGCTTGATTTTGCTGAGGAAAACAGTCTGACAATAGTAAATGAATATCCATATAAAAGTACCTACGACTGTAGTAATGGTCATAGTGTGGTTGATTTAATCTTCAAAGGGCCAAAAATTTACACCGAAAATTTTAAAATTTGCCCAACCATAAGAAAACATAATTTTATTTCAATAGAATTTAATTTCACAAAACAAAAGAACAGAAATGGGGACATGTCTTTGAATAAGAAAAATTTTAAATTAGATGAAAACATACTTAAAGAGCTTATTGAGACTAAATATAAAAATATTCTAAGAACAAATCTGGAAAAGGGGGACGTTGAAGAGTTTTATAAAAATATGATAAATATTATGAAAGAGGCCGACATTCCTCGTAGGCAAACTGAACGGATTAGTCAACCGTGGTTTGATTCTGAATGCTACGAATTAAAACAGAAATTGAACGAATGGAGAGAGTGCTTGGAAGTGGCTGAAAGTTTAAATGTAACTAGTATAATCAAGATTCTATTACCGCACTATACCGCAATAAAAAGAAATTACAAAAATGTGTGTGAAATGAAGAAGAACGCTTTTGTGCAAATGAAGGAGTTGGACATTTTAAAAGAGGCGGAGCAGAATAAGTGCTATAAAATTCTCAAGTTGAGCAAAAGTTTTTACAATACAAACAATATAATGATGGATGAATGGGAGTGCAATTTTGAAAAAATTTTCAACGAGAAAAAATTGAGTGAAAATGAATCTTTAAATCTGAAAGAGATGATAGTAGATTACAGAAATGATATAAATTTTTCACCTATTATGGAAGAAGAAGTTTTGTTAGCATTAAAGAAAATGAAAAACGGGAAATCCCCTGGACCTGACAAAGTGAAGAATGAAAATATTAAACTACTTGTTGAATCCTTACTCCCCGAAATAACGCAATTTTTCACCAAATGCTTGGAGCTAGGAACATGTCCAGAGGAATGGAGGCAGTCAAATCTAAAACTCTTGTATAAGGGAAAAGGGGACGCGGAAAATACAAATTCATATAGAGGAATATGTATTAGTTCGGCTTTTTACAATCTGTTAGATCGTGTACTGCATGCACGTATCTACTCATCTTTGATTCACGAGATTCCAGGCAATCAATATGGTTTTGTGAAAGGAAAATCCACTTTACAGGCAATTAAGTCCTTAGTTAATAACATTCAAGAGACAGTTTATAAGAAGAAATCACCCTTATATGCCTTATTTTTGGATGTAAGTAAAGCTTTTGACTCAATAGATAGGGCGTTTATTTTTAAGAAGTTAATAGAAAGCAAGAAGCTAACGTTCACGGAGTTAAATTATTTAGCTCACAACTTAGACTTAAATTTCTTGAGAATAGTAGATGGAGTAACAGTATCAAAACTTATTACACAATCAAATGGGGTAAGACAGGGGGGATGCACGTCCCCATTTCTGTTCAATTACTCTTTAGCTGATATAAATAATATTCTACGAGATTTGCCAAACGTGAAAGCCATTTATTATGCAGATGATATTGTTTTAACCTCAGAAAAATTAAGTGACTTGAAAATTGCTTTAGCCAGAATGAAAGAATTTTTGTTAAAACGCAGTTTGAAACTTAACTTGGAAAAGTGCAAATTCATGAAATTTAGAAATAAGGGTCTAGGAAAATATGCATTAAGTGACCGCCTAGATTTAGGTGGAATTGAAATAGAGAGAGTTGCTGAGTTTACATATTTAGGAGTTACTTTTCAACCATCAGGAATCTCTTTTGGAAAGCACATTGAAAAAAGAACAAGAGCTGCATTGCTGGCCACTTATAATATACGAGAACTAAAACAATTATCCATTGAAACAGCACACAAGCTATTTGATCTAAAAATTTCCCCAATTGCGTCCTACGGCATTGAAGAAATATGGCCTTTCCTAACAAAGACTGATTTTGAAAATCTTGAAAAAGTCAAAACAAGATATTTAAAAAGAGTTTTAGGACTGTCCAAGTATATTAGATCTAGATTTGTGTATGAATTAGTTGACACTGATCTCTTTGTATCGGACTTACAGGTAAAATATTCTCTAACTGAAACTGAAGCATTCCAGAAATTTTGTGTGTCTAAATATTTAAACAAACTTGAGATATGTGATGAGTTCTACGAGACAGAAACTATGAAGAATAAAAATTGGCAATGTGCAATGTTCAGTGATCGCCAAGTGTTTACGAGATTTGCCTGTCACGGGTACCACTATTTATTTTGTAAGAATAAAAATTTTCATTCTCAAGCGACAATAGATTGTGAATGCAAGCACTGCGGTAAGAAATGTTCACAATATCATATTCTTGAATGTAATGAACGAAAACTAAGCCTAAGAGAGGCTGCAAAAATCAAAATTAACTAATTTTGTACTTTGTAATAATTATCGAAACAAGCTTAATTGTAAAATTAATTTTAGGAAGACAAATTAGCTTTAGACACCCGTTGTACACCTAGTTGTGTTCAATAAATACTCTATCTAATACCCAAACATAATGCATTTCGCTAAATTAAATAAAAAAATTGAAGTTGGAGAAGTATATTATTAAGAGGGAAATTATTTTCTAGGTGCTTCATTTAAAACCCTGTGGAAACGCACTCCGTCAAAACTTCATAAAATAAAAATTTTTTCCCCCAGTGCGGCCCCAGTTGAATAATGAATTTAATTTATCTTGTTTTATTTAATATCATGTTTTGATAAAATATTTATTATCTTGTGGTTGTGCGATACTAATATAATATTATTATAAATATTGCATTCCCTACGAAATTCCAGACAAAATAAAAATACACAATGCGGCTTGTTTTGAAAGGCAACTTGTAACTTGATAAAAAAAAATCCGGCATGAGTATTATGTTATTTATATAAGGATCGATTTTTTCTCTTATTTTTCTCCCTTTTAAGAAGAGGAGATGAGTAACGGTATTTTTTTTTCTAAGCATTCATAGTTCCAACTCCCCAACTTGCCATGCTTGTCTGTATAGTTAATTGAGAAGCAAGGTTTGTGCGCCTAATTGAAAGAGATTAATGGTATTTTGTTAGCAAACTAAGCAAACATTTAGCAATCAAACGGCAACAATGTAAGTGTTAGATTGTTCAGTATATATATAAAACTCTCAACATCTGTTGTGATTTATAGTTTTCCGCAGGCACGTGGAACATTTCTTTAATCTCTACGCGCGGAAGTTTAGTGATACGGGGGCTGTTTTGTCGCGAGTTCAAGCATGACTTGAAAAGTCCCATGGTTTCCCCCCGTCCAACTACAAAAGCTGCAATCTGCGTTCCAAGTGTGTTTATCTCAATCAGCAAAAACACACCACGCCAAACGCACTATTCAAATGACCATGTGTAGCCAATTCGTGTCTGCGATAAGCGGATTATTTATTGCCCTCTGGCATAGTGTGAGAAAAGTGGCTGCGTTAAGACGTTCTACAGGCTAATCGCGCAGACCACCCTCAATGACATATACACGTGCCCACCCTGTTTTTCATGAAGGCTTCCCACCCCATGGTGGAAATATGTTCAAAACGAACGTAATCTTCAAAAGAGTAGCAAAACTGAGCAGCGTCTTGATTATTAACACTATAGTGTGAAAAATTAAATGATTTACATGGCAAAACTTGTGTCGCATTTAGTAGGGTAAATGGTTGGCCTTATTACAAGTAGATTATATAAGATTGATAGTAAATTACTCAGTACAATGAATTTTAAATTGAAACCGCAGAAAAGTTTTGATTGCGCCAAACCAAAAAGTGCGATAAAATGAGAAAGCCGCGGACTGCTGACCTTGTCCCCTTGTGGTAAGGTAGCTGCTTTACTTGTAGCTTTAAGTGCAGAGGATGCCAATTTTGTAAAGTTAAAAGTAAATAGGAGCAGAACAATTTTTACCTTTTGATAGAAATTAAACTTATTTATTAATTATTATGGTCGATTTCAACTTTCAAATTTGAGCCGCTGAAATTATATTGGTCCGCACCTAAAATTTAAAGAGGTTGAGTGATGTTCTGATAAAATATTTTTAATTTTCCGTTATAGCAAAATCTATGAAAATTTTTAATTCAAATCCTAGCTTTCTTTGAATTTAATAAAACGCATGCTTTCAGTTCCGGTCCTGTACTCAGAGAGCCAGAACTGAAACCAGAGACCCATAATTATCATAACTCAACAGTCACCGCGAATTGTTGTAAACATAAATTTTTTATTTAAATTTACTGTAAGATATTGAATATTGTTTCTTTTATTTATCGCTTTAAACAGAAAACATGGAAAATCCAGAGCACCAATTTACACTGTTACTCACAATGCGCATTGATTGTCTGATAATACATTTTTGGACAAAAAAAAATCAACTCTTTATTCCAGAATTGATAAGTGTTTCCCGGAAACCACTTATATGGTTAACCACAGGTTTTGATACTTTGATCATTTGACGTTTGATTGAAATTAATATTAAGAAATTATTATTTTCCAATCATATTTTAAATTTTAATATAAATTTCATAGCCAGCAGAAAACTGAAGAAAATATCTTCCTTTACAGTGATTGAACTTCATTAATTTATATTTTTATACGAAAGATTTGATGTGCTTTAATTCAATAGGCATTTTAAATAATTAGGTACGTTTGAAACTATAAGGCCAGCGAAAAAAAGGTGCGCCTATCAATTCGGAGGTTGCATCTACGTGCCAGGAGCAAGTTCGCTTTCAAGGCCAGCCGCACGGTATTTTGACTCTTGTTTATTCGGATCGGTTGCACTTGAAAATAACAAGAGCCCAAAGGACCCTTGCAAAACCCGTGACCGCGACATTTCCAAAATCCGAAATGCATCCAAGCTGCATAATATTTCGGCGCGCCTTGACCCGAAAATAAAATAATATGCATCGCGCGACCGGCAGAGAGAAATTGGGCTGGGTGGGCACCAGTGACGTCACTTGGCGTCAGAGAACGTTTATGGCCCGCCAGAAAAAAGCAGCGGTGAGTCATGCCGCGAACACGTCATTCATTGCGTCATTGTTGTTCGAGATGAACCGCAGCTCTTTCTCTCACCTGCGCGCGAGAGATAATACGGAGACGATCGTCTCAGAATCTGGTCACGCTCCGTTGCCGCCCCGCCACCTGCTGTCCCCTAATTATTGCAAGGTGTGCGGCATTGTTCTCGCAAGGGGCCGCCGCAAAGGTGCCATGCTAATTTTTCGGGTGCAAAAACCTGGCAAGGGGCGCTGCAACAGGTGCCCGCCAAACCGCACAATTCGAGGAAATCGCGCAGACAAAAACAAAAGGTGTTGAGATTGCCGATTGTTTTGTTTTCGCGGCACACGCGGCTGCTGCAACGAAAAGCTTAAACTGCAGCTTGCAGATTTTACTCTCACGGAAGTTAACCATGTGCAAACTAAAGGAAAAGCACAGGATCGTCTTGGAAATAAACAGAAGAACAGCCACCTGCCTCTAAAAAATAGTTTCTTTTGGTTTAAGAGTAAATAAATTATTTTATCATTTTTTTTTAATTTTGATACTTTTCTATAGTTGCATGTTGGTTCTTCTATTGCACAAAATAGTTACCATATAATTGATTGAAATAAAACTCAATTGAAGAAATGGGTACTCTCGAAGACGTTCAGGATCAAATAAGAAAAAGTTTAGTTTTATGATTTTTTTTTTTTAATATTATATTCTTAAACATTTCAAAGAATAATTAAAAAAATATGAAGGGATATTAATATTTTTTTAATATTCTAAGTTATCTCCAATTAAATATTAAAAATCTGTTTCAAAAATTTCCTTTTACTGTGTTTAAAATTAAGTTTAACGAGATAATAAAGTCAGTAAAAAAACTCTGAAACCAAGTATATTTGAAATTTACTAGGAAAGATCTGAGCGAGATTTTCTTTAGTTATCAAATTGTAGCATATTTCTTAAAAAAAAATCTCCTGCAAACTGCTCCTTAGGGGAAATGCTTTACACTCTTTCGGTAGCAACTTTGATAAAGCCATATATCCTGTATATGGCCAGCATTTTATCAGTTATGCGTTATGCATGATAAAAAGCATGCGATTGTTAAAATAAAGTCTACACTAGTCTCGCCGTTTACTGATCGTAAACTAAGAAATGAATTAAATTAAATAATTGGAATGATTCATTAAATTCTTTTAATGCAAAAGATTCAAAGTAATTAAAAGTCCGACCTAATAAATACTGGAGGAAATTGACATGCTGTTTATGTTATCTTATGGGAAATTCTCAAATTTCTTGTACTAACTTTGTATAATATATAATATGAAATGCAAATATCTGCCAATTTAAATTCAAACCACATTTTTATAATGAATAATTTTAAGGTTAATGAAATTGTATTAATGGAACCCTGCCCAGTTCATGGGTAAAAATAGAAGAAGTGACTAATGTTGATTTCAAATTATACTTCGATATTAAATTAACCAGAAAATGAAGTTTTTATTTAAAGACAAATATTGTACTCATCTATTTTGATGGGGGCCTTATTTTTTGACAAATTTCTTCTTCTTCTTCTTGTATGAAAGTTCTACTGCCTTTTCAAGGATGGATCCAGATTCATCGTTGATCCGTTTTTGTCCACTAAAAATGCATCAATCAATGAAAAATTACAGCAAAACCAGAATTTTTCTTTATCTCACCTTTTGACTGTGATCATGCTCTTGGTGACTGATCCTGTCAGGGCTTTATCCCACTCCTGTTCAGAGCCTTTAATGGCGTATTGGGCAAGATTTTCTTTCTTCAGAGCCTCAAGCTGCTTCATCTGCTTAGCTTTGAGATCCTTTAAACAAAAGTCCAATTTAATTTTAAGAATTTAATAAGTAAAATATTTAATCACCTTAGCCACTTCGTCCAATTCATTTTCAAGCGTCTTTTCTACTGGTCTCATTGATTTTTCATCACTTCTGACTGGAACAGGCATCAACTGAGCCTCGGCAGACTGTTCGACAATACCCCTGAGGTATGTCAATAACTTCCTAATGGTTCGATTGAAGAGACCAAGCAGCTGGGAAGATGGCACATCAAGTTCACCGGAAATGTCGTCAACTGTTCTATGCTGAAGGCCAACTCCAAGTAAAATTGCCTAAACATGAACCGTATAAAAACAATCTTTATAGGAAAGGCAAATAAATTTTACAGCTTGAACAGCAGAGAGGTGTGTATCTCCAAGCCATTTTTGAAAGTAAAGTCGGGACAATGTTGGCATCAAGTCCATAATGAGGTGATAATCTACCATGTTATTACAATACATCTCCAGCCTTTTCATGTCGTACTGTGTCAAGTGGACGTCCATCTCGGAAGAGGAAAGATCTATTTTTAATTGTTAGTTAAGGCCAGATAAAAGTTTGAATTACTTACTTCTGTGGTCATCTTTCCACAACTTATTTTGGAGGACGCTAAGAGCAAAGGAAGGGGTGAATGTTCGGAATTGATATCCCAAAAGGGAAATGAAACGGCGCCGGAAATCTGTCCAGAATTCTTTTAGCCAGGACAACCCCTGGCTATTTTCTTCCTCCATCACATGAAGCATAATGCAAGAATGTTCTCCAGTAAGCTCATTTGGAGTTTGCCTGTTGAAATAATTAATAATGGTTCCAACATTTGCTTGGAGTGACTACCTGAGATACACAGGCACAAACTGGCTCTTTTTCCAAAACTTCAAAAGCTCCTCAGTCAAGCCAAATGACACACCAATGTAGTCAAGACGCTCAGGAGGCCTTTCACTCAGTTTCAGCAGAAGCGGGGGAAGACTTTTACGTGGTTCTAATATTTATTCGAAATTAAAATTAACGGAACATAAATTTTTTTAATAAAAATAGAAAATACCAATAACTTCATCAAGGAGTCCCACACTTTCGGATTCAACGGCTTCAATTGCGCAAATAGGTCTGCTCTCTTCATCAATACTTGGAATCTTCATATTGTAGTACTGCTTCAAAATTTCAAGAGCTCGAGTCCCGTAGCCCATTCCCTGGTAGTCTGGATTAGTGGCGATTCGCACAATACGAGCGCCACTCAAATTAGGGAATTCCTTATCTTGGTATTGCTGGGCAACAGTCCAAGGGATCAAGTCACCAGCCGCCTTTTTCCCTCTCTGGAGACCACTAGCAATTGTCTCTTTGGAAATGACACCTTCGAGGCAAACCTGAACCACGACCAGAACTTCAGGTAGCTTCTTTTGGTTAGGGTCGACTGGTCCAAGCAAACAGAACAAGTGATGAGCAGGCGCATCAGACAACATTTGGAGGTCATTTGGTGTATTCTGCGGAATAATTGTGATTATTTGGATTTCATTATTAACAAAAATTTACCTTGTAATGAGAGGCAACGTAGAGTGCCATGATCCTGTGCAGGAAAGCTTCAGATGCTTTGTGGTAGCAGAAGAGGGTGTCCCTATTTGGGCAGAAATTTAATAAAAACAAAACCATAAAATCATTCTACACAATACCTGTTGATATAGTAAAGTTCGCAATTCTCAGGTGGTGGGCAACCTGACATCACCGGAGCAATGGATGTCACATCAAGGCAGAGAACTTCTGTGAGCCACTTTTCCACTTCATCTCCTGGCTTGTAGCGAATTGATTCGTTCAAGACCACCTCCTGAAGAACTCTTCCTGTAGCAGCACTAGTGGATTTTTGCTTGTTCATGTTTTCTCCGATCGGTGCTGCCTGCACTCGAAGCTGTTTTATAAGTTTCAGAGACAATGACCGTCCAGTCCCTTCATACCTAAAATTTGAGAAAAAAAATTATAAGGCATTTAAATTTAAGGAGTTTTGAAAAACAAACCCATTGATGGTAGACGAAAGGAATACTAGGTATGGCCCTAACAAGCTTTTGACATAGGGCAGTGGAATTGCAGCTGCTTCGTCAATGACCAAAAGCTCAGCTTGGCCGAGTTTTTGGGCATCCGTGGGATGAATGTATTGGATGGTTTGTCTGTGGTCTCGGAAAATATTGACTCGCACTACAGCTTTGTTAAACTCGGGGTTTGAAGACTGGACCAAATCATAATCCAAGTGCTCCTGATACTCTAAAGCATCCAGTCCTGCAAAAAAAATAAGTTAAAAAATTATAATAATTCAAATATTCCAAAATTACCTTTGAAAACAAATTCAAAGAGTGTCTTCAAGTTTTCAGGGCTGGGACTTGTCACAAAAATGTTAGAATAGCCAAAACCAACAGCGCCAGCGATTGCAAGCCCGAGGGCTGCGGACTTTCCCCGACCTCTTGCTGCGGTCAAGGACACAGTTGACCTGAGCGACTTTTCCGAAATTGCTTCGATGAATTTTAAAAGAGCACTGGCTTGGTCTAGGGTTTGGCAAATGTTGGCCAGCGCTCCTACAGGTTGAGTGTCTTGTAGACTTTCTTTCAGGGTCAGCAATTCATTCTCGCTTTCGGGAATGGGAACTTCTCCCACAGGTTCTAGATTCAGGACGTGTGAGGACAGTGGCAGAACTGAGAGTTGGTCATCAACAACTAAGCACCTCTTATTTGAAGAAAGAGAGAGCAAAAATCTAAAATGTTACAGTCAAATATCCGTTATAATTTGAAAATAATCAAACCTTTCGTTAAATCGGCAAACCACATCTTGGTGAGCCTCTGTACGGAATCGCTCGTGAACGTCCATGGACATAGTGTAAAGCTGTCGCAATGATTCGACACTTTTCAAAAGTAGAATGACCAGGCCACCACCTTCAACCGTCTCTACCGTTCGTGCCAGCAGATTTGGCGTAAGTGCTTCGAAGTCCTTGAATATTTTTTATTTTAATTTCTTATTTGAAATAGAAAAATAAATATTACTTGTAAAATGCACATTCCATAAGTCTGGCCTAAGATTTTGTGCGTTTCAGAGTAATAACAATATCTGATGTCTGTTGATGATATAAAAAGCTCAAAAGGGTCGTCCTCGTTAACATTCAGTTTTCCAGTTTTGATTTTCTTTTGGAGCTGCTTCATTCTTTTCTTTCGGTTGCTGCAATAGAATAAAATTTATTGTATGTATGTCATTTATGTATTTTAATAATAACGAAAACATTTGCTTTAAAATTTTCCAACCAACCTGCTGAATCCCAACTCTTTTTTGTAGCACCACAAAACACTCGGCCTCGCTTTGATCGCTGCTTTGGACAGCATGTGATGGAGAATAACGACCTGAAGATTTATTTTTTAAGTCAGATAATTAAAAAAAATTGGGTGAATGGGTGATGCGATGAGATGATAATACATACCTGGTCACGGCCCTTGTCGCCGACGATGGCGAACATTGTTCTGTGCCCAAGTTTGACTCCATTTTCAATCAGAAGTCGAATTCTGTTGTCAATCTTTTTACGAACCATTTTTGGAGCTCAGAAATTTCACTCCGGAAAGCTTTCAAAACGGAAAAATTTAATGAAAATTGTATGGATGCGGTAACAAGCCTTCTCAGGTCCTTTTTGTTTTTGTTTCCTTCTCGTTCGTCCCACGTGGTTTACTCAATACCGGCAAAAAATAACCGGTAATATGTAGATTTTTCAAAGAACCGGAGAAAAACCTGAGCTTTTTGAGGAAAGAACAACCGGTTAGTTTCTAAATTACGATTAATCGCAAATCTACCGCCTTTTTGATTTCAACCATGTGCTCCGCCGTCGGCTTGCGGGTTGTTTGTTTTTGTGAATATTAATTTCACATTTTTCAGTATATTCCTTAAGTTTCGCCGTGCTTACAATAATTTTAAGCATAGCATCAAAGAGCTAAATGAAGATATAAAATAAATTGAATTTAAGTGGCTTTCAAAGTTTCAAAATGAGTGAAACACCGACAAGATCTCGAGCTTCTAGGAAATCCAACCGCAATCTTGATCTTGACTTTAAGCGTGAGTTTTCTGTTGATTTTTTTCCAATAGCCTGATATGATCACATAATGGGACACATTTTTTAATTATTTATCTTGTGCTTCATTTTTTCCAGCAAACGTCACAATACACGTAGTGCAGACTCCGCTGAAGACCATTGCAGCATCACCAGCCCCGCAGAGCCCAGCCTTTGCTACCAGATCAAGGGTCAAAATTGATGAAAGTGTTTTAAAGCTTACTGATCAGTTGTTAAGCGCTAAGAAAAAGTTTAAGACCAGTACCAAGAAACCATCTAAGCAAACAAATTCCAAGGTGCCTTAGTCTTTCAAGTGGAAAAGAAGAATGTTTGAAAAAGTAACCTTCGTACATTTTTTTAGGATACAGACATTGAAACTGAAGATGATGAAGAAGAGGATGCTCAGAAGCAGGATGTCATGTCCCAGCAATCTTTGGTAAATAATTTAAAATAAAAATGGCATATTTTTACAAGTAGAAAAAATCCTGAGTAGTTGGCCGAGCCTCTGCCATCGAGCCAAGAGCCAATGCTAATGATGTCACCAAATAATGCTTTAATATTGTGTAAAGAATTGATAAGCACAGAAAATGCTGATGAGCCCAAGGACGAGAGTTCTAAACCAACAGATGGAGAGGATAAGGATGTCCCCAATTTAATGGTTAGTTAAATTTGAATTCATTGCATTTTCATCAATATTTTTTCGCATATGAAGCAGGTTAATGATGACATAGAATTGGAAAAAGGCTCTGCAGATGATCCTGCTGAAGAAAATGCTAGGACTCTGAATGAAAAAGGTTATCTTGGTAGTTTAACAACAGAAGACATCAACACAAATGTGGAAAATGAGGAAAGTCAGGAAGAAGAAGAAGATGACCTCCTTAGCAGTGGTCTTGCTGTATTAAGCCAGGAAAAGCACCAAGAGAAAGGAGCTGATGACACAGCTTCTGATGAATGCACAGTAGAGAAGGATTGGGATTTAAATGATGGTGGAGCAGACTACTATTGTTCCGATGTAAGTTAAAAATAAAAATCAAGTTATATAATTTATTATTTTTAAATCAACAGGACAATGCTGGAGGGTCTCAAAATAAAACACTTGTCCCTGAAAGTGCTGATGAGGTAAGCAATTTTTTATCCAATGTCAAGCATATTTAATCCTCTCAAACTTAAAATAGTTTAATGATATCAAATTTCTTTCATATTTACAAAAAAGTGCATCAGTGCATTAAACGAGCTTGAAGTTGAGAGTATAAAGCGTGTAATAAAATGCATGAGAATTCAGTTGCCATCTAGCATTGTGAGGGATATGCTCTTAATTTGCAACTGTTTTCCTATTTTGCTTGATGTTCAAGTCACTTTTAATTGCACATGGGACTTCTTAAAATTTGAATCATATTTTGTTCAATCTGGATCTGTTTTTTTTTCAAGGAGGGAAGTGATCAAAGTTTCGATCAATATGTTGAAGACATGAAAGATGATGAAAAGCTCAGCTCATCATGCCCAAGGGTAATGTTAGAGAAAATTAAGGTATGATGTTCTTTAAACCACTTACACATTATTTTTATTGAATGGGCTGGCTTTAGGTTAATTTATTAATTTAATTTTCAAATACCATTGACATACAAATCAGGCTTTAGGTTACCTTTTTTATCTATTCTAAAAGTATTTATTGTAATAAATACTTTTGTAAACACAGTTAATTTTTTTAATTGTCTGATTACAGATACCAGAAAGTTCCTCTAGTTGCGAAACAAGACAGAATACACCAAGGCAGCTCAAAAAAAGAAGAAGCAAATCTTTGACTCCCAGTTCTGCAGCCAAGAAAAATTATTTGAAAAACTTGATGGACAACAGTCTGAAGATAATATCTATGGAAATCAATGCTGTCGTTGGAACAGAAGACCAGAGGGTGGCCAATATCAAGATTAAAAGAGGTGGAGCTGTTGCGAGCCCAATGAGACTTAGCCTCACCAAAGCATCACCTATTTCTGAGAAGAAGCTACTGTCGAGCACTGAAAGGAAACAAAAGCAGCAGAAAGCCATGTTTAACTGGAGTGTAACAGATACTGATGAGTCGGAAAGCTTTGATGAATCCAAGTTGGGCAAAGTGAAGACGTCAGTGCAGAAAGAAAAGAAACATGGAAGGGAATCGCCTGTAAAGTTGCCCGACGAGTCAACTTTGGAAGAAAGAGAAAACCCTTCCTCTCCAACCAAGTTGAAGAGAATAAAACAGAAAGTGGAAGACATTGAAGTAGACTCTCCTAGGAAAAATGCTGAAACCAAAATTCAAGAACCTTCCTCGCCAAGCAAGTCTCTTAAGAAGGGTCAAAAGAGTGATGAGGTTTTTGGCAAAGGAGTACCTGTAAAATCTCCTGAAAAACGCATTGAAGCAGAGAAATTTACCTCTCCAAGCAAATCTCCGAAGAAAAGGCGCAAAGAAAAGAAGAGCATTGTTGGTGATGCTGAACTAATGGAAGGTGAAGAGGAGGAGAGGTCTGATTCCATCATGGAGGTTGATGTAGCTGCAGATACTAAACCACAAGAAGTAGATGAATGTGGAAGTCCTAAGAAAAGGAAAGCTAAAAGTAAGAAAGAAGTAGAAAAAGATGAAGATAATGTGATGCTGATGGATGTTAAGGAAAATGAAAAACCTATCAAAGTGCAGGAGTCAAAAGGACATGAAAGTGATGATTCAGAAGACGCACCTGAAGAGGTCAGCGTCCAGACGTCTAAGATATCTGTTGAGCAATTGATTCAGAAAGAAATTGAAGCTATTCAGCTTATTAAATTGGCCAAAAAAGAAAAGAATAAGAAGAGAAAGGAAAAAAGGAAACTAGAATCAAAGGCTGCCAAAGCAGGAGAGCTAGGTGAAGAAGAAATTGTCCTTAAGGCAAAGAAGAAGAAGAAGAGAGACAAATTGGCAAGGGAGGGAAAGATACAAGACGAGTTGCAGAAAAAAGAGGAGGAGAAGAAAGTAGAAGAAAATGAGACAGGTATGTTGTTCAATTGTTCGAGAAAAAATCTTAAATGTTATACTTGCATGCAGAGTGGGCTGCACAAAAGAAAATTCCTGACAGTATTTTGGAGGAGCTGGAAACTTTAGACAAGTTGGGAGAAAGCAAGAAGAAAACCAAAAAGAAGAAAAAGAACAAATACAAAGTACATGAAGAGGAGCAAGTGAAGCCTAAAAGTAAGATGACCTTATTGATGTATTTGAATCATAATTTATTGTTCATAAAACTTTCCAAAAATTTATGTAATGCAAATAATTCAAATTATTTTCAGAAACTAAGTTTTCTGAGGATTTCATCCCTCTGGAAGTAGAAGGTCCCACCAACTTTGGTCTGGTGCCTCTCGATGAGTCCTCAATGAGAGGATTCGTCAGTGCCAAGGAAGCAAGAAAATGGAAACAGCAGTTTAGCATTGGCAAGAATACTAAAATTGATGGTAAATTATAAATATCTGTTGCAATCAAGTTCTAATTAGTAAGCTTTAAAATTCTCCAGTCAACAAGTCAAAGAAACTGCAGGCAAAGTTGAAGGCTCAGGGTCACTCCATTCCCAAGGGCTTCAAAGGCGACCAGCACTTCTTTTAGGTAAAAAGTTCTTCTGGCACGTAATATTTGAATTTTAATTTTCTATCAGTTGTCCAAAGGACAGCTAGATTTATTCGACATTTTTCTATATCAGTTGCATTTTGTATGAACTACTAAATGTTATGCACACACTGCATACTTGCGGAGACTTTGTAAATCTGTGGACAAGTTATAAATGCCTATGTGTTTAAAAAGGTGACAAATTTTGAGAATAAAAACATAATGTTTTTAAATACTATTATTTATTGACAATTTACATTTTTACACATAAAATTTAATCATTTAAAAAATTTACAGTATCACCAAAGGGTTTCAAAATTTCAATTAGGTATTTCTTATTTTGCGCTTTGCCTGAAAATAGTCCAATATGGAATAAGCAAAAATGCTGCGAAGGCAAATTTATTTATAGAAAAGAAACAAATAACTATTTGTCAGCAGGGACTTACTTAGAAGTGAAATTCCAAAATCAAGAGTTACTTTTATTTACATCAATGATAAGAAGGAAGAAGTCCTGTCTTTTGGCACAGTCAAGAGCACTCGAGAGGAGGTCACAGGTCGAGTTTTGCGCCCATGCGTTGCAAGGCGACTATCATGTTGACCGCTTTGGCCCATCGCTTCTTGATCACGTAGCGCTTCAGCTTGCGCTTGCTGAGCTGGAGTGCCCCGTCAGCAACCGGGTGGCGGAGGAACGTGTGCTCCAGTGACTCGGCCGCGGTCATGCGCGCACTGGAAAATTGAAACGCGAAAATCAGAGGGACTTAAGAGGCACCGACTGCTTTTGATTTGTGGCTAAAACTTTTTTGCTACTCTTGCACTCTGAGCTGGAAGACTCGAAAATTGTCCGAATGTTGCGGATGCTGTGGTTGTCGATGTTGATCTCAATCTGGCCCCATCGCATGCTCTTTCTGTTTTCAACCCCCTGCGGTTCGGGCGACAGTCTGGTTGGTGACGATGGCGCCGACTGACTCGACGAAGAGCTAAGAGAACGCAACGGACTGTCCGGTTTGGCTCTCGGAACGTCCCGACTAATTTCCGACAAACGGAATTTGGGCCCACTGGCACTATTGTTATTGTTGGCCAAATCGTGAGCTATCAACCGACATAGCCTGTCAGACAGGCGTTTTATTTCATCGGCGAGATTTGTGGTTGGCTGTCTGGACAACCGGGACGCCAGACAGCAACTGTCAGATGCGCGTCTTTCCGAAATGATCTTGTCCAGGAAGCGGCTGTGGACGACGGTGGGTGCGTCCTGGAAACTGTAGTGCGTGAATTCTTCACCGAACTCGAGCACGGAGTCTGGCGAGCTGGGAAGTGAGCTATGTGGCGACGGCGAACCCGCACGCATTGAGTGGGCGGACTGTCCGACCATGCCGGCGCAGTTGGACAACGAGATGGAGTGACACGTGGGGTCAAACACGTAGGGGCTGTTGGGGTGTTCGCCCCACCGCTCAACGAAGCCGCGGAGGTTGTCCTTGGTGACCTCGAGAGGGGGTGGTGAGGGTGGCTCCTCCACCACCACGGGCGGGGGGATTTTGATGGTGGTGGCGGCGTTATTGGCCGGTGGCGACCGCCTCCGCAACCACGGATGCTTCAGACACTCAGACGCTGTCAAACGGGCGCTGCTCACCGGACAGACAAACAGCCCAGGTTAGAGACAAGAAAAATGAGAAGCGATTTGTACATGCTGTGTGTTCTGAGAACTCAAATAATGCTCTCTCTTCAAATAACTTCAGAAAACCTGATTGAAAATACTTTTATCAGGTTCAGTAACTGTCAAATTGTCATATTTTTTTTATTTGTAAATTTTTATTCTCAAAAAGATTATTTTTATTATTTTCTATTTAATTTCAAATGAAAGAAAATCATTTATTTTTAGAATTAATTAAAATATCGTGTTCTTAAACCTTAAATTTATATTGTTCCCCCAATATATTCAATTTTAGAAAAGTTACAAAATAGAATTATTTAATGAGAGCTATATTTGAGTAAAGATTTTGTGTATCAACATTTCAGAGTTAATAATGATCCATGAATGGATGAGGCAATATTCTATGTAGACGTCTCTATCTCTACATGAAGCATTTGCCATTAATGTGCTAAGCTGTTAGTAGTAAAATTTATAAAAAAAATCAATCGATCTATCTATCTTGTTTTCAATAATGTGCAAATGCAAATTCATTATTGTTTATTAGCATTGAATTTAAATTTCTTGCGTGAGATTTATTTTGTTACCTTAATTTTTTTTTTCAAATTTATTATGCGAGTTAATTTTTTTTTTTTTTTCAAAAATTTATAAAGTAAATGGACAAAACAAAACCAGTGTAACAAAAAGTGCTCTCTGCGTATAGTTTTCAAAATTGGCAGAGAGGGTTAAAAAGCATCAGCAAAATCATGCGTGGGCTTTTGTCCATCTTCTGTCTACGACAAAATCACTAAAAATCCGACTTCAAAAATAGAAGAAGATACGGATTCATTTTTACTGCTGTCTAATTAAAAGCCTTCCAGCTCAGAGATTGCATCTATATAAAGAAGTAGTGCCTCATCCATGCGGACGTCTTAATTTTTTTTTTTTTTTTAATAGTGTATACCAAATATATTCGCATACCTTTGGTCCTTGACAAGGAGTTTCTGAATGAAGTCTTTGGCCTCAGAGGAAATCTCGTTGAACGCCTCGTCGTCGAAGTCGTAGTTGGCAATGGTAACGTTGGCCATGGTTTCGATATCAGTCTCGCCCATGAATGGCGACAGTCCAGACAGCCTGCGCATGGGAATAGATTGATAAATGATCTTCATTACTGCGAAAACTTAAGGCACTTTAATTAAAATGCCACTTGCTTAAGATAAATCATTAGGATAGGCTGAAACGGAACAATTATTTACGGATCCTACTGTTAATTGGCAAACGAATCAATTTGCCAAATTTATCTATCAGACCAGAATCTTCTAGGTGCAAAAATAGTTCGTTCAAACAAATTAAATTTTATAATTTATTAACACATATACAATTAAAAGTTGCATCTCATAACTTGATTTCCTTTTTTGCTTACATTTACAATTAGTGAGTGTTTTATTTAAAAACAAAAATGTAAGCTCAACTATTAATAATGTTAATCATTAAAACAATTCAACCAAAAATAGCAGAGCAAATTGCAAAATTTTTGGCACCACGAAATATTGCAATAATTGTGGCTAGACACAGAGCAAGTTATAAATTTATTGCTAATAACTCTGGACAGCTTGTTGCTCAAACAACCATAATTATATTAATTCAAGATAATAATATAAAATTAACGAACAAGTGCAAAAAATGTACTTACAGCACATAGCAAATGACTCCCACAGACCACATGTCCGTGCCGAAGCCAATTTTGTCGAAATTCACTACTTCGGGGGCGACGAATTCGGGCGTGCCAAACAAAACCTGCAGCTTTTTTTCCGGGTCGAACTTCCGCGCCAGACCGAAGTCGATGATTTTGATTCTGTTCCCCGTCCTCGTCAGACACAAAATGTTCTCCGGCTGAAAGCAATACATGCACGTAATGAGGTTAATGGTTTGCCGAGCATTTGGCTCCAAGCATGCGACGAGAGATTATTCGACTAGATCGCGAGTTAATTTGGCGAGAGTGCGAATTTAGCAGTGCTAACCTTCATGTCGAGGTGTAGAATGTTTTGTTTGTGGACGAATTCGACGCCCTCGCATATTTGTCTCATGAACACCGCACACGCTTTTTCCGTCAGTACAAAGTCGTCGTCGATGACTCGCTCAAACAATTCGCCACCAGTGATTCTGAAACAAAAAAGCCAAAGTAAAATAGTTGTATAAAAAATATTATGTTTGTTTAAAGAAGTTTTAAATTATTTCAAATTTTAAATTAGTACATTTCTGAAGAATTTTTTTACACTGGCAACGCAAACAATTAAGTTCATGTTGTTCACATCGTGTTTAATTAAAGAAATGTCACACAATATAATAGTGGTGAATTTTCATTCCACTTTTTATTGCTGTCATTTCCGCCACTTGTTTATGCTTCAGTCGTGACAGTTCTGTCAATTTTGTTGGAAATTTCCAAGTGTCATGAAAGTGAAATGAAATAAACATGCTCTCGGTCTGCTCAAAGTGCTGACAATTGCCATTATTTAATTCTTGTAAACAACAACTGCGCCTTGTCGAGTTTCAACATGTGCAACTTTCCGTTTCCCCGGCGTGGGTTGAAAGGCCAGAAGAAATAATGCAGAGAGTGTGAAATAATTAGCACATTGGTCCATTAATGCAGGCCATTAGTGGGCGCATATTATTGCAATTGCCAGGCACGCGCGGTTTAATTTCGCCAGTCGTCTCATTTCGTAAGAAATATTACACATTTCTGCTCGTCTGACCAAAATTACCCCCGAAATCATTAAATCACACACGTCGACCCGTTTCATTTTGCTGGCCAAACATTATTTCGCTCTCGCAGACGTACGCGCAAATTGCTCTTCACGCGCAAAAACAGAACATATTTCTCGCTCTGGAGCAAAGTCGTTCAAGTCGCGAAAAATAACTCTTTCGCCCGGATTTTAAATAAACAACAAGGCCAATGCCAAGATGAGTAAGTAAACTGCCGCCGGCCCGCCGCCTTTCTCCCCTGCGCTGTCGTCGCCACCCACTATACACTTATAACAGAGGCCTGCGATTCTAATAAATGTGAAAATTCGGCCGCAGGACCTTGACAGCAGATGGCCTGAGGCTCTCGTAATTGGCCCTCGAGGACAGAATTAGCCGCTAATAGTTTTGTTTTAGATCCTAGAAACTTTCACACTACCAGTTCTTTGTTCAACCAAATTTTAAAACAATGATCGAAATAATAGTTTTTCAAACAATCGCCATTCAAAACATTCTAAACAAATAATAAATTACAATTTATTCATCTCCCAGGTTCTTCCATGTTCCAAAATAATTGATAAATTATAAACAATTACGCTAATAATTAAATAAAAAATCAATCTTTATCATCCAGGTGAAAGAATAGTAAAATAATATTTTTTCATTATTTACGTTCATTTTATTACTATTATTCTCTTCAATTAAATCTAAATAATTTCAAAAAATATTGGAGAGAGACTGAATGTAATTGAGCAAACAAAAATTGATCAAATTTAAAATACCTCTAACCATTGAACTAACAATAAGAAAGAATTTTTGATATAATTATTCAGCATTTTAAAATAGTAGAGAATAGACTTTCAAAACAAAGTGCAAGAACGTCGCACTTGTTTGCCTTGTTCGCACTGGCTTTGTCTCTCTCTCTACAGATGATTCGAGGCGAAAATAAAATGCGTCGATTGCAAAACGGGCGAGATAAACAGCCGAGTGGTGCGCACGTTTGACCAAGCGCATCGCCATCTGACTCTGACTTTGGCTACTCGGCCCCAAAATAAACACCCCTGTGTTCTCTCGCGAGTGATTTTGGCCGTCGGCCTTCACTTTGCCTCGCCTCTCGCGTCCCATTCTCTTCATCGGCGCTGTTCAAACTTCAATGTCCAAGCAGCAAAAGCGAGATGCTTACGCGAATATGTACCGGTTGAGTGAAATTGAAACGCTTGTTGAACAATGAGCGTCTTTATTTGTTTTATCTGCCATGCATTGCATACTTTGTAGTACGCTTGGCTATTTTCTTGACGATGCGCTCGAGTGCCTATTTAATGCTCTCACTCAGGTGTTTTATTAATTTAAATTATGACTTTTATACCTAAATTATTTACAAAAATCGTGAAAACAATATTGACAAACATGATGGATAAAAAAAAATAGTGACCTATATAGCTAGTTCAATAGAAATAATTTATCAGGGCTTATATTTGAAAACATTCAACCGAAATAGAAAAACATAAATTTACTTGAATTCCTTTGAAATGTCGCAAAATCTATCAAATTTGACAAATGGAAAGTATTTTGGGAAAAAATGCGTTTCTCAGCCAAGCGGCGCCGCATCTCCGGCGCTAAATAAAAACACGCTCGTCGGCCGCTGGACAAGTGGGACGAATTAGTCGTCGCTTACGAGAGTGACAGAATTTGCGGCGCAAAGACCCACTTTTCACAGAGAGTCGCTTTGAATGTCCAATTAATTTTCAAGTTGTAAACCACTTATTCTGCGTCAGCCAAGTGCTTCTCAGTAATTTCTTTTCTCTTGCTCTTCATCAACATTTTTCACCACAGGCAAAGAAACACAAGACATATTTTTAGAATGCACTTTTAATATTTGCAGTTTATTTTTTTCCTTATTAAAAAGTTCAAAGTTTGATAAATGAAGCGAAACTGGACGAAAGGAATTCCTTTTGGCTGCAGGCTCAAAATAATACGCTTAAAAAAGGCCGGAATTCCAGTGCAAAGGAAACCTGTTGAGAAAAAGCGGCGGTTTTCGGTTCAGACCAAAGCACTGGCAACTTTCCAGCGGAGCGAATCACCATGTGCATTCCATCGCGGATTATTTTCCAACCCGCGACGGCAGGACAACAAACAAGCAGCCAGCGGAAACGACAGTGGTCTTTGTTTTTTCTCTCCGGCTATGAACAACGCTGGCAGAAAATGGACTGCCGAATATTTGCTGACCGCTGAGTGAAGCCGCGCTGGCTGGACCGACCAAAAATAAACCCATCTTCGTACATACAAAGTGACGTCACTTTATTGCGTGCCTGCTTAAATCCTGTTCGACCATTATTTGCAGCCGATTCCGGTCGGGTTCAACGGCCACCGCTTTTTTGAAAATTTGGATTCACTTCAAGAATTTGTCCGACCGAATTGCTACGATTATGTTTCACTTAGTGGAACTGATTGATTGTTTCTGGCCAGCTCGAGAGTAGAGAGCTGACTTCAAATTATTCTTTAGAAAAGAAAAAAAATTACAAATGAATTTAAAATTTTGAATTAAATTTGGGAAATCGATACATAACCAAATTTTTTTAGCTTCTTAATAATTTTATATAACTCTTTGAAAAAATTCATGTAAAATTAATTTTTACTTAAAGTACTTTATAATTTTTAAGCAGGTTAAAAAATGAGTACTTACAGCTCTAAAACGAGACACATAGTTTTTCCATTATCAAAGGCGTCGTAGAGCTGAATCAGTCTGGGATGCTGGAGGACCTTCATGATATCCACCTCCCTCTCCACATTTCGCCTGTCTTCCTTGCGCGGGGTCAGCACGAATTTCGCAGCCAGGCCGAGTCCAGTGGCCTTTTCTTTGCACTTGTACACGGTGCCGAATTTCCCTCTGCAAAACAAACAAATCGACGTTGATTAAGCACCGCTGCAAACGAAGACGGATTGATTTTGCGACGGAAATAAAAATCATCGGTGACCTTCTGACACTCATTTTTCTCAATCTCGCGAACTGTCAAACGGACGCGGCAATGCGCGAAATGCCAAGGCGAATCGCGCTTCGATTGCCGAAAGTCAAAGAGTTTGCTTTGAAGGCTTTCAACAAAATGCCAACTTGACTTTGTTGTTGTCCATCGCGGATGGTTAAGTTTAATGAACGCTTTAATGAGCTCATTTAAAACAATAAAGGCCGGGAGGACGACCTCAAAATTTTAGACCAGTCGCCTGCGACTTTCAAATGTAGGCATCCCGCGCCATGGCGAGGAGCAACGGGTTGCCTCGCGACCTTCAGAAGGCGCTGGAGTTTCAATATATTTGCCAAAAGTGGCTAGCAATGGAAAAAATCCAGCTAAAGATTAATCAAAAATCATAATTTTGACTTCAGAAATCTTTTGCTGTTTCATTTAATCATCTCCAGCAGTTGTTACTCTAGTTTTAAATAAGCGACCATTGTTATTTTTGTTATTGTCATCAAATGGAAATAATTTATTTTAATCATCATGTGCTAGACTTGATTCATTGTGTCTCGCATCATAATTAGTATAAACATGACCATTTTTATTAATTTTTATTTCTCTCAAAGTCTAGGCAATTGACCTTCCATGAGTGTGATGCGAAACAGAAACCAACAATGTTGCAAAAGATTAATAATAACCAATTGCGCCTCATTGCAGTGCGTTATTTCTCTCTGATGATAAAACTGTTTTCATTTGACACTCGAGCGCGGCCAGATGTCTCAATCTGGTCGCGAGCGCGCGCGATGCATCTGACCAATTTGCGGGTGAGGGTTCAGGGGTCGCCCCAGTCCGATTAATCATCTGCGAGTGGTGTTTTTCGAACGCGCAAAGGTCCATGAATGACTTTGAGCAAGCGGAATGTCTGCCGTTCGATGCGCTATTTTCGGCTTCAGCCCAGGCGCGGCTGAGCACGCTGAAGCGCGGCGCCGCCGATCGCGTTTGCAAACCGCTTCCTCTTCTGATATTTTCTATAGAGGCATATGTGTTTATTGCAGCTTTATTGCCAAAAAATTTCTAGAAATAATAATCAATTGATTTATCTATGAGCTCTTCGAAAAAAATGCAGAAAATTTGAAAATTGAAAATCATAATTTTCTAAAGTAACATTTTCATATATTTGTACATAAAATTATTATTTAAATAATTTTGTTTTAGTGGGATTTTGTTAGAAAATTATATAAAACTTATACAAAATTTCAATTCCTAAATTTAAAAATCAATTTTTTATTTTCTACCTACTCATAATTTTGAAACTAATTTTAATAGAATATAAAGTTTTATTATTTTATTTAATATAAAATATTAACTCAGATTATAGTTAATTATTTTTTATCACATCATTTCTGATATTTTATTGAAGCAACGTTATTGAGCAGCATTGAGTAATAATAATTTAAATTAATTATGAATTATGATTGAACAAATCACCTTGTTTTTCATTTAGATTGACCTCCATTATGCAACTCAGGTTGACACGAAGGACTATTTTGGTGCTTTTATGACGAACGGAAAGGGCTGTACAATGACTAATTGTCCACAAAGAGAGATTATAATATACGCGCACGTCGTGGTTCTTCTCATGCAATTAAGTTTTGCAACCGAAAAACTGGCGCTGGTCAAAAAAAGCGGTCGTAAATAAAAGCCTTGATGGCGGGCGCGAGCGGTAGGAGGGAAAGAATCATTGTGCGAGGCTCAAGATCAGGGAGATGAGACAATCGCGGCCGTGTTGGTCGGAACATCTGCGTTGTTCTTTTTATTTCGCACGCAAACGGCTTGAATAATCGCCAAATTGTGTTACTCAAAAGCGTGAAAAAGTTTGGCGCCGGCCCCGTGCCTTTGCTCCCGTCTGGCTTTTCCCTCATCATAATATAATGTTATGCTCCTGCCACGAGCCGCGTATCAAACCCAAGGACTTCAAAACACTTCTTCTTCTTTAAAACTGAGTAACGAACATAATTAATAACTTTCGCCGTCACCCGCTTTTGATTGTGAAATAAAAACATCGCAGAATGAGAGTCCAACGCGGATCACTTTCAAAGCAAAAGTTTCAAGTTTTCGTTTCGCAACTGAAATTTATTTCCGAAAAACTTTTTGTGACTCATCAAATCAGAATTTTTGCGAAATTTTGTGTCACCGGAGCCAATTAGATCGAGATTACTTCACTGGTCCTCTTCGTGCATCGAAATTATTTATCGCGTTCCTTCTGGCGCTTTTGTTTTTGGTCACGCCTCATTAAATCCGCGTCCTACATTCGCCCGTGCTTAAGTCGTTTGCCAATTAAAGAGAGCGTCGATCGCGAGCCAAGGATTGATAAATAACCAAATCGGCCGGCGCCAGAGCATCTTTTCTCAATTAATGTTCGTCGACGATTGACATTGGAGACCTTGGCCACCCAATCAAAATCGTACCTGCCAACTTCAGTCTCGAGATCGTAGAACTCCTTCATGTCGACATTCCGCCTGCAGATGACCTCTCGGTAGGGGAAGCTTGGCTCCAACTCTGCAACAACACGGGAAAGTGATCAGAACTAATTGCGAATCAATTTGTGTAGCTGATTTTTCCAAAGTCAGTCTATTTCTAGTTATATTTGTGTCGCAACTAAACAAAGGTCAGTTTCAAATTTGAATTTTGCTACACTCGATTTGCAATGACCTGAGAAACATCAATGATAAGAAGAAAAATCATATGTTTATATAATAATAATGAAATTAGATTGTCAATGTTTGTAAAAGATTTTCAAAATTGTAATCAATATTGAACGTCATTCGTTAAGCATAATTTTAAATATTTATTTCCTAATTTTCAAAGCGAAATTATACCATGTGAAATGTTATTTAGGATTTAAAAAAATTATTTTATTAATTTTTTTTTTTTTTTACTATTTGCTGCTAAATTGATTTTCCTTAAAAATTTTCCTTTGTCTTGTTTTTTTTTTACGTAATATGTAGCTTACTTTACTCTGAAAGTTTCTTAAAGCTTAAACGGTTTTTTAATTGATTATAATCGTGTGACCATGGGTAATGATGAGGTACAGTGCAGTTTTGGGAGCTCGTCAATGCGGAATGCGGTCACGTGTATGCGCTAGAGGTGCGACGAGGAGACTCGTGTCATTTTAGCAGCCGCGATGGTGACTCACGCCAGGCTCGCCAAAATAAATTCGTCACTGATTAATGTTGTGTACCCGAGAGCATAATATACTAATGAGGCGAGCATTAGCCACTCAAGCTAATTCATTTGGGGCTAAAACGAGAGTGGGAGGAGTGAGATCAACACTGGGTTTTTGCGCAAAGCTAATAATTGCTCTTGAGAATCGCGATTCCTCCAGTCAAAATTACATCCTGTTTGCAAATCTGAGCAAATGTTATTATAAACGGGAAGACCACCCAAAAATTGAAATTTATGAACGGAAATTGTTCTTTTGATTTAGGAGGATTTTTTTTCAAAAATTCTCACTAAATATAATTATTTGAATTGTAGTTAAAAAACCAGCAAAATCTGTTTTTAAAATTGAAGGTTGACATAATCTTCGTTTTTTTTTTTTAAATTTTTATCTGGAATTTTATGAATTTTAAATTATTTCTGGAAAACCATTTAACCAAGTGTAATAAAATTCGCATCTCAACATTTAATTTCCTGAACATAAAAAATTTCCAAGTTTCTTGTTTCAAACGTTTACTTATTTTGCTACCGTTCGTTTCCTACTGAATGCAGAGCGCAACTTTGAAGTATGAACAGGTTGAAGTGAAAAGTTATCGCGATCTAGCTCCAGAGGCACTAATGCAGACAGACAAACCTACGACTGTTTAGCCTCTCACGTTTGAATTTATCTCTCTCGGCATTTTCTAATACACGGTGCAGCTGTCGGCGCAATAAAAACAGCGGAAAATAATATGGTGCGCCACTCGCTCGCTCGCCTTCTCATATTATCGCCTGAATGAAAAAGCAGGTCGTGCCGAAGTGTGAATTTATTTTTCACGCCGCGCTTTTCTCAGTTTACCCGCCGCCTCTGTCTGCCCCGACCGAGGTGGCGATGAGATGTTTTTTAATCAGAGCAGCCAACATCCAGATAGCAGTGCCAATTGGCGCAAATATTTATAGAAAATGCAAACACGCGACCACTCTCGAAGAGGGTCGCGCAAAAAATAAAAGATTCAGTGATTTTGTCGCGGGTCAAATGCATATGAAACGCGTAAAAAGCGAATTCAGCGAGCGTAAACAAAGGCGCGAGATTTAGAGTGATTTTGCCCGAGAGCAGGAGGAATTCAGCTGGGCTGGCCGCGGGCCAAGACAACAGCGCGCAGTGAGGCAATCCCTTTTGCGGCGCGGTTACATTCATTATTCCGCCACTGCCATTAGTAAATACTACAACGCGCGATAATATGTTCGCATATTTATGCCGCGTGTGTGGAAAAGCAAAGTGCAGAGACACCTAGGCCTCTATCTCCGTTGGAAATACAGCCGAGAGCGTTGTTTCTCGCAGCATGCCAATGCGAGTGTAATAGACTTTTAATTATTTACCTCCTACTGGGTCAGTCTCGTCCACTTTGATCATCCTACAGCCGCCGACCAGCAACTGAAATCAAATAAATCATTTGTGAACGGTTGACATTTCAAATCTAGTTCGAGTTAAATGACTCTCCAGCACATTGATTGATGAACAAAAAATTTTTCTAAAAAAATTGTCCTGAATTAAAAAAAAAATGCTAAAATTAAGATAAAAATGGTTTAATTTTTATAATAAAAATATTTGACCCATCGCTTTAGGAACAAATTTTTTTACATATTATTTTTTCAAAAAAGTTTAGTACTAAAATAAGTACTATAGATTTTTATTTGAAACTATTAACATGCGAGAAATAAATTAATTAAATGAACAAATTTTAAGAAATATTCTGAAAAGTCCTCACTGCGTATCAATATTCAATCAATTATTTTAGAAATTGGCAATATTTTTTTAAACCAAATTCCTTTCGCATTCTCATGTCTCATAAATTGTAAACTATGCGATATTACGACTTTCTCTAGAAATAAATTTAGAAGCAGCTGAACCGCGAGTTAATAATTCTACAAAACTCCATTTCAAACCTCTCGTTTTATTGCCGGACCAAATAAAAAAGCTTTTAAAGTTTAGTCACCGCACCATCCAACAGCGCACACAATGCTAAATTTAGAGCTCGACACTGGGTTATGTTTTCTCAGCAATAATTCCATTCCACATCCTGAATGAAAAAGCGTAAAAGCAGCATTCGACACACCCCCGCGCAGCAGACGAACGCGTTTTAAATAAATATATGATGGAATTTCGCTCACGGCACCATATTCAAATGTGCACCGAGTGACGCAGATTTTGACGTCCGCGCGCCGACTGGAGCGCAAAAAAATGCTGTGTAAACAACAAGCGGCGTGGGACAAAAATTTAGAGAGCTGAAGTCAAAATATCATCAAAGCAGCGGCGAAACTTTTAAGTCCAGTGACAGACTTGTCTGAAATTTGGTGCTGAAAAATAGCAGCACTTCGTCAATGAAGTTGACACCTAGGTGGTTTTGGCTGATGTAAAAATTATAAAATAAATTCAATCTCGGGGACATGAGTTTTTCTGTATAATAATTCACTGGATGTCAAATATATTTTTACCAACAGACGTATTATTATTGTATTGTTGTTGGCGCGTGATGCGAAATCAAGAGTTTGCCAAAAACCAAACAATGTGCCAAAAATCTCAGTATTTTTGTGGAGTGGTCATTCGCCTCAATGGCCCTGCTCTCGGAGCCAAAAATATTGTTCCTTCAAAACGTCCACAAGCAAATTATTTCCAAGGATGTAGCACTAACTTAAAATAAACAATCATTACGCTTTTCTTCACATTATTCTTTCTCATAGAATTTGTATTGCGTAGCATTTGTAATAAAAAGCACACTACATATTAAAATCATATAATTATTTTCATTAAGAAACTACTTTGATTAAGTTTGTTAATTATTATACGATTAATATTATTATAATATATTTTGAAAGCAATTAACACATAAATAAATAAATAAATAAATATCCTTTATTTTCCATATTAAATATCATTTCATATAATCGATATAATCTTAGGAAACAATGTAATTTAGATTTCTTTTATCGTTCATTTCAGCAATTATATTAAAGTGGATAAATAAGAAAGTAAGGAAATTAATTGATTAAAATATTTAACATTTTTCTCATCTACAACTTTAATGAAAATTATTATTTTACTTATTATTGACTATGTAAAAAGTAAAGAGTTGTAATGTGATATTTCAGAACTGTCAAGATTTGTTAAAAATTATTCTGTTCTGCGTGACAATAAAATTATTAGTTTTAAGGCGCTGACAAAGGAAGTTGATATTTTGAAGGGGTTCTCGTGCCAAGAAGAGTAAAAACCGGGTTGTTGGTTGACCATTAGTCGGACTTGATTTAACTTATTTGATGGCTAATTTTAAAATTCGATTTATTAAAAATTAATAACTTCCCACGTGTCATTTGATTCTCATTACAAACAATCAACCCATGCCCAATCTCTATTTTGCAAAAAAATTTAATTCCAAACCATACCATTATAAATAATATAAAACTGTTCAATCTTTGTATTTTTTTCAAACATAAAAATTACAATGAAAAAAGCTGCATTATATTTTTTTTTAATTTTTAGAAGCACATAATATCAAATTAAAGTATTTACCTAACAAAGTTAAAATAGTAGTTTGAAACAGCCCCCGGCTGTGTTGAGGTCTCGAAGGCGGTGATGGTGCCGGGCGCCTAATTTTCGCAGGCCACGCGACACAATCGCAGTTTATTTGCAACTGAGACTAGCGAGTGACTGGCAGTGATCTTCTCCCGAAGGACCAAAACTCGCAGTCACGTTGCTCACGCAGACGCATTTAGCACGAGGGCCGCTTCCCTCCGACGGCCACCGCTAACGTGTTGGACGCTGGCCAAGCTATCGGCCGCTCGCTTTTGCGCTGACCACTCATTCGCGCGCCCCCTGGCTGTCAATGTTTCAACCTTCACTACTTGAAAGTACTTTCGATTAAAGCCATCATAAAAATGATGTTCTATCACTCTGCTCAAGCCCTTGTTTAGTTTGTAAAGTCTAAATAGGCGCCTCTCTAAGTTGCTCTTCTAAAGGGCAAATTCAATGATCAATTTTTTAAATATTTTCAAATAAAATAGGTATATCAGTGAATTCCATAAGTAAATTTTCAATATAACAAAATAAGAAAATAATTTTTGTCTTTAAAATGCATCAGTCCCAGAATAAGATGATATTATTATAGAATACAAACTAACTTCAAATCAATTTCACATTTTTATTATTGGAATATAAAGAAAGAAATTAACGATAAGATTTCTGGTATCTCGCACGAGCGCCAGGACCTCCAAACTTCTTGGGCTCGCACCGACGAGGGTCGGCAACAAGCAGAGTACGGTCGTACTGAATCAGAATGTCCTTGATTTCCTTCTTAGATGCCTCATCAACATCTGCAATTATTTACAAAAATTCTAGGTAAGATAACATTTATTCAACAATTATAACTCAATAACAGCAAAAATTTGAAATTTATCCCTAAGGTAGATCATCTAACAACGGTATAAAAAAATTTAAATATCTTAATATAAAATCAATAGACATGATAAGTGTATCAGTTTATAAAATACTGCAAGAATAAAAATCAATTCCTCAATTAAGTTTCCGTGCAAAACTTTGTTCAGGAAAACCAGCATTTTTAAAATGAACTTATAATCTTCAGTTTTTAAGGAAAAATTTATTTCACCGAAAGGTTGATAATTTATAATTTTATAGAACAAATTATTTATTTTAACTGGGAAGTTTTTACCACTTGGTTATTTCAATTTCCTAAGTTAATTTAGAAATCTTTAACTGGTTAAAACTGCTCCTAGTAAAAAGCAGGTTGTTGATTTCCGGAGGCCTGGTGCAACAATAGGATAATATTATTTTACTTACACTTTTGATAGTAAGCTACGAGGGCCTTGGAAATAGCCTGACGGATGGCGTAGACCTGAGCTACATGACCACCACCATTCACACGAACTCGGATGTCAACATTCGCGAATCTTTCCTGTTGAATAAAAGAAAATAAATAAAATTGTCTCTTTAAACCAAATTTAGAACTTGCTTTTCCTAGGAGAAGGATTGGTTCCTGGAGTTTGTATTGGAGGATTTTGGGCTCCACAAGCTCCAGTGGCCGTCCGTTCACCTTCAGCACACCTTGGCCGAGCTTGCAATAGGCCACGGCGGTAGCACTTTTCTGAAATTGAAAGACAATTAGTAAAATTAGCGAATGAATGACATTTTTTAAAAAAAACCTTGCGGAATTTTTTTATTTTTTATTGGATACATATATTTTAATATATTTCATATTTAAATTATATTTTAGAACTTAATTGATCCAAAATGTGGCAACATAACTACGCCCAATTGAAGATGAGGAAAGCAAAACCAAAAATATATTTTATTTTCTCATCACTGCAAATTTCTTTTGCTCAAACAAGCCAGGTTTTTTCTTTGATCTCTTTTCTTTTGAATTTAAGTTCATTCAGGTTAGAAAAACACTGCAGCAGTTTGTAGGATCAGACTAAATAATAATAAGTAAACTTAAAAATTGATTTACGCTACAAGGATCGAGTAAAATTCAAGAAAATAGGGTGTCGGCATGACAGACGGAGTTGGGTCCACATGGCCCCGGTACGTAAACAACAACTTAGAAATGCCGAATTTCGACTCACCTTGCGGCCGAAGACCTGCACGGCTTGGATGGGCTCCTTCTGCAAATTGTAAATTTTAAAATGAGTAAAGATTTCTATTTCAGACAAATCGTGGAGTGAAATTAAAACAAACTAGCGAGGTGTTGTACCTTTGCGTTCATCTTTGCTGAATGGCCGCGTGTAGAGGAAACACTACTCTGGTCAATAAAGAGTAAAAATATTATTTCAAATTATTTACACAAATCAAATAAATGATTTTATTCTTCCTTTCTGAATCTTAAATATTTGAGTCGAAAAATTAATTGCAAATTTTTCATTTAATCAAAAATCAAAATTTTTAATAACGTGTGTTAGTACATTTGACTTTCGTAGTACGTATTCTCGTGTCGTGAGAGCGAGAGCAGTGCTGCCTCTAGCGACGACGGGCAAAGCCACAATTAATTTTTCAGCGGGCAGCGCGGTGCAAAATAGCAATGAAAGCGGATTATCACAGCTCACAGGCTCCACAGGCTCACCAACGCAGACTGGAAAGTCAAACTGTCCTGATACTGTCTATCTATCTATGATTCAAGCGGAGGTTAATTAAGTTTTAAGCTTTGAAATTGGGATTCTATTTTCTAAATAAAAGGAACTAAAAAAATAATTTGAAACCTAAAATATATATATATAAAAAAAAAAAATTTGGACTTGTGCCCACAGCATTTTTCATTCAATTCGGTTGTTGCCTCGGAAAATTTTTAAAAAGGTTAATGAAAATTCCTGACTTGCTCAAGGAAAATCTTTAATTGCTGTTCAGCAGGCTAGCTAAAGCTAATTATTTTTTAATAAATAATTTGCTTCAATTTTATTTGTTACTATCTAATATTTTTGAATAACTTAACTAGAGAGGAATGCTAAAAAAAATAACATTAAATCTGATTATATCCAGCTTCCTCGGTGTGCTCTGTGAAGATGAGCAACTTTGTTGTTTCTGCATAATACAGAATAGGTTCCACAACAACAACTACAAAACCTCTATAGAAAATAAATACAACTACAAATTATGGGGCAAAAATTACATTTTTTGCCCTTTTAACATTTTGCTTTAAAATATTGTTAAACATAAAAATGAACGAATAGTTGCTGTAGGGAAAAAATAAATTGTATAGTCAATATAATAATAAACAAACACTTAAAAACATTCAAAAATAAAATATTATTCTAATTCACTTTTAATTGTAATAAACTGGACTTTTGAGTTTGTAAAAAGATAGCTTTGAAATAGCAGTTTGAATTATAGTATTTTTCCAAAATAAAATTTAATGTCAGAATATTTATCTTGTTAGTTAAAATAATTTTTATCAGACGGTAAAAAGCATTTGAATAAATGCATTAAAGCAGCTAAGAAAGGAAATGAGTTGAACATAAGCAGATAAGCGCTATCAAAAGTAACAAATTTCCAGCAAGTATTATAAATTGAGCATTCCGACACAAATATTTATGTAGTGAACATGATGAAATTGGGGAAGATAATTTTCTTGTTGGTTTTCTTCACGTGTGGTATGAAAAATGGTAGGAAATTTTAAATTTTTGCAAATTTTGTTGACGGCTTTCATTTTCCCCAACTAATAGGCGCACAGGGATATTTGATTGCAGTAAAAAAAGGTTACTATGTTGAAGCTTGTCTTACTGATGAATTTGTCGGTAAGGGTCTTCTCCACTGTCGCCTTCTCATGGAAGTTTAAAAATTTAATATTATTTAATTTTCACTGGACAGGCTCTGATAAAGATCTTTTGGATTTCAACGGAAATCCACTAATACTAGCAGGGCACGATTGTAATCTGGTTGTCGAAAACGGCTGCGAATCTTGGAATATCGAAGGGACGTACTTGACCCCAAATATACAGAATGGATATGATTTATACCCACCAGTTGATGATTTCCGCCTAATCGGTAAAAATCAATGAATATACAAATCAGAATAAATTTTATCAATAATTTAAAAATATTTTCCAATTGGTAGATATTCCCAACTTTACTAACAATCAAGGAAAGCTGAAAAGGGCTGCCTCATTTAATAGTTCGGAAGACGTACGACTCCTTTTTTCCGTTTTGGCATCGTCTAGTGCACAATTTCTAGTATCGAAAAGCGAAAAACACGACGAGGGATACATCATCGTGTTGGATGGATGGGGCGACCTACACAGATCGTCAATTCGATATTGCAAACCGTTTCCACTAACCAGATACTCGTGTGAAGAAAAAAAATCAATTGATAACAATCCTATATTGAAAAATGGCAATGAGTGGATTCCTGTCACATTGGAATATCAGAAGACACAAAAAATGGTCTCGGTGAACGTAGGCAACCTGACAAGTTTTTTACAAGCAGAAATAACGCAAAAAGAGTATGTTCACTTTTACTGAGTATTTATCAGGAATTAAAAGTAATTCGACGGATGCAATTACGTATCTTTTTAAATACTTTGACACTAATATTTATAAACATATTTGTTAATGAATATTTTTTCAGCTATCTAATTGTAAAAGCTAAGAACAACGAATATGCCGTGACCTTGAACATAGCAGCTGGGATTTATCGAGGAAAAGGAAAACTTAAGTTTCACCAATGTAATATAACTTAAAAATTTAATTCACTCCAAATTAAATTATTATCTTTAAATAGATGAAGTTCTAATGCCGAGGCAAAAGTTTTCAAAAATTAGGACTTCAGTAAAAAATATCAGAGGCAATTTGCCCATTTGCGTGGACGTTATTTTCTGGTTGTTCAGTGATGAAAAATTAATACGCAACAAAGAAGTGTTTTCAATGACAGTATCGCGCCAAAAGTCTTCAATTTTTATAGGAAACGGGAAGTTCAACGGCAAAAAGAATGAATGGAAAAAAGAAAGATTCACCTCTGAAAATCGTATTCAGAACGGGGACGTCATTGAATTAACATTTCTCGACACTGAACTGACGATCGGTGGGATTAGATTTTGTGCGAAAGATACAAAGGGTATAATTTATTATTCATTCGCGTTGCATTTAACCAACATTATTCTTAAAAGGTGATCTTATTATCAAGCCTAAGCAAAGGATTCAGTCCTGTGACATTTACTCTCACATGGGAACCCCCAAAAGCAGGGAAGGAAGTCACAAAAAACTGGTGGAAGGTAAATCAAGAACAAATCTTCTACTTAAATAATGTGGTCTAGCTTTTTGCAATTTTTACTAAAAATTTCCCATTCAGTAACATCGAATAATAAGATTTGCCAAAATATTGGTCTTGTATCTTGCGTTGGTCTCAAGGCATGTGACAGCAACGAAGAATGCGCATGTTTCCCCTCATTCAGCGGTCATTTTTGTGAAAATGGTTGGTCGCTAATTGCTTATTTTTTTAAAGGAACTAAAGAATAATTTTAGGTTGTGCAGCCAAAACGTACGGTTGGAATTGTACTTTAAAATCCGATAAGTCCTGCGAGGGAGATGAAATCAATTATAATGGATCGTGCAGCAGAGGTTGTTTGCCTGGGTACAGAAGGCTGGATTGCCTTGACAGTGAGTTTCATTAATTATTTCATAATCCTGCATATAAATTTTTGTATTGTAGGAATTCGTCAAATAAATCCAGAGCTATCTGCCATTGATATTGGACCTACTAAAATTAGTCTTGATATGTGGAAACTTACAAAAAATGACTCTTCCTTCAGCAGAATTGCAATACAAATTAAGAGAAACAAAGCAAGACAATTTATTCCATCCAATTTCAATTTTTTTTTTAATTCATGTTATTAAAACCTTCAGTCGGAATCTTGGCACACTTCTGTTGACTACAAAAATCCCTTGGCTCAGTTTGTCTCTATTGATGGCTTGAAGAAAAATACCGCATATAATTTACGACTTGTGCTCTACGACATGGATGGACAGTTTAATGACAAAAATTTGAAAGACATTCAGTTTACCACCAAGCTCTGCCAGCCAATTGGTTCAATTGAGAGATGGAAATAAACTGTTAAAATATCATAAATATTTCTAGATAATAGAAGCGTGGAAGTTAAAGTTGACCAACCGTTTTCTATCCTCATTAGATATGTAGCTGACAATGAGACATTACAGGATTTTTGTAAATTGGCACGACTTGACATTTTAGACTCTGAAAATCAATTGGTTTTTGAAGAAGACATTATTGACACCCCTCTAATCAGGAATTTTAATGAATATTCCTGTCACACAAAGTACAGCATCATTGTTTATGGCGAGGATATGAGTAGTGTTGGTTTTCAGTTTCAACCTTGCTCTCAGAGAAGTAAAGCCTAACAATATTTCAGGTTAAACAAGTTTGAGCGGTCCAATTTATTAATTATTCTAGGTATCGGTGGATTATTATGCAGACCTTGGTTAACAATTATTTTGGCCATTTTTATTCCAACAATTGGAGTTCTGCTTGCTGCAGCCGGGACAAAACTTTTTTGCAAAAATCGCGTGAAAAAGTTCTGTAAGAAAATTAATTTTTTGCCCAATCTTTAATGCAAAATGAAATGAAACTTATTCAGCGAGCGCTCCTGTAACAATGCAGGAGCTTCTCAGGGAAACGCAAGAATATTTGGAAATTCAGCCAGAATTACAAACCCCAAATGACGAAACTGAAACTATACCAGACTCTGCGGTGAAAGTAATGGAGCTTGAAAAATACATTGAAACTGCAATTTCTTCTGGGCTTTTGAAGCAGCAGTTTCAGGTAAAATTAAAACATTAGGTATATTTTTTTCAAATTATCTTTATTTGTCTTAACCAGCATCAACTTAATGGCCAAACGCAGTCATGGAGTGTTGGGGCTGATCCAGCAAACGAAAAAAAGAATAGAAAATTAAATGTGGCCGCATACGATCTTACAAGAGTCATTCTGAAAGAGCTGCCAGGCGAACAAAACTCCGATTATATTAACGCTAATTTCATTGACGTATTTTCTAATTTTTGCTTCTTTGTCTCCTAATAAATTTATTCCGAGTACAGGGCTATCAGCATTCTAAGGCGTACATTGCTACTCAAGGGCCATTGGAGCACACCGTGGACGATTTTTGGCGCATGATTTGGCAGGAAAAAGTTACTCAAATCGTTATGGTAACAAATCTGGAGGAAGACGGAAAGGTTTTAAGTTTTTACTTCTATTTTTATTTATTCAACTGGGGAAATTTGCGGTTAGATAATGTGTTCGAAGTATTGGCCGGATGCAGGCCAAGAAGTTAATTGTGGAATTGTTTGCGTTAGAAATCTGGACGAGGAAATACACGCCGACTATATTGTTCGCTCGATGTATATTTCCGTTTCCCAAGAAAGCAAATTGGTTTGATTTTATAATACAAGAAGTGGAAAATCCCAATTTATGTGAATGAATATAGGTTCAACATTTGCAATTCACAAGTTGGCCATTAAATGACGTTCCAAGCTACCCGCAAACAGTCTCTGCGTTTGTTGAAAAAATAAAGCAGTTCAAATCTCGAGGGCCAATCACTGTGCACTGTGGTGCTGGAGACGGTCGAACTGGCACAATCATTCTGATCCATTCGTGCCTTAGAATGGCATGCAAGTATGGATTTATTGACGTCTTTAAATTGTTTAGACAAATGCGATCACAAAGAGCCTATCTAGTGGAAAGCTTGGTAATTTTTGCAAGTTATTATTAAGGTTTTTCTACTTTTTCTAAAGTAAATCGATTTTTAATATATCCAGGAACAGTACGAATTTGTTCATTTCGTGCTGCTTGAGGCGATCACGATTCCCAAATTCCAGATCCCTTGTTCTGCGTTTGCTCTTGAACACGAAAATCTTTTGGTATTTCTTAAGGATACTAAAATTATTGAATAACTGTGTGGTTTTCCTTTTCAGGACCAAAATAAAAGGAAAATGACTTTGGTATTTGACAGATTGTCCAAAATTTGCGACAAAGATTGGCAGAGAGCAGAGAAGGAATCTGCAAAGTACAATGACAAAAGCAAGAATCCCATTGCATGTAAAATAAGAATATTTTTATGTTTTCAATACAACATGATGTATTTTTTTTTTTTATTTAAGCATCTTCTAGCATTGTTCCTCTATTTCCTCTCGGACGATTTTCTGAAATGGACGCGGTGTTTGTTGACGGTTACAAGCGTAAAAATCAGTTCATCTCTACTCAATTGCCGGTGGAAAATACGTTGGCGGATTTTTGGCAAATGATAATACAGCACAACGTGGATCAAATCATTGTTCTGACGGAGTCAAAATCCTCAAACGTACGGCTGAGTATTCAATTTAAAAACAAAAAAATGTTGAAATATGCTTTAGAAATAGAAAAGGATAGTAAAATTTTTTGGAACTTTCAAATCAATTTGACTGCTCATTCATTGCATAAGAAAAAGAGTTAATTTGATTTCTGGTTTTGGAGCGGCCTAAAAATTAAGTTCTACATAATTATAACCCATTTATTATTTTTAATACTTCTTTCCTTCTTCCTACCCGCTGTTAAAGTAACGCAGGTATGGATATTACAAAGAACTGTAACTTATTTTTTGTTCTTCTAAGAATTTTTAGTGTAAAAAAATGCACAAAAATTGTCTCAAGCAGCATTATTATAAATTATGAATGATATTTATTTTAACCGAATAAAATTTAAATTTATGTTCACTTCTGGACTAATAATTAATATCATGCGCACAGCTATGCGCGGATAGCACTTTTATAAAATTTGATTAGTTCTTCTCATATGACGAAAAGAAATGTATAACAAAAAATGAGAACATCACCTCTTAAATTTTTTATTTAATAATTTCAGGTGGTTTTCTTTCCATCTCTGAAAAGAAAGTTTGTTTATGACAATCTACAAATTATGTCTGTTATGGAACAAGAAACAGAATTTGGAAACGAGCATTCGTTTAGGATACTTGTGGTCAAAATTTTCAATCCAATTTTTAGTTTCCTTACATTTAAACCCGATTTTCAGGAAGACAAAGTGAAAAGACTTTTGAAAATGACAATTCTGCATGGTTGGAAAAAAGGAAATGTGACTGGACCAGGCGCTGAAGCTCTCCTCAAGTTGTGGGAGCAAAAAATGAGCAATGCGATCATGAGGACGACTGCAGTTGTTTGCCAGTGAGTACAAAATTAAAAAGAGGATATAAATAAGTATTGACAAGCTACGTCTACTGCTTTTTTACATGTGAACATTTGTTGCAATTTATAATAATTTCATCATAATTTGCATAGAAAACCCCTTCAAAACGTGATAAAATATTTATTGAAAACGTGTTAACAGAAAGAACTAATTGTATTTTAATATTTTTGAAGAAACTTTTTGATGATGTGTGCTGCAAAATGAAAATAATATAATTATTTTTATTGGACTCATTAACTGAATGTTTTTTTTCACTTCTAATGAGAAACACTGTTAGAGAATCGCGTTTGATAAAAATATTTTGAAAATTAAAATGAAATTTGCCAACTCATTTTTCCAAATTTAATCTAGGGACGGCGTGACTGAAAGTGGTCTTTTCCTTGGCATTGGTATTTTAGTGGAGAAAATGAAGTTGGAGCAACAGGTGGATGTCGCATTTGCAATGCGCTGTTTGCGGAAATCCAGACCTGCATTTCTGGCTCTATTTGTAAGAAATTTTGCATTTCTTTGAGGGCAATTTTCTTAAAATTTACTTTCAGGACCAGTTTGAAATGCTTTTTGAAGCTGCCAAGGTGTACTTGCAGTTGTTTGACACATATAAAAATTTCAACGATTGAAATTTAATAGATTTACTACTTACAATATTAAATAGAATACTTCCTAGGGACATGGTATAACATGACTTAGTAACATTACAGTGACTTGATTGTTTTTTACCCAATATAATTACATTTTTTAAAGAATAATGATATTATGCTTGAAGTTTTATATTTGAATAAGTAAATCAACATTTTTTTTCATCATAAATGAACATTATTTCTATTTAAAACTTTATTTAAATTTCAATTAATTTATTTTCCTCCGATCAAGTAAGAACAATCACTTGTAAAAAATTGGTTAGTAGAAAAGTAGGCACACATATGCTAGTGAATAACTGACTGAAGCTCATAGCCGATTATTTAACAAGAGCGCAGGCGATTCCCGACTACTCGCCGCACTTCGGAGGAAAAAAATAAATTTTTTTAACATGCTTTTTGCACAATTTCAAATATTTTATTATGGTTCGAGTGTAGTATGAACTGTAATAAATTTTTTATCCTCATAAATATCTTCAATCGCTATACATTTTTCTGTTGTTAGAAAGTAAAAACAACTAGAGGTTGTAAAAATAAAGTGAGATGAAACTACATTTTTTATAATAAATTTATTGATTGCAAATTTAAAAGCAAGACTTCTAACATGAATGCTGTGAATTATGGGTAGAATTTTGTAAGTAATTTAATTTTAATTTTTATGCCATATTTACAATTATGGAGCAAGGATTCCATATTTTTGCATATTAAAAATTTTTGTTTAAACTGTTGTACGAAAAAATGTGCAATTGTAATTGTTGCTGAAGGATATTGTATAATGTACAATAAACAAACAGTTACTTGACTTAAAAAATTATCTTAAGATAATTTTTTTATTGTATTTCAGTAAATTGTTATGGACTAGATTTTGAGTCTGTAAAAAATAACTTGGCAATAGTTTGCAGTTTGAATTATAGTATTCTGCCAAAAACATTTACTATCGGACTATTTATCTTGTTAGTTAAAATAATTTTTTATCATATGGTAAAAAGCATTTGAATAAATGTATTAAAGCAGCTAAGAAAGGAAATGAGTTGAACGTAAGCAGATAAGCGCTATCAAAAGTAACAAATTTCCAGCAAGTATTATAAATTGAGCATTCCGACACAAATATTTAAGTAGTGAACATGATGAAATTGGGGAAGATAATTTTCTTGTTGGTTTTCTTCACGTGTGGTTCGAAAAATGGTATGAAATTTTCACTTTTGCAAATTTTGATGACGGCTTTTCATTTTACCCAACTAATAGGCGCTCAGGGATATTTGATTGCAATAAAAAACGGCCAATATGTAGAAGTTTGTCTTACTGATGAAATTAACGGTAAAGGTCTTGTCCACTATCGCCTTCTTTGCGAAGTTTAAAGATTAAATATTATTTAATTTTCACTGGACAGGCTCTGATAAAGATCTTTTGGATTCCAATGGATATCCCCTTATACTAGCAGGGCACGATTGTAATCTGGTTGTCGAAAACGGCTGCGAATCTTGGAATATCGAAGGGACGTACTTGACCCCAAATATACAGAATGGATATGATTTATACCCACCAGTTGATGATTTCCGCCTAATCGGTAAAAATCAATGAATATACAAATAAGAATTAATTTTATCAATAATTTAAAAATATTTTCCAATTGGTAGATATTCCTATCATTACTAACAATAAAGATGAACTCATAAGGGCCGCCTCATTTAAAAGTTCAGAGGACGCACGACTTCGTTTTTCCGTTTTGGCATCGTCTAGTGCCCAATTTCTAATGTCGAACAGCGAAAAACACGAAGAGGGATACATCATCGTGTTGGATGGATGGGGCGACCGACACAGATCGTCAATTCGATATTGCAAACCGTTTCCAGTCACCGGAAGTGGACAATGTGAAGAATTAACAAACATTGACAATATGCCTTTATTGAAAAATGGAAATGTGTGGATTCCTGTCACATTGGAATATCGGAAGACACAACAAATGGTCTCGGTGAACGTAGGCAACCTGACAAGTTTTTTCCAAGCAAAAATAACGCAAAAAGAGTATGTTCACTTTTACTGAGTATTTATCAGGAATTAAAAGTAATTCGACGGATGCTTTGTGCAATTATGTATCTTTTTAAATACTTTGGCACTAATATTTATAAACATATTTGTTAATGAATATTTTTTCAGCTATCTAAATGTCGAAGCTAAGAACTACGAATATGCCGTGACTTTGAACTTAGCAGCTGGGATTTTTCAAGGAAATGGAAAACTTAAGTTTCACCAATGTAATATTAATTCAAAATTTAATTCACGCCAAATTAAATTATATTTTTAAATAGATAAAGTTCTAATGCCGAGTAAAAAGTTTTCAAAAATTAGAACATCAGTAAAAAATATCAGAGGCACTTTGCCCATTTGCGTGGACGTTATTTTCTGGTTGTCCAGTGATGAAAAATTCATACGCAACAAAGAAGTGTTTTCAATGACAGTATCGCGCCAAAACTCTCCAATATTTATAGGAAACGGAAAGTTCAACGGCAAAAAGAATGAATGGAAAAAAGTAAGATTCACATCTGAAAATCGTATTCAGAGTGGGGACGTCATTGAATTAACATTTCTCGACACTAAACTGACGATTGGCGGGATCAGATTTTGTGCGAAAGATACAAAGGGTATAATTTATTATTCATTCGCGTTGCATTTAACCAACATTATTCTTAAAAGGTGATCTTAATATCAAGCCTAAGCATGATATTCAGTCCTGTGACATTTTCTCTCCCATGGGAACCTCCAAAAGCAGGGAAGGAAGTCACAAAAAACTGGTGGAAGGTAAATCAAGAACAAATCTTCTACTTAAATAATGTGGTCTAGCTTTTTGCAATTTTTACTAAAAATTTCCCATTCAGTAACATCGAATAATAAGATTTGCCAATATATTGGTTTTGCATCTTGCGTTGGTCTCAAGGCGTGCGACGGCAACGAAGAATGCGCATGTTTCCCCTCATTCAGCGGTCATTTTTGTAAAAATGGTTGGTCGCTAATTGTTTATTTTTTTAAAGGAACTAAAGAATAATTTTAGGTTGTGCAGCCAAAAAGTACGGTTGGAATTGTTCATTTAAATCAAATAAGTCCTGCGAGGGAGATGAAATCAATTATAATGGATCGTGCAGCAGAGGTTGTTTGCCTGGGTACAGAAGGCTGCATTGCCTTGACAGTGAGTTTCATTAATTATTTCATAATCCTGCATATAAATTTTTGTATTGTAGGAATTCGTCAAATAAATCCAGAGCTATCTGCCATTGATATTGGACCTACTAAAATTAGTCTTGATATGTGGAAACTTACAAAAAATGACTCTTCCTTCAGCAGAATTGCAATACAAATTAAGAGAAACAAAGCAAGACAATTTATTCCATCCAATTTCAATTTTTTTTAATTCATGTTATTAAAACCCTCAGTCGGAATCTTGGCACACTTCTGTTGACTACAAAAATCCCTTGGTTCAGTTAGTCTATATTGATGGCTTGGAGAAAAATACCGTATACAATTTAAGACTTGTGCTCTACGAAATGGATGAACAGTTTAATGACAAAAATTTGAAAGACATTCAGTTTACCACCAAGCTCTGCCAGCCAATTGGTTCAATTGAGAGAAGGAAATAAAATGTTAAACTATCATTAATATTTCTAGATAACAGAAGCGTGGAAATTAAAGTTGCCGAACCGTTCACTGTCCACGTTAGATTCAAAGCTGATAATCAGACTTTGGCTGATCCGTGTAAATTGACTCACCTGAAGATCACCAGAAATAATTCAGAAGTAGCGTGGACAGAAATTATCACTAACTATGAGCTTAAAAGAGATATTAAGAATTTAACAGCAAATGCTGAATACCAAATATCAATTTTTGCAGAAGATTCAAGCGTAATAAATTATACTTATATCCCAAATACAGGCAAGAAACCCAATTTCATTTTGAATATTTAATTTTGATAGTCAAACTACAACTTTTGACAGCTCTTGACTTGCGGTTATCAAAAGCCAGTGAAATCTGGTGGCCAATCACAATCGGAGTTTTAGTATTAACGGGAACTTTACTTGCTCTCTGTGCAGTGAGGAATAAAATGAAAAGATCGAATGTCATTCCAAGCGTTTGTAAGATTTCAATTCAATAATACAGTAACTAGATTTTTCACTATATTAATTATTTTTACAGCTTCAACTCACGAATCACAAACCAATCCCGATTTAATTGAAAACTGCCCTCAAGAGGGGCCAAAATGTAATGAAACGACACCATTCAATTCCTCCGCGATAAAAATTACAGAGTTTGAGCAGTATTTGGAGTCCACTATTGATTCTGGAACTCTGAAGCAACAATTTGAGGTAAATCTTAAATTTATATTTATCTAGTTATTAAAAAAAAAAATGGTTTGATAGCATCATCCTCGAGGTCAAACGCAGTCCTGGGTTGTTGGTACAAAACCGGCTAATAAGAAAAAGAACCGATACGCAAATTTGGCCGCATACGACTCCACCAGAATCATTCTTAAACACGATCCTCATGACGAAAATGCAGATTATATAAATGCTAATTACGTTGATGTAATATTTAATTTGAAATATCCAAATTTTGTAACTGCATTGACTACTTTTTCTCTCAAACTTATGTATTTTTTTAGGGTTTTCAGCGACCCAATGCTTACATAGCTACGCAGGGGCCAAAAACTCAAACTGTTAATGACTTTTGGTGCATGATTTGGCAAGAAAAAGTTACTCAGATCGTAATGGTGACGAATATTGAGGAGAGCGGAAAAGTATTTACAATAATAATAATCACACTAACGAATCGACGGAAATCTGTGGTTAGATAAAGTGCGAGAAATACTGGCCAGACCCCGGAAAAAGCAAAAAATTCGCCGGATTTAGCGTTAACAATCTGGAGGAAAAAATTCACGCGCACTTTGTGGTTCGAACGCTTTCTGTTTCTTACAGCGATAAAAACAAACTGGTAAAACCCAAATAAAATAAAATTTTATAAATAAAAATAAATGAATCATTCGCAAGGTGCAACAATTGCATTTCACAACCTGGCCTGATCACGACGTGCCTCTCTATCCGCAAACCATGGCAATTTTTGTTGAGAAAATGATACAACACCAATCGCAAGGTCCGATCGCAGTTCACTGCAGTGCCGGTGTTGGTCGAACGGGCACAGTGATTTTGATCCATGCTTCTCTTCTAATGGCTCGCAAACATGGTTTCGTTGACGTCTTCAAAATTTTTGGCCAAATGCGCTCACAGCGTGCTAATTTAGTTGATAATTTGGTAGAAAATGATTTTATTCAAAGAAATTTTTTTTTAAATTCTCATTTCACTAACACAGAAGCAATATGAATTTGCGCATTTGGTTCTTTTGGAAGCGATCGCTTTTCCTAAGTTGGATTTTCCATGCTCCGAATTTGAAGCTGAATTCGCCGTTCTCATGGTAAATTTTCAAATAGCCAAAATAAATTACATAAATAAAAAAATCCTATCTTAAGAAATCCAACAAACAGAAGCTCACTGAAAGTTTTACAAAACTGAACGAAATTTGTAACAATGATTGGAAACGAGCGGAGAAACAGGTCGCCGCAGTTGAAATGGAAAAATGTCGTCAACCACAAATATTAGGCTGTAGTGTTAATTTTATTTGTATCTTTAAATATATTGTGGCTTTTATTTTGCAAGCAGCTCCATCAAGGTATGTGCGTCTCTTTCCCTACGGAAGCGTTACCAAAATGAGTTTTGTGAATGCCGTGTTTGTGGACGGCTATCAGAAAGAAAAGCAGTTCATTGCCACGCAGGTGCCCATGCAGGACACGGTGGCGGATTTTTGGCGCATGGTGCATCAATTCAACGTTCAGCAGATAGTCGTGCTCAACGAGTCACACGCCACGGACGTATGAATTCATTAAAATAGCAACCTTCAATAATCGCTTAAATTGTAGTTTTTGCCGCTTGTATCAAATTCAGTAATTTCATCTTAAAGCTCTGAATTTTCTGAATCTCACGATTAATGTCAATATAAAAAATTAATAAATCATAAAGGAAAAAGCAAAACAAAATCTTGGAAAAAGAACATTTAAATTGAGCATTATTAGAATTAATGTAAACTTCATTATTCCAGTTAAAGCCTTATTACAGTGTTTTAAGAATGCAATATTTATGTTAAAATTTTGAGTAGCTAAAATAATTTGTATTTCAGGGATCATACATACCAACAGAACAAACAAGTTTAACTTTTGATGAGCTGAAAATAATATCAGTAGCGGCAGAAGAAAGAAATAATGGATGCCTGCAGTCTATTAAAATTCATGCGGTAAACATAATAAGATAAAAATCACGGGATATACAAAAATGATATCTCCAGGGTCAACAGGAGGAAAAAATGGTATACATGCATTTTTGCAAAGATTGGAATGTAGGCGCTTTGAAATGCCCAAGTACGGAGACACTTGTTGAGTTGTGGGAAGAAATGAGCAGAGCCACCACAAGCATGACGCTCATCATGTGCCAGTGAGTTGAAATTTGGAACAAATTACTTCTAATTTTAAATTTAAAGTGATGGCGCGACTGCGTGCGGAATCTATCTTGGCATTGGATTTTTGCTGGAGAAGATGAAACTGGAGCACCAAGTAGATGCTGCACTTGCTCTACGTACGCTGCGAAAATCAAGACCCGCGTTTATATCAAATATTGTAACAATAATTTCGCTTTTTTAAAATTTATTTTCAAATACAATTTAACTTTTTTTAGGTTCAGTATGAGATGCTTTTTGAAGCTGCGCGAGCCTACCTTCAAACATTTGACACATACGGGAATTTTAACTAGTAATTAAGACTCTGAATTATACACTTTCGAGCTTTGCTATCATAGTGTTCTAGTAATAATGTTCAATTTGAGTGCAAATGCAGATTCACATTATTTGGTAAAGGAAAGATAATTTTAAAAACAAAATAATAATAACGCTTAAAATTATCACTCTTGTTATAGCTTAAAGAATTGTATATAGCATTATTAAATACCACTATACTAAGCGAAATAATATTTTTATAACTTGTGAATCTTGATTTTAATTAACCTTTTAATTGTAAGATGTAAGTTGAAAGTTCTACACAATTGAGTTTTCAATATTGCATATTTTTCTGAATTTAAATTTTGATGTTTTTACTATACAAATAGGTAAAATTTCAAAATTTTAGACGAACTTTATAAACATTCAAATATTAATTGTTTTATTCCCCAATTCGATTTCAGACGAAATCAAAGCAAGGGAAAATGTCTCCGTTATGTTTTAGCTTTGTAATCAGGAATAAAAAACAATAAAGTAAAATTTTGAAGCACTGAATTTTGATTCTCGTTGTCAGTAACACTGTCTGCCTTTTAAGAAACATTATGCAACGTGCAATACAGTGAGGTGCAGCGGGTGGCAAACATTAATTATCTAAGGATTTACAGAATCACGCATTATCTAATTAGATTAGTTGTCTAGAGAATATTTTCAATGTTGTGTTTCCCACTTTGAAATAAAAAAAAAAGGAAAAAAATCGTCAAAGTTTTAAAAAGAGAACCACATTTTTAATATTTTTTTATATATAAAATAAAACTATGAAAATAAATTTGGGATCAAATATCAAATAGAGATATTTTATCCATTTTACTTGGCTTACAAATTGTTGAGCAAAGTGTTTTTTATGGTAATGACGAATCACTTCTAAAGTTACTTTTTTCACCGATAAGACCTATCGCTAAACCAGGAAAAATGGCATTTGAAATATCAACGTTCTCCAGCAGGCATACAAGTTGAATTCTGAAATTGATACATCTCGCAAGATACACAATGTTTAAAACCCTCTTCATTTTACTTTACCTCTCGTCGATGCAAGGTAGTGAGTACCAATCTAAAAAAGGCATCCGTTTATATTTTTTTGCAGATGCTCTGGTAATTACTCTGAAGTCTAATGAAAGAATTCTCGCCTGCATAACAGACAGAACGGACGAAACGGTTGCGTTTGTTGCATCCAATCCAGCAGGTATTTGGTTGTGTTCTTCAACATTCAAGCTTTATATATTATAATAAATAACATGTTGATTAATTAACGACGATTTTGATGAAAATAAATTATAATATGTGAAAAAATTCGTGTTCGAATTTTCAGACTTTGAACCAAATGTTGAATTTTTGGATTCACGTGGAAAGCAACCTGATATGAAATTATATGACTGCAATTTGGTAAAAAGCAATGGATGCAAAAATTGGGATATTGGAACATTCGAAAATAAGAGTAACCTACAAAATGGTCAAGACGAGCTCCCTCCTGTTATTGACTACCGCTGGCATGGTACCCTTTGTTTTTATTAAAACACTATTCCACACTACTCCTAATTTTTGCTGATTCAATATGATTGCAGATTTTCAGCCAATCTACACCAAAAATAAAAGTTTTTCTGAAATCAAGAGTTTTGGAAAATCTAGTAATTTCTCAGCCCATTTCTCAATTTTAGCCAGCGAAAGTGTACAATTTGGATTTTCAAAAACACCGACATTTGATGAAGGTTACAGCATTGTTATAGATGGGTGGAAAGGAAAAAAAAGTTCAATAAGATATTGCTCCCATTTGTCACCAAAGGATAACGAAGATCATTCCACTTGCAATGTACAATATAAAAAAGTTACGGTAAAAGTCATATAAATTTCTGGTTGCTCAAAGTAAGATTTTGATCTCTGTTTAAACAGGACAAAAGCTTTTTGTTCAAGGGCAAGAATTGGGCTTTATTTGCAGTGCACTTCCTTTCATTCAGTAAAATAATTAATATTTCGGTTGAAAGTAACAAATCTGTTTTGATGAAAGCTAATGGAATAAATGATGGGTATGGAAACGGAAACTGTATCATTAAATAATAATAAAAAAACATTTTGGGAATTTATAGCAATACCAATGGTTGGTATTTTGGAGTAAAAACAACACAAGTAAATGGCGTATTTCGGCTACAAAAATGTAATTTTGTCCAATCTTCACAGGTAAAAATTAATAGCAAAAAAAACTTTTCATCTTTACAGATCAAACACTTCAAAGCAATCAAGGCTCTCAATTAAGGAGGTTAATAAATGCCACAGAAGATCTTTGTGTTGATGTTGTCTACTTTATAAAAGATCTTGATCATGATGAGACGAATGAAATTTTTAAACTTGAAATTAGCAAACAAACTGCAATTTTCTTCAACCAAACGATTAAAAGTGCCTTAATGAGCGAATGGAAAGTTGGAAAATTTATGTGGAACAACACGCTGCCAGGGACATACAACTTGACAATCACTGCGCTCAAAAAGGGCCTAGTAATTGGGGGAATCAGGTTTTGCTCAACTGGTGAGAAGTTTGGAATAAATTTAACTTTAAATTCAAATTGTGAAATAAATTTTCTTTCCAGGTGATTTGGTTGTCAAACCAAATAGCACAAAATTCACTTTTTGTCAACAGTTATCGCTCTCCACGTACAATAATGGAAATTTCAATCAAGCCCATTATTTTCTAGAGAAAAGTATGTATAACTTTTTATTTCATAATAGAAAATGCTATTACGATACAATTGTGTTTCACTATTATTATTTGTTCCAGAATTAGCAAAATTGAGTGAATCGTTTTGCACGAATTTGATCAATAAAAGCTGTTCTGGACTGAAAGCTTTTTCTGACAGCAGTTGGTCATGCTTGCCAGGGTACAGTGGCACTGACTGCAATCAGGGTTAGTATTTACAAACGTTCAAACAACATAAGATCTTCATTTATACTAGTAAAATTGTGACTAAACTACTTATTTAAAATTCATTATTATTCAATTTGATATTTTGCAAATCCAACAAAATCAGTACAAAAAGGAATAAATTTTTATGGGTCTTTGAAATTTTTATATTATGCACCTCCCTGGAACATGTTCCGTTCTTAAATGAGACACTCGACCTGAGCCAAAATATTCAGATGCGAAAGTTTGCAGGCAATTTCTGTTCACTTTATTGATACAATTTTCTTTATTTTTAGTATGCAGCGGCAAATCTTATGGACCAAATTGCACATCAGAGTCAAACCGATTTTGCAAGGAAAATAACGTGAATGGAGCAAATGGCTATTGCTCAGACGGCTGTGACATTGGGTACTTGCCACCTGATTGCACTCACGGTGAGCTACGAATTGAAACATTTGCTTGCTAAACTAATTTTGGAAACACAACGGACTGAATAATTTCAAATAAACTACTATAATTAAAACCAGAAATGTATAAAATACATTACACACATTTAACTTGAAATAAGAAAGACAAAGATTCAGGCTAAAGGGATTGCGAGAGACTCAAAATGTGCATTTACAGAAACAAACAATCTGATTATGGAAATTTAATTATTCAGGTTATTTTAAAATGTTATGATTTCAAAAACATTTCTACCGCAGCTGAAACAAAATTTGTTTTTCAGAATGTACTGGAAAATATTATGGAGAAAACTGCTCCTTTGTGACAATGAGCTTTTGCAAAGACAATAAAATAAATAGAACAGATGGAACGTGTTTGGAAGGCTGTAAGGTTGGTTTCATGGAGCCAGAGTGCAAAGGTTTGAGTCATTTATAAATATGTAATGAAAGTTATTATTGTTTTTATAAATACTACAGTATAATAGTTTTATTTTAAACTATCAATATTTTGCAAATTTTTGATAGTGTGCGTGAGTTTTTCTATTCTAATTATTTTAGAGTAGTGTCTTTGTTTTTGTGTTGTAAAACGTATGGCAGTTTCAGGGTTCATTTTTTTAAAGGTTTTTATATGGTTTTATTGGCACTGCAAAAACTTGGCTTTAAAAGATGGAATACATACCAAAATTTTTACTGTTAATTAGGAAGTTAATTTTCAATGAGTCAAAATTTCATCTTATTGGGCGAAATAGCGATCCAGACCAATTATGTTGCTCTGTTTGCCCTAATTTCCGGGTTTTAATAATGTTTTTGATTTTTTGAGACACAAAAAGATAAATTATTGCATCATTGAAAAATAATATCTCAATTAAAAGTCCAAATTTTGGTATGTATTCCATTCATTATGAAGCCAAGTTTTGCTCACACAGTTTCAGTAAAACCACGTAATAACCCCTTAAAATAATATTAATATTTCATTCAGAATGCGTCAAAAAGAAATATGGACTCAATTGCGAAAATGTCGTTGAAAGATTTTGCAAGGATGACGAAGTTGACAAAACCTATGGGAAATGTATTAATGGCTGCATGGATGGATACAAAGAACCAGAATGCATCAATAGTAATGAAATTTCTGTGACCAATATACAGGCAATATATTATAGTGAAGGTGTTCATTTCACAGATTACAGCGTGTTTTCATATATGATGCCTATTACACTCATTATACTTCTTGGAATTGTCGTTTTCTTCGCTTACGCTAAATTAAGACGTCGTAGGATGACCAAAGAGGAAATCGAAACTCAAACTAGCGACCAGGGTTGGTGTTGCTATGGAGGCGACTTTTTTAGAATATTCTGACCGTTTTTCTTTCTTGGAAAAGATTTAGCATTTGCAATGGAAGCACTTGATGAGCATCAACTTGACGAAGTCTCTGAACAACACCGATCGATAATTTCAAGTCGAAATGTTTCAGTTGAAAGACAATTAGATCATCAAGACAATTCTGCAGTTGCTGTTACTGAATTTGATTTTTATTTTGAATCTGCTTTGTCATCTGGTCTTTTGAAAAGTCAGTTTGAGGTAAAAATAACTTACATTTTAAATAAACTCTTATTAATTCATTAAATAAATTATTCACACATTAATTTTATTTAATAGTAGTTTAATGACTGACAGCAATCTCCCTATAAAAAATTTATTCCATCTTTTAAAGCGTTTCCCAAGAGGTCAAACACAAGCTTGGACCATTGGAACAAGTGCTCAAAATAGGAAGAAGAACCGTTATGGAAATTTAGCAGCCTATGACACCTCACGCGTTGTTCTTTCACTGCTGCCTGGCGATGAATACTCGGATTATATTAACGCAAACTTCATTGACGTAAAATAACATGTAAATTTAATAAGGTAGTGGAATAAAATTTTATATCAGGACCACCGCCGGCCCAAAGCCTACATTGCCACGCAAGGTCCAAAGGCGCAGACGGTTAACGATTTTTGGCGAATGATCTGGCAAGAGAAAGTGACGCAAATCGTCATGGTCACCAATTTAGAGGAAGACGGAAAAGTATTTTTTTTTTTAATTTTAATTCTTATCTAATATTCTCATTACATATAGAAATTTGAAAATTTTATTTAAAAATTATTTTTTAATTAAAAATTAACAATCGAGCTTTGCGGTTTAGATAAAATGCGAGAAGTACTGGCCGGACGTGTTCCAAAGCAAGCAATTTGCTGGTGTTGTGGTGAACAACGCCGAGGAGGAAATACATGCCGAGTTTGTTGTTCGAACTTTATCTATTTCCAGCGGTCAAGAAAACAGATTGGTAAGAAACCGCGAGTTTTAAAACAGAAACTCTTATCGCACAGTGCAGCTTGAAGAGAAATAAAATTAAAATAATATGTTTTTAAATTCCAGATCCAGCATTTGCATTTTACAAATTGGCCTGACCACGACGTACCTCTGTATCCGCAATCGATGCTAATTTTTGTTGAAAAAATGATGCAGCACAAATCTAAGGGGCCCGTCACGGTCCATTGCAGTGCTGGAGTTGGGCGCACAGGCGCAGTCATTTTGATTGACGCGTGTTTGCGAATGGCCTTGCAGGAGGGTTTCGTTGATGTGGTCAAAATTTTTGCAAAAATGCGATCTCAAAGGGCCAACTTGGTGGACAATCTCGTAATTGAAATATGAATTAAAAATTAAATAAAAAGAGTTTCATTAAATTTGCAGAACCAATACGAGTTCGTCCATCTGGTTTTGTTGGAAGCAATTGCAATTCCAAAACTCACCATCCCTTGCTCTCAATTCGCCACAGAATATTCATTTTTGATGGTACTTTTCTCATTAATTAAAAAAATTTTAATTCTAGAGTATTCTTTTTTTACAAGCAGGATTTTGACAAGCTGCAAGAGTATTACGAACGGTTAGGCGCAGTTTGTCAGAGAGATTGGATGAGAGCTGAAAAGCAGGCGGAAATTCAAGCCGAAAAGTGTAGATACCCTGACATAATTAGCTGTACTGCATTTTTTTTCTTTCAAAAAAAGTTTATATTTTAATAAATAAAAATGATTCAGCGTCAGCATACCTAGTCCGTCTCTTTCCGTACGGACACGTTACAGAAATGAGTTTTGTGAACGCCGTTTTCGTAGACGGTTACCAACAAAAAAAGCAGTTCATCGCCACGCAGGTGCCAATGGAGAACACGGTGGCCCATTTTTGGCGAATGATCCATCAGTACAACGTGGAGCAAATCATCATTTTGAACGAGCCACATATCTCGGACGTAAGAACAAGAAGTGATAAAAAATATAAATTTACCAAATTTACAAGCTAGAACATTCAAACACTTAATTTCTTTTACTATCTCATTTTGATCAAAATTATAATAATATATTATTAATTTTTAAATTAACAATATTGCAGGGAGTTTTTCTACCAACTGTTGACCGAAAATTTGTGTTTGGTGACCTCGAGGTTGTCTTCGATCGCACTCAGGAAGATGATAATTTCCAAATAAACACAATAAAAACATTCGGGGTAAAAGAAATCAGTCTGCTCAGTAAATAAAAATTAAAAGTAATTATCTATGTAGGCTCACGGGAGCAGCAAAGTCGTCTCTGTGATTAGCTTGTTTGGTTGGGACGCTCAAGAGTGTGTTGCGCCAAAGGTCAATTTACTGATAAATCTTTGGGCTGAATTGAAAACTTCTAAACGTGGTGAATTGACTGCAGTAGTTTGCAGGTAAGTAATTTTCTTCAGAATATATTATTCTTTAAAGCATTTTCAGTATCTACGCCCCTATTTTTTTTAACACCTTTGCTCACGAAAAACGTAAAATAATGTGTCAATTTTGGTTAATTTGAATATTTTGAATGATTTTGAAGTTCAAATATTGGCAACGCTTAAATTTGTTTTTGGTAATTAACTGCCTCTTTTGCAGTGATGGCGTGACGGCGTGTGGATTATTTCTTGGAATCGGCTTTGTCATTGAGAAAATCAAACTGGAACAACAAGTGGATGTTGCCTTGGCAGTGAGAACACTGAGAAAGTCCAGGCCACTGTTCATATTGAACCAAGTAAATTGCTATTAATTTATTTCATGCCACACATCAATGAGACGAAAAATGCTTTCAAATTCCCCCTCTTTCGAATGTAAAATTATTTTGAACCGATTCGATACAATATTTTCAATCTACATATCTTTGTAACTTTCTTTAATTCAATTAGTAATTCAATTAAATTAATTTATTCTCTCGCAACAATTAAGTCATACAAAAAAAACCCGCAAAAGTCACATTGGGAGAGAATTTCCGAAAATAAAAACAAGGAGTCACTAAAATTTGTCACAATTTTCTCTAATATTTCAGCTCCAGTTTGAAGCTCTCTACAACGCGGCCTACATGTACCTTTTATCTTTTGACACATATGGGAATTTTAAATTGTCTTAATAATGATAATTCAAACAGGATTAGTGCTAGTTTTTTAATTTTCTTATTAACTTTAAATGAAAAAAAAAAATGCTCTTTTGTTTTCAGTTAAATCTGCCCAAATGTGCATTTTTATTTTAAAACAGTGTAACTAAGGAACTATTATTTAGTTATCAAGATAAATTTTGCTATCCTGCTGTGTATGTATTACCAATATTTAAAAAACTATCAAAGAAATGTAATAGACACGAATTGTAATTATGGTTATTAATTTTGAACCAATTCTCTGCAGTATTTAATAAAATGTAAATTATTATAATATTGTAATACAAATAAAGATGGTAAAATATAATTATATCTTTATTATAATAATATTATACGCATCTTCTATTATAAATAAAAAATAATTAAAATTTACTCAACTTATGTTTATATCAAAAGTCTTATTTCTTATATATTTTAAAGTAAAAATAGTATATAATAAAATAAATACGAATTCAAAGGTTCCAGAAAAGTTTTAAGTAATGACTTAATTTATGTTAAAAAGTGGCGGCTCAATTATTATGATATGATTAGGTCACAGGACGCACGTTGTGGCATCCGCAGATGATGTGTGGTAAAAATTGCGGCTTTGAATCTCTTGGTCAGAGCTCTAATTATTGTCATAGTGTGTGAGGTGGTTAAGAAATGAAGTCGCTTGGGTGTTTCTTAACAACTCTGGTTCTACTGAGCGCACAAGCAAGAGGTACGTTTAAAAACATTAATGTTTTTCAACCTTTTTATTACTTAATTATAGGTTACTTATATTTTGTCAAGAATTACCAACATCCTAAACAAGCATCATGCTTGACAAATACTACAAACGAAGCAGTCGCTTTTGTTCAACAACTAAACGGAAACATGAGTAAAATTTAAATTTCATTTTTAAAAGCACCAAACTTAAAGTTGATCCATATGATGCCGTTCTAGCCTACAATTGGCTAAAAAACCAACGACTGGAAAGTTTGGACATGCAAGGAAACCCAATCAAGCAGATTAATAATGACTGCGACCTAGTAAATGATAAGTGCAATAAGTGGAAATTAAACTGGTTATTTAAAAAATATAATCTACCAAGAGATGACTTTAAGCCAATAACAGACATCAGATGGAACCGTAAGCTACAATTTTGTTCCTTCTTTTTTGGGTATATTATTTCCGAAACAGTTAATTATTAGACTCTCTTCATTCTTCAGTAAACTGCGCTATCAAAATTAAGCAGCAATTAAAAATTAAAACGGATTACTAATTATTATCATTATTTAGGCCACGCGGTGCGATTAAATTCTTGCTTCAATTTAAATTGACTTTTCTAATTTTTATGAAATTTTATTTTCATTGAAGACCATAAAATAATGTTAACAATAGGTATTTTAAATATTCACTAAAGAAAAAAATACTTTAAGGTTTGCAGAGCATCATCACAAATGGTTATAGTTACACCTATCAACTATTGGAGTACATAATGGGTCAAAGTTCCAAGTTTCATCTAGCAGTTTTGGCCACAGATAATATCCAGTTGTTGATTTCTGATGACAAAGACTTGAAGAAAGGATACAATATTGTGCTAGATGGATGGCTACCAGTTAGGAGAGCATGTATTCGCTACTGCCCCCAAGTCTTCGAAAATACGTACCCAACTTGTAGAAATTTGTCAAAAACTGCCGATTACTTGAATGTCACAAAAGAAGGGCAGCAGTGGGCATTAGTGACAATTGAATACAATTTAAGTCTTAGATCCAAGTATATTCGTGTCATGCATGAAGATAGAGTGATTTTACAATGGGAAGATACAAGGTATTTTTAATCGTTTTGTGTCGCTTAAACAAATCATTTTTATGTTTGCATTTCAGCGCATCATATTCAACTCCAATAATTAATAATGGATATTTAGCATTGCGATCACACAATGACATGAATGCAATCTATAAGATCCACTCCTGTAATTATCAACTTAATTCACCTCCAAGAGGCAATTCATTTTAAATCGATGCATCGCCCTTTTTCAGACCAATATTTACAGCCAAATCATAATGCAGCCACAATGGAGAGCAGTTTTCAAATTCATGAGGCTCAAACCATTTGTTTTGACATTATTTACATCGCTACTCTTCAGCCATTAATAGTAAAGGTAGATGATGCTGAATACAAATCATTTGAAAATTCCATAGACGGAAAAACATGGCTGTCCTGGCGGATAGAAACACAACATCTTGACGTAGGAACGCACAAAATTGTAATACAGGTCGGAGGTCAAGATAATTTAATCGGCGGCGTTTATTTTTGCAATCCAGGTAATGCACATTATTGAGATATTTAGGGAAAATAATGGATTTTTCCAGGACCCACGCTTTGGAAATTAAATGGTGGCATTTCTAGGGCTTGCCAGGTAGTAGGAAGTGATTTGAAAACCAAGAGTGGCAGTGACTCTGGCTCATACTATGGGTCGGCGAGTACAGAGTCGAGAGCTTTGAGTGCTATTTACCAAGGTAATATCTATTTTCCAATCGTTTCAAATTTTAAATCACTCAAATAGATCCTCGGGTTTTGTGTAATGCTTTTGGTGATCTTGATTGTTACAAAACTGGGGCTTGCAATTCAAAAACATGTTTTTGCTTGTCTGGCTACAAAACTGAATTGGGTGATAAGGAAACATGCACAAAGAGTAAGTATATTTACCTTTTATTAGGCTAATAATCATGAATGAATTATATAGAGTGCTCAACAAACTTCTATGGCCCAAATTGCTTCTACTATACTGTAAGGCATTGCAAAAATGAAGATTACAACACACATTCTCCAGGCTGTCTACAGGGCTGCGAGAGCAAGTATAGAGCTCCATATTGCACCGATGGTGTGTTTCAGAGTTCAAATAACAAAATTTACAACTATGCATCAGCAACTTTAAATATGAGAATAATTATTTATATTTTTTTATAACTTTTAAATTTAAAAGAAAAATACGCTGTGCATGAACAAATAATTATTACATATCAGTTTTGCCTGGAACTATTTAAGACAGAATTAATAAAATACAATTTTGTCAATTTTGAAATTGAATTTCCATCTTTACTCTTTCCAGTGCTCCTGTCTTTGCACAACCTTCCAAGCCCAAAAGAAGTAAAAACATATAAAGTTTTGCTGGATTTTGAAGACAGCATTTTGACCATGAAAAATGATTTCTTTGGCCACGCCGAGCTCAACTATAGAAAAGTGATACGAAATGATATCCGCAACATTTATTTAGCTTTGACTCTTACTCTAGGCTGATTCTGCAAACATTTTTATCAAAGTGAATGTGACCAAAGAAGTTCCACAAGAGGTGTGGATAGAGAACTTGCAAGATAACACGGAATATATTTACGAAGTTATCGTCATGGAAAAAGATGGACAGTTCAATCCTGAAGTTCAAAAAGGGACTTTCAAAACAGAAAAATGCGTTCCTTTGGGTAAATAATATGCCCCAATGAGATTATGAAAAATGTTCAAACTTATTCTTACAGGTAATGATAGCTTTCTTATTGATGTTAAGAGTTCAACAGTTACCTGGAAAATAATCGACTCACGAAAAGATGATTTGTGTCACTTAAAATTACTGAAAATTTCTTCTGGCCACGAAAATTTGTTGACTGAACTCGTTGGCGGTCGAAATCTTGATTCTGCCATGAACCAAGTCACGTTTGCGTTTGATAAAGACAAAAATTATTTCATTCAGCTGGAAGGGTACGACGGTAGCTCATTTCAGTTTGAATATTTCGACCCTTCTCCACAAGAGCGTGAGCGAATGCAGGAAAGTCAAATTTCATAATTTGATTTATTTCCTATTTTTAAGCAGAGGTTGAGGACACTGACTTTATGGTAATTGCAATCAGCGCTCTAGTGGTTATGATTCTTTTGATTATTTTGATCGCCCTTCTATTAATGTGGAGACGGGGCAAGAGGAGGGTCAACAGTGCCAACCAAAGACTGGTTGAAGAGTGCTTACAACCTGAAAGTAAAGATGAAATCAAATTCATAACCTCCGATAGCATTAAAAAAAAAATGATAAAAATAGTAAATTATATTCAATTATTTCGCAGCGAACACTGCCGTCGAATTGGACTTATTGCCCGCACCTGAGAGATCTTCTGCGCGAAAATCGTTTTTCGCAAGCACAGATGATCCTTTTAGTAGAGTTGTGCGAGTTACAGAGCTCGAGGACTACATTGAAAATGCAAAAAAATTGGATCTACTAAAGAAGCAACATGAGGTCAGAATGACTTTAATAATATATTATTTTTCTATCCTCAAATTATTGGTAGCTCTTTCCACGAGGCCAAACGCAGCCGTGGACAGTTGGCGTTGATCCTGCCAACAAGAAAAAGAATCGGTACGCAAATTTGGCCGCCTACGATTCGACCAGAGTTCAACTGCCTTTGCTACCGGGAGATGAGCATTCAGATTATATCAATGCAAACTACATTGATGTAAAAATTTAAAAAAATTCTTCTTTCAAAGTTAAGAAAAAATATGTTATTCAGGGCTACAAACGACCGCGAGCGTACATTGCAACACAAGGACCAAAACCTCAAACTGTGGCCGATTTCTGGCGGATGGTTTGGAAGGAAAAGACCAGTGTTATCATAATGGTCGCTAATCTCATCGAAAACGGAAAGGTATTGCCTCAATCATTAAATGTTTTTTTTTTTTTTTTCATTAAAAAAGAACATCTTTTTTAGTCAAAATGTGAAAAGTATTGGCCTGATATTAAGCAGTCTTCGAAGTATGGGAATATTTTGATTAATAACACTCATGAAGAGATGTTTGCCGACTTTGTTATTCGTACCTTGGCAATATCGTCCGATGACACCAGCCGAATTGTAAATAGATAATTAGTGGAATTTCTTATGCAGATTTTTGAAATTTTACTTTGAATAAATTACAGGTCACTCAGATGCACTACACGACCTGGCCTGACCACGGCGTCCCTCTTTATCCCCAATCGGTCGCCGCATATGCTAGAAAACTGTTAGAAATAAAAACCGAATCGCCGATTACAGTTCACTGCAGGTAAAATTATTTCCAGTTTATGCTTTTATTGTTTGTTGATTTCAATTTTTTTGGATGAAGTGCTGGCGTTGGTCGCACTGGGACTATAATTTTGATTGACGCCAGTCTCCGCATGGCAGCGGCCGAGGGAATTGTCGACGTGCTCGCCCTTTTGACCAAAATGAGAAACCAGCGAGCCAATATGGTCGACAACCAAGTAAGACGACAAATTCGCGTGCCATTATAAAAAATGTGAATTTTTAATAATATTTTCAGCAACAATATGAGTTTGTGCACTTGGTGCTTTTGGAGACCCTCATTGTGCCGCAGTTTTCTATTCCGTGCAAAATCTTCCAATCTCAAAATGTATATAAAATAATTAAAATTTTATTTTTATTCAAAGTTTTGAAAAATTGATCCCATAGGCGCTCATCAGCAAGCAAATTGCAAGAGAGTTTGAGAAGCTGAATGAAATATGCGAAAAAGAATGGAACCGGGCGAACAAGAATGCCGAAATAGAGGAAGACGTGTGCAGATACCCAGACATTGTAGCATGTAATTAAATTTTTTTTTTTAAATTTTAATTTCTGTCAAACGTTTGTTAGCTTCCAATCAACTGGTTAAAATTTTCCCGTACGGTTCCGTGACTAAGACCACTTTCTTAAACGGAGTCTATGTGGACGGTTTTCGGAAAAAGAGACAATTCATTGCAACCCAAGTGCCTCTTCCGGGCACTGTTGAGCACTTCTGGCGGACGGTGCAGCAGCACAAAGCGGAGCAAATAATCGTTCTCAACGAACTAGGACCAATCGAGGTATCATGGATGGTTTTAAATTAATTTTTCTTCCCTTTTGAATCATTTTTTATTTCATTGACACGAAATTCGCGATTTTTATTTAATCATTTCAACAAAAGTTCATTCAAAAAACGTTTTAAAATTATGTAAACTATTTTGACATAAGATATTCATAAAATTTTTACCACTGAAAAAGGGACACTATCTTCCTGAAACTGGCGAGACATTGGCTTTTGGTGACCTCACAATTTATCTGCAATCGCAATATGAGCTAAAGGACTGCTGGGTCAAGAAAATAGCCTTGTCTGTGGTATGAAGACGAAGTAGCGAAAAATATGGCTTAAACAATCAAAATTTAAATCAGTGTGGAGGCTCACCAACAATTACACACGCCATATGCTGCAGTAACTGGGCTGTAGGTCAACTTTGCGGCCTTGGTGTGACTGGACTTGTGGAGTTATGGGAGGAAACCGAGCGTCGCAGAGGCTTTGGTGTGAATGTAGTCGTTTGCCAGTGAGTGAATTTTAATTTATATTAATATTATAATTTCTCATTATTATTATTACTAATATATTGTAAGATAAATAAAAAATTTTAATTAAATTTATGCTTTAGTGACGGGGTTTCTTCGAGCGGTCTTTTCCTTGGACTGGGTTTTGTTTTGGAAAAAATTAAACTGGAACAACACGTGGATGCTGCCTTGGCCCTGCGTACTCTGCGGCAGTCGCGGCCAAAATTTATAGCAACGCTTGTATACCATAACGTTTGCGTATTTTAAATAAAAAGTTAATGTAATGATTTTTTCAGGAGCAGTACGAGCTACTTTTGAAAGCGGCGATAACCTATCTGCAGGCGTTCGATACATATGGGAATTTCCAATGAATCATTGTGAATCATAAACCACCAACACCATTTTATTCTGCCGTTTATCTTATTGTTAGAGGAACAGTGTGTAAATATATTGTAAATATCAATAAAAAAATAAAACCAACAAATTTGACAACCCCTATCTTTTACGGTGGCAAAAGTGTGCAAATTGATTGATTAATCACTTATTTCATAAAAAAAAATAAATTCAAGAACGTTTAAAACCTGCAATTTAAAGCTCTGAAATAGGAAGTATAATTTATTGTTATTTGTTTTCCATGTACGTGGCATAAACAATATGTATGAGTTTGTTAAGTTCCACCTTGAATATTTTATTATTTTGCTCATTTTCCAACTTATTTCCACAATTAAAAATTGATTGATAATAATTTTACATGAATTATTGTAAAAATTAAATGAATAATTAAATTATGCATAAAAAAAATTGAAAATTTGTTATGTCCATTTTCCTACTGTTTTTTCGTTGATATCAAAGTTGATTGCGGTTAAATAAGTTCCTGCTAGCACAGACGAGAGTATTATTATTGGTCAGTATAATTCCATTCGCCACATTTATTCATGTACTTTGAGAAGCAGGAGAAATATGAAGCTGACTAGCATGCTTGGATGCTGCTTAGTTTTGCTCTTTTTCATATTGGAAGCTGGAGCACAAGGTATTTTCTAACCATGTACCTCATAATAATTATAAAATTATTTTCCCTACCAGCTGATTTGTATTTTATCAAGAATCATAAAAGTGGTACTAGTGCATGCTATACAAATGACACGAATAGCACAGTAGCTTTCATTCAGGAACTTAAAAAAATAAGCAAAAATGGTAATAAATAAATCCAAAATGGTTTACAGTTTTTTTGATCTAATAATATAATCAAATTAGAGGAACTTAACCTCAATGTGGAAAGGCTTGACTCTCTAGGTCAGCATTCAAATTTGCAACAATATGACTGTGACCTTGTCATTACTGAAGGATGCAATACGTGGAGTAAAGAGGAATTTCAGTTACTGAACAACATCGACTCGACAGATACCTTTGAGGCAATATCCGATTTAAGATGGAACCGTGAGTTTTAAATTTATAAAATTAACGTAGCAGATCTACATTGATTCTTAAAGCTACTATGAAAAAATGTTTTATATTTTGCATATTTTGTATAATAGCTCGTTTTAAAAGAAGGACTTTTTACTGATTATGCAAACAAAAGAACTCTTTAACATTAAAATACCATTTCGTTTGAGAATCCCTTATCAAAGCACCTCTGTTATTTTTAAATAAAAAGAAGCATTGAAAAATTAAACAGAATGTTGAAAATTCACAATAGGTCAGTGGGGAATATTTAAAACAAATTAGTTCTCTGAGGCAGATTTAAAAAAAAAAATTAACTGTTTACAGGTTTGCCAGCAGTTTTCACAGATGGCTCTTTTACCCATAGACGTTTCCCAAACAAAATTAAGTCCTCCGGCAAGATCAACTTATCAATTTTAGCATTACATACCGCCCAGTTGTTGATCTCTGGAAATGAAAATTTAGAAACTGGATACAGTATTGTGCTGGACGGTTGGAATCCTTACCAATCACGTTTGCGATACTGCTCAAAAATACCAAAGAAAAATCCTTCAGAATGTGAAATTTTAACTGACATCGGTCTAAACTATGACTTCACAAGGAAAGGCGAACAGTGGTTACACATTACAATAGACTACAACTTGGAAAACGATTCAGCACATGCAATTGAAGTCAAGTCACTTAGCGATGTTATCATGAAATGGAATAGCAATGGGTATTATTTCATTCATTGCGTTTTTTTTATGATTTTTAAAATTTCATTACATGATATAATCTAAAAAGACGACTAAGTCAAAGCGTTTCATATATAGCAGCGCGTACATACGCAGACCGCGGGATTTACAAGCTGCATGAGTGTAGGGATGAATTATTTATTTTAAAAAGAAAAAGATATAATTTTAAATTTCAGATTCTTATTTAAAGCAAAAAATGCAACATCAAACAGCGATCATGTCAAAAATTGTTCATCTCAATCAAAGTCAATCGATCTGCTTTGATGTAATATACAAAACAGGCAACATCCCTCTTACGGTGAGAGTAAATGACACAAAGTACGAGTTAATTAGCAACGTCATCTGGAAGACTTATCGAATCCAAACTAAAATTTTGGATATTGGAGAACACCTAATAGAAATTAAATCCGGCGATCAGTTGTCTTTGATTGGAGGTATCTATTTTTGCACACCAGGTAAAGAAAAATCAAAATAGATTTTAACCTCAATCAACATTTATTTTCCAGGCCCTGTGCTCTGGAAATCTAACAGTAAATCTTCAGTCTCGTGTATGATGCTGAAAACTGAATCTAAAACTGTTAGTGTCATAAATGATAAGATTAAATCTCCTGGCCCACTCACTTATGATTCAAAGAGTACTTTTTTTTTTCAAATTAATCAATATTTTTATAATTTTTTACGTTTTTATAATCCTGAAATCCCAGCAACATTGGACTTGTGCAGAGTTGTAGGAAGTAGTGAATGCTCTGGAATAAAGACCTGCGACAGCATTGGGTGCTTTTGCACATCTGGTCATAATGGTACAAAATGCGAGTCAAGTAAATTTCTAAAAAATTATTAAGATATTTAGTGACCCAATTCAATTTAGGGTGCATGCGAAAGTACTACGGATCTGATTGCAATTTGTATAATGAAGGAAAATGCAAAAACGGCAGTTACAGTGTGCATTCGGCAGAATGTCCAGAAGGCTGCAAGTCGGGATATAAAAGACCATTTTGCTTAAAAAGTTTGATAATTTCTTTATTTAATGTGTACTAAATTTTTTTTAAATAAATCCACATAGCACTTGCATATAAATCAGGTAAAAATTATTATCATTCAGTGTGAATCAGAGAAAGGTAGAGAGGTGTTATAATCTGCAAATTTAAAAGCATGAATTTTTAAAAACTGAATAAAATTGTAACTTTTGCATGTGGATTTCTTTCATTTCCTGCTTCAAAATAATAATTCATAACGCAATTTTATTTTAGAACTACTAACGTTGAAAAAATTCCCTACACCAATGCAAATCGAGGCGTTCAAAGTTGCACTGAATTTTGAAGAGAGCTTTAACTTACTAGGAGATGAATTTGGCTATGCCAAGATCAAATATAAGAAGGTATATGTACAAAGTTTACTTAGTAACTCTAAAAAAGCTTTTCGTTTCAGGCCAATGCTCCCGAGGAATTCCTTACACTGAACATCTCTAAAAATAATCCAGCTGAGGTGTGGATAAAAGGTCTAGATCCAAGTTCAATTTATACTTATACAGTGGAAATCATTGAACAAGATGGTCAATATTTGCCGAACACCTATTTTACAAATTTCACCACCAAGAGTTGTATTCCTTTGAGTAATATTCAAATTTATTTCAAAAATTATGATCAAACGGTGTAATTTATTAGGCAATCAGAGTCTCAGCATTACAGTGAATGATTCAGTGATCAGTTGGAAGAAAATTGGACCGAACCAGGAAAATGTGTGCCGCGTGCAGAGCTTAATTATTTCTACTGGCGAGACAAAATTATTAGAAGAAAGCATCGGTTTGGACTTGATGCATACCCACTTTCAATCTTTTGAATTCAAAATAAAAACAAGCTACGCAATTAAGTTATCTGGAGAAGACGACAGTGTCTTTTTGATTGAATTTAGCAATCCTGGGCCTTTGGAACGTGAGTGAATTAAATTGTTAAGTGCATTTGACAATAATTTTTGATGATTAGAAGCTGGAGGTCACTTTGTGATTGGCGCAGTAAGTGCGTCTGTGGTTTTAATTGCTGTGCTTGCAACGGTGTTTTTCTGGAGACGACGTAAACATGCAAAAAATACAAATCAAGTGCTTATAAACCAGAACTCACCACCAGAAGGTAAAGTTTGTGTAAATTTTCTCAGCGAAAAATTATCTTATCAAGAGCCTAGCAGCATTTTCAGATATTTAAATTGGTGAAACAAACTAATAAAAATGGCAATATTGAAAAATGCATTTTACAATTAAATCTTACGTCATTTTCCCACCGCACAATTAAAATAATTTAAAATTAATGCATTTAAATATAATTTTTTCCATACAGGAAAAGCTGTTGAGCTCGACTTGTTGCCTATGCCTGAAAGGTCAGCAACTCGAAAGTCATATTTCGCACGCCAGAATGACCCTTTCAGTAAAATTGTGGGAGTTGCCGAACTTGAAAAATACATTGAAAATGCCATAACAACGGATCTGCTGAAAAAACAGCATGAAGTCGGAGATATTTGTTATTATTTAAATTTTTATTTCACTGATTTTCTTTTTTAGCAATTCCCACAGGGTCAAACACAGACATGGTCAGTTGGCGTTGATCCTGCCAACAAGAAAAAGAATCGGTACGCAAATTTGGCCGCCTACGATGCTACCCGTGTTCAACTCTCTTTTCTGCCAGGAGATGACCATTCAGACTACATAAATGCAAACTATATTGACGTAAATTTTTGAAATATTCCTGAATAATTATTTTAATAAAACTTTGGCTTATATAAAAAAGGGTTACAAGCGACCTCATGCGTACATTGCAACGCAAGGATCGAAACCGCAAACCGTGAACGATTTCTGGCGGATGGTCTGGCAGGAAAACGTGAGCGTTATCGTAATGGTTGCAAATCTTGTTGAAAATGAAAAGGTTTTTCCCCATATTTTTTTCAAATGCTGCTTAATTAAATTTTTAATTAGTCCAAATGCGTAAAATACTGGCCGGATGTGAAACAAACAACGAAACACGGAAATGTTGATATAAATAACACCCAGGAAGAAGTATTTTCCGATTTCGTCGTGCGCACTTTCATTATTTCGTCTGAAAATGCTAATCGAACAGTAAAAATAGAAAATAAAATTTATCGAATAAGGATTAATTAAATTATTACTAGATCACTCAAATGCATTACACCACCTGGCCTGACCATGGCGTTCCAATTTATACTCAATCAGTCGCTCAATTTGCGCACAAACTGATCAAAATGAAAACAGAGACTCCAATTGTCGTCCATTGCAGGCAAATAATTATTTGGAAAATTTAACTGGTGGCATAAAATTAAAAATTAATGTATTCATCAGTTCTGGCGTTGGTCGCACCGGAACCATAATTTTGATTGACGCCAGTCTCCGCATGGCTTTGGCCGAGGGAATTGTCGACGTCCTCGCCCTTTTGACAAAAATGAGAAGCCAGAGAGCGAATATGGTCGATAATCATGTGAGAAAGTTAAAAGCTGCATTAATTCGCAAAAAGTTTAATTTCAAAATCATTGTCAGCAACAATACGAGTTTGTGCACTTGGTACTGTTGGAGGCACTTGTTGTGCCGCAGTTTGCTGTTCCCTGCAAAGATTTCCATTCAGAATATGAATCCCTCACAGTAATTATTTCAATTAAGATTTTTTATTGCCACACCACATTCAATACCATGATCCTTTTTTTTTTGAAGGCGTTTAAAGGTTCAAAAATTATAAAGCAGTTTAAGAAAATTAATAGTATTTGCGACAAAGAGTGGAACCGGGCCAATAAAAAAGCAGATATACCAGCAAAAATATGCAGATATCCAGATATTGTGGCGTGTAAAAAAAAAATAATTTTAACTTGATAACTTTTTTTAATTTTAAAAATTTTCAGCATCCAATCAACTGGTTAAAATTTTTCCATATGGCTCTGTGACTCAGACAACTTTCCTCAACGGAGTCTATGTGGACGGTTTTCGGAAAAAGAGACCATTCATTGCTACTCAGGTGCCTCTTTCGAACACCGTTGAGCACTTCTGGCGTACGGTGCAGCAGCACAAAGTGGGGCAAATAATTGTTTTAAATGAGTTCGGACCAATGGAGGTATTTTATAAAAAAAAGTTTGAATTTACAATTTAATCTGGCCTTTGTTGATAAAATGTGATCCGCCTTTGAAAATAAGTACACTAAAATGTTGATATTTCAACAGACAATTTTTCAGAATTCATTAGAGATTTTAATGAAAAGTTTTAAAATATTATTAAATCATCGTAACGCTTTTTTTTTTTATAAAATCATGAAATTAAAATGAAAATATCAATGGAGAGAATATTATAAATTTTTCAAACTTCATTAAATAAAATTTTCAATATTTCAACAGGGTCAATATTTGCCAGAAGGTGACGAGGCGTTGAACTTGGGTGATGATCTCAATATTTCTCTGCAAAATGAAATTGAGCTAAAATATGGTTTATCGAAAACAATTGTAATTTCAGAGGCAAGTCAAGTTAATTTTTATAGTTGCCCGCAATTTTACATGTAATATTTAATGGCACTTAGAATGGTAAAAGTCCCGTGATTACAAACGTTCTATGCACCCGCAATTGGGCTGTGGGACAACTGTGTGGCATTGGTGCGAGCAGTTTGGTTGAATTGTGGGAAGAAACAGAGCGGTCAAGGGGTAGCGGTGTGAGCGTCGTAGTTTGCCAGTAAGACATTTTACACTATTTTAACCTTCTTTAGTTTTTTTTTTTATTTCAATAGTATCAAACGCCATTTTGAGTGTCGAAACTCGAAATGAAATTTCTATTGGTGATGTTATTGATAAAATTACATAATAAAATATTATGAAGGTATTATTTAAATTTTAGTGACGGAGTCACTTCATCTGGACTTTTCCTTGGCGTAGGATTTGTTTTGGAAAAAATCAAACTGGAGCAACAGGTGGACGTTGCACTGGCTCTGCGGACGCTGCGGCATTCCAGGCCAAATTTCATTTCAACTGTGGTATTCAACAAAAAAGATATTATAAATTGGTTCTAAGTTTTAAATTCAATAGGAGCAGTACCAGTTTCTTTTTAAATCTGCAATAACCTATTTGCAGTCATTTGAGACTTACGGAAACTTCCAATGATAAATCCTCTGGACAAGTGAAATGAAAAATTACCAAGTATCTTACAATTGTTTAATGCACAAAAATGTGTACGTATGTTTTTTTTTAACGTGAATTGGAATATAAGTTATTTATAATCATGCTTATATTGTTATCGTTTTGCTTCAGTGTAGGTTTAATTAAATAATTATGCATTTTATAATTAATCATATATTAAATTTGTAATCACAGCAAAACTTTATGCTTTCAATAAAAGTGTAAAAATAATGAAATTTGTTGTTTTAAATAATTGAAACTTCTCCTTTAATTTTTTCTAAACAAAATAGTAAGAGGAAATATGAGCCAGGGTTTACATGATAATTTAAATCCTTATTTTATCGTTTTAGGAGAGGTAGCGTTTATACACAAACTAAAACTACAAATCAGGAAGTAAAATAGTTAGAAAGCCAATCTATAAATAATAATCATATTTTTTTTATGTACTATCAAGTTGTTGTGGTGTAGAGGAGGAAGTTTACCAAGGAGAATAAACTCCTCTTGTTCACTTCTAACAACTTACTAGGCAATATGGGCTGCCTAAGTCTTAAATTTTTGAATTGTAAGATGAAATGGACTTGCTTTCATCTCATGGCATGTGTGGTAATATGGGCTCAGCAAACGGGTAAGTGGAAACACTCAGGAAATTCGTCCGAAGTATTTTCCTTAATTCTGTACAGATGCTTTTTTGTATCGAGTCTCGAATAGACTGAGCAAGGAAAGTGTTTGTTACACAAACAATAGTGAATCTGCTGTCGTTTTGGTGCCATCTTTGAACGGTTTGATTTGTATGAAGCAATCAATTGAAGGTAGTTATGTACTATTTTAAGCAGATTTGCAAGAGGAGCATGCAAAACCAGATTGGAAAAGTATCAGACAAACGTCTCAGCTACTGAAGGATTTCAATTGTGATTTGTCGAAGAGCCCCATTTGTAAAACTTGGAGTTACAATAATGATTTTGAAGTTGTTAGCAATTTGAAAAATGGCCAAGATCAATTTGAACCAATAACAGACATCAGGTGGAAGGGTATTAAAAATAATTATAATTTTTAATTATTCCTTGCTATTTTTTAAATTCAATTTTTGTATACCAAAAAGAGACATGATATCCCAACAATTGAAAAATTGATTTTTCAAATTTTAAATGACAAATTTTGCTCTCAAAATTGAAAATTCTAGAGATTAAAGGAAAATGCTGATATTTTATAGGGGAAAAGGTGATTGGCAACAATAAACTTTGCTATCTCTTTAAAAATTATTTGTTGCCAAATTGGTCAACTCATTATCAATACATAAAATTTTTTAATAGAAAATTATAATATCCTCATGAAGTCATAATTTTTTTTTTTCAAAATGACCTGTTTTAAATCGCAAAAAAAAAACAACTAAATATTTATTTTAAATTTTATTAACTACCAATTTAGATTTACCTGTGGCTCTTACACACGGACAATTTGACTTTACAAGGCTAAGCAGATTACCTGGAAATAATGGAATATTCCAATTATCGATCCTTGCAAACTCTAGCGCGTCGATACTGATTACTCAAGATGATTCTTTGAAAAGTGGGTACAGAATCTCTTTTGATGGATGGAACAATAGTTTAGAGTCCAGGATTGCGTATTGCAATGAAATTTTATCATCTGAAACTCCAAATTGTGAAACTATCGTTCACTATAAGAGTATTGTAAGATGTCTTCTATCATTATTTAATAAAAAAATAAATTTCTGAAATATTTCTACATTCCAATTATTAGTCTCAACCGATTTTGGATAGAGGAAGGCAGTGGGTCCTGATAAAACTAAAATACACAATGGCAAGGGACTCTGCCAAAATCTATGTTTCTTTACCCAGCAGCAATACATTACTTACTTCACCAAGGTTTCTTACTCAATTTGATCAAAACCAAGTTAATTTTATAACTATTTAAATGTGTTTCAATAGCACAAACTCCAGAGTACCAATTAAAAGTGGTCATTGGAATGTTGCTGTGACATCATTCGACAGCATAAGAGGCCTCTTTAGAATACATGAATGTAAGCAGAAAATGATTTTTTATTTCAGGTGAAATACGATAAAAGAGCACAAATTTTACAGACAAATATTTGCAACCGATTCGCGATAAAGGGAGCATGTCTGTTTCCCTCCAGGTTTCAAAATTGCAAGAGATGTTATGCTTTGATGTGATTTACATCTCAAACGAAGTAATCAGTGTGAGGTTGGTGAAAGAGAAAGTCAATCTCAAGAACTTCACAATACCAAGTAGCGAAGGCAGAAAAAAATGGTCAACACACAGGATGAGCTACCAAATTGATTGGACAGGCAATTTGACGATTATTATAGAGACGACGACTGCTAGTACATATATTGGAGGAGTTTTCTTTTGTGACGAAGGTATTTTGTTTCAGAAGAATATTATAATTTAAAAAAATCATTGTTTTAATCATTTGTTCACATTTTTAAACAATCTTGTTGAAATTCAATTATGCAAATATTACAATTTTACAGGCCCTGTAATATCATCAAAAGGAAAATCAGAAATATGTCAAGATCTAAGTCTTTCTAATATTTCAACAGCAAAAAATAATTCAAATATTATGAAATTTCCCGATCAACTTGGAGGTGATTTATCCGTCTATCTACTTAAATTTTTATACCTTCCTCTAATTCAATTAAAAATGTTTAGCGTCAGAGTTATTAAGTTTATGCAGTAATGTTGGTGAAGAAGTCTGCCAAAATGTTGACATTTGCGACTCCAAGGGTTGTATTTGCATGTTTGGGTTAATACAACAAAATTCTGATATTTGCAAGAGCAGTAAGTAAAATCAATCAAAAATTTCTTAGTTCTACACAGTTATTATCATTTTTTAAATTAAAGAAATAATATTAATCGGGATTCAAAAACATTATTTGATAGAATAATGATAATTAAATTACTATGACCCTTTCTCAGATTGCAGAGGATATTATTGTCAATGCCAAGATCTTATCAAAGTAGTTTCCAAAGCACACAGCGCTCAACTAAACTTCTCATCAAGATGTAATGACGCATTTGGGGGAATAGATCTCATCGTTAAATATGGAAAGGTGAACTTTTGCCACGACTTTTCAGTGTTCAACTAATTTATTTCACATGATTTAAGATGTATGACTATGCTAACTGGATAAGCGTTAATTTATCAAGAGCAAGGCCTGTAATTGAAATAGACAAATTGGAGCCAAAAGCAGAATATGTCTATGAAATGAAAATACACAAAGATAGAATTCTGTATAAAAGATTCAACAGCCTGCTGGGCTTTGGCAGTTTCATTACGCAAAAATGCAAATCCATAAGTACTCTCATTACAATTGCCTATCAAAAGCCTCAATCATTTGAAATTTTTTCAGACGGTTCAAATGTGAACATATGGGTGAGTTGGTCAACCATAAATGTGACAGCATCAGAAGACTCAGAATTGTGTCACCTGGATGCTTTAGAAATACAATTTCCTAACGGCACAAAGCACGTGATAAGTCTTGATGGTAAAAAGGTAATAAGTGAGGATTTTAAATTTGAAGCCGATATGAGCTACATCATCTCAGTTGTCGATTCTGAAGGACAAACTGTCACAAAATTACAGTCTTTCAAAATAAGTAAGTCTTTAAAAATAAGGTATTTTAGTAATTATTTGAATTTTTATAATTAGGTTCTGATACTTCTCATATATTCATTACGTACTTCATCAATGCGAGTGGCGCTCTATGTGTATTTTGCGTTTTGGCTCTGTCATTTTTTGCCTTCAAAAAATACAAGAATCGTAATGAAGGTACTGCCAACAACCTTCTTGAGAGTGAGTATATTATAATTTTATTTCCTTTTTTGTCGTTATTACTAATTATTTATTTATTCATTTATAATATGTTTTACATGATAATTAAAAATTGCGGGATATTAGGTAATGGTTGTAATTTAATCTTGTTTTGAGTTAATTTGAACTCTAAAAGAATAAAATTATTTATAAAAAGGACGACATTCAATACATGAAATTCTGTTGTTTGAAACAGTATTAGTCATACATGAGGAAAGATAACTGTGGGCTACTTTTAGAAAATTCCAATTAAAATGCGGCAACAGATTAAATGGGAAAACAGGAAAGTCCCAATTATGCTCAACTATAGCGGTTGTTTTTCCTGATATTAAATAATCAAAAAAATTTTGCTGGGAAATCCGATCGGATAAAATTGTTGCGACTTATTGAAATTGAATTTCCTGAGAATATATTTAGTTTTTACTCTGGTAGTGACGCAAAGTCCTAAAGTGGAAATAAATGAGCCCGTCGCCTTAAGCAAAATCATCAAAGTATCCGACTTCGAGGAATATGTGGAAAAAGCAACAAAAACAGATTTACTGAAAAGGCAACACGAGGTTTCAAAATAATTATTAAAATATTATGGGGCGTAGACATTAAATCTGTTTAATTACATAAAAGCTCGCTCCACGTGGCCAAACGTTGCCCTGGTTGGTCGGAAATGACCCAACAAACAAGAAAAAGAACAGATATAACAATCTGATGGCATATGACGCAACAAGGGTTGTGTTGGAGCAATTTCAAGGTGGATCTTCAGACTACATAAACGCCAGTTACATTGACGTATGAAAATTTTGAACCTAGAAAAAATTCTTAAAGCTTCGTTCAGGGGTACAAGAAGCCACGCGCATACATCGCAACTCAAGCCCCAAAAAAGCAGACCGTTGTGGACTTTTGGCAGATGATTTGGCAGGAAAACGTGCCCGTAATTGTCATGCTAACGAATCTCATTGAAAGCAACAAGGTAATATTGAAAAAAATCAACAGCAACAAAAATTATTGATGTGTTTCAGATCAATAATAATAATTATGATGCGATTGTAAATTTAGGTGAAATGTGAAAAGTATTGGCCAGATTTGCAAAAAAGTATTATCCATGGCTCACTGGAAATTCAAAACGACATTGAAGAGATTTTCAGCGATTTCATCGTTCGTACTCTCAACGTATCCCAAGGTTCCGCCTCAAGAACGGTTCGTGTAATAATCATTGTTAGTGAAACGAAAAATCACATTTTCGCCCAAATTAAAGGTTGTGCAGATGCATTACACAGGGTGGCCCGAAGAAGGTGTACCATTCTATCCGCAATCTGTAGCAACTTTTGCAGCAAAAATCGCAAACATCACAAATGGCCTGCCAATTGTAGTTCATTGCTGGTATTGTATTGTTATTGCATTAGTCACTAAATCTGTGTTAATTAAAAGTATTTTGGTGTAATTATAGAGTATCAATCAAGTAAAACTGCATCATTTGCTCTATTCTACTCATTGAGATACTTAATTATGACTTTTCAGTTCTGGAATTAGTAGAACCGGCGTAATTGTTTTGGTTGATGTGTGTATTCGAATGGCAAGAGCGGAAGGTTCTTTGGATATTGCGAAGACCTTTGGTGAAATGCGAAGCCAAAGAGTGAATTTTTTAGACAAACAGGTACAAAGCATCAATATTATATATCATATATTTTTTCCAGAGTTGGAAACTTTTTTTGGAGACCTTTTAAAAAAAAATAAATAATAATAATTTCTTATGTTTAGTGTCAATACGAATTTGCGCATCTGGTCCTCTTGGAAGCCCTAGTAATGCCACACTTTTCTATTGCCTGTGAAAATTTTCAGACGGAACTCAAGGACTTGTTTGTATGTTAATTATCAACTAATTTTAATTTAACTCATTGTTTTAATTTGGTTTGATTGTAAACAGAGCCAGAATTACACACGCCTGTCAAAACAGTACAACACACTTAACGAAATCTGCGAAAGAGAATGGAAGAGGTCGAAGCGGATTGGCTTGGAAAATGACATGAACGATTACCAGGATGTAGTCAGCAGTAAATTTATAAAAAAAATTTATATAAATATTTTTCATGTTTAATCTGTCTTCTAATTTTCCTCATCAGCGCCTGCTCAATTAGTGCAAATTTATCAACAAGAAATGAACACACGAGCGACGGTCACTAGTGCAGTATACGTTGATGGATTCAAGAAAAACAAGCAGTTTATCGCGACGAAAATGCCCAAAGCCGAGGATGTAGAAATTTTCTGGAAAATGGTGCAACAACACAAATCTGAGCAGATATTTATTTTGAATAATTTGCTGAAGGAACAGGTACTGACAGATAAATTAAAATTGAGGATAGGCACCGCGGCAAGCACCAAAGTAAAGCAGGTTGCATGCTAACTATTAATTTGTTTGCAGGAATCTTTCCTAACCCATTCACGCCAAAAATTTGAAGGTTTCTCAGTGGTCTTCAACACTCAATTTAAGCTACAGAATTGCGCGATAAAAAAATATACAATTGAATCGGTATTTTACATATAGCATAAATGTAAAGAGTCCGACCAAATTAAAAATTTTACAACTAGGGGGCTCAAAATTCGTTCATGGTGAATGTCCTGTGTTTCAATAAATGGGCCCCGACTCAAATTCAAGGACCAAAACCTAGCGAATTGATTGAACTTTGGGAAGAAACTGAGTTGGCACGTCGAAACTCTATCAGTATTGTAGTTTGCAAGTGAGTAGTGGATTTTTTCAATACAACAATCTAGTAAATAAATTGTTATTTATAATAAAAGTGATGGAATTACTGCTTGTGGACTCTTCATCAGCGCAGGATTTGTTGTTGAAAAGATAAAAATGGAGCATGAAGTGGACGTTGCATTGGCCGTGCGTATTCTAAGAAAATCCAGACCAAAGTTTATAGCTTCGCTGGTAAGAATTCATGTAAAGTAAATTGAAATTTATGAGTTTTTTTTTTAATTTTTACAGAAACAATATGAAGCACTGCATCTGGCTGCACAGGCGTATCTTCAAAATTTTGATAATTATGGCAATTTTGATGGAAATTTTGAGCCGAATTGAAGTCTTGATAACAACAGGAATATTATAATAAAATATTCATAAATTATTAAATGACATTTAATTATGCTAGATTTAAATTAATAAAAATTATGAAAATGGAAAGAAGAAAACAAGGCAGCAAAAACTAGTTACAACATAATTTATTAGTAAGAGAATTTATTCAGGTTTAATGATTTAAGTTCTATTTTATTTCATTTTGAAAATTTGTAGTTCACAAAAATATTTAATTAATTTGTTTTAGGATTTTTTATTTTGCTTCAGAATTTCTTATCTATTAGGTTACAAATTTTAAGTTGTACCGTTCAATAAAATTGTGTTGCTTACAATTAGATATTAAATTTTATTTTGTATCAAGGTCTGCGCATTACAACAATAGACAATACTGAGCAAATTTTTATAGTTGTCGAGCGTTCTGATTCAGTCTACACTTGCTCTGTCGTTATTTTGACGATGCGTAAGTGTAGAGAAATGAAGGAGAATTATTAGCTAGCGTTCTATTACTTGTGTTCTCCGTACCGGAGAATAAATGTGACTTTTAATACAGAATGCCTGGCTTTGATAGCTCGCGGAAACTCGGAAATGAAGCAAGAAAAATAGGCTGATAAAAATCAGCAATTTTTTATTTTATTTTTTGAGTCTAATGAAAAGGTTTTCATATAAATTTATAAACTGCTGGTGGTGTTGCGCAAACAAGGAGATATATTTGAAAAAAGGGGCTCTGCAAGTGTACAGTATTGGACGCTCAACTGCCTCTTGGGAGAACTTTCTAGTTTCAGATTTTTCTGGGAGTCACAAACATTGATCAGAGCCCCTCAGCCCGCATATTGGCACCTGATCCTGTACGTAAATTTTTATTTCGAGAGAGTTTACAGAATTATGAACACCAATTTTTCTTAAAAAACTTTTTATATCTAACAATTTCAACAATTTCTAAGAAAAAATCACATTCCATAACCGTTAGTTATTACATGGGATTTTCTTTTATACTTACTTTGAAACATGAATTTTAAAAATTCAAAGCAAAGTCAATACATTGGACATTTTAATTCGATTTCCAAGCATTGGTTTTTCTCTATCAGTTTATGAATCCATGTAAAAGTTTCTTTTGAAACATATTAAAGATGTGGTATGGGAAAAAAACGAATGGAAAATGAATTTCAAAAATTCAGATCTTCTTTTTCGGAACCTGAAATGTAGCTGCTCCGCTTTAATATCATGGGTGTCTGGTACACTTTGTTTTAATCGAGAATTTTAACATTTTATAGCGGAATCATTTAATTTTGAGATAAAATTGGAGGACAAAATCAAAGGTGGACTAGGCTATAATATTTCATAATTCGCGTCACTAGGCGTTAATCCTAAATTTTGCAACATCATTGCACAGTCGTAGATTTTTTGATCCTAAAAGTGTAGGTGTAAAAAAAACCACGTCTAATGGAAAATGCACTTGCAAAATTCAGCTCTTCTTTTTCGGAACCTGAAATATAGCGCTCCGCTATAATATTAAGAGTGTCTGGTGCACTTTGTTTTAATCGAGAATTTTAACATTTTATAGCGGAATCAATTAATTTTTAGATAAAATTTGAGGACAAAATCAAAGGTGGACTAGGCAATAATATTTCATAATTTGCGTCACTAGGCGTTAATCCTAAATTTTGCAACATCATTGCACAGTCATAGATTTTTTGATCCTAAAAGTGTAGGTGTAAAAAAAACCACGTCTAATGGAAAATGCACTTGCAAAATTCAGCTCTTCTTTTTCGGAACCTGAAATATAGCGCTCCGCTATAATATTAAGAGTGTCTGGTACACTTTGTTTTAATCGAGAATTTTAACATTTTGTAGCGGAATCAATTAATTTTTAGATAAAATTTGAGGACAAAATCAAAGGTGGACTAGGCAATAATATTTCATAATTTGCGTCACTAGGCGTTAATCCTAAATTTTGCAACATCATTGCACAGTCATAGATTTTTTGATCCTAAAAGTGTAGGTTTAAAAAAAACCACGTCTAATGGAAAATGAATTTGAAAAATTCAGCTCTTCTTTTTCGGAACCTGAAATATAGCGCTCCGCTATAATATTAAGAGTGTCTGGTACACTTTGTTTTAATCGAGAATTTTAACATTTTATAGCGGAATCATTTAATTTTGAGATAAAATTGGAGGACAAAATCAAAGGTGGACTAGGCTATATTATATTAAAATAATCATCTCATGAATAATCTACCTCCAGTGTTAAGTTTTATTAATTAATAAATTTATTGTTTTTAAATAAAATTGTCCCTCTTACATTATAACCTTTTTTATTATATATAGTTTTATTTTTTGCCTCTGACGATTTACAATCTCTAGGCTTCTTAATGGAAGGCAAAAAGTACAACAGAATTAACAATGGTTGGAGACTTAGGCAGTAAATTATTGGAAACCAGAGAGGAACGAGCGGCGCGGCCAGAATTAATGTAGTCGGCCGCGATTCTCTCATGAACGCTTGTTGTAATTTGCAATGGAAGCAGCGTCGAGGTCGGAGGTCGAGCAGAGCGAGGCACACACGGACACCTCGCCGCTCAATAAAAATCGAAATTAAACGATGACGCGCGTTACACACTTTCGATGTTGTTTCTTGAGAAAAAAAAACGACGTGTATATCTTTGAGCGGGTTGGGAAATCAAAAGCAGCCTCTCGTGCTGACCTAAATGCATGTGATTTTAATTGGAATGGAAAAGTCGCGCCTTTCCTTTGGATGCTTTATAAGTTTGAGAGTGCGCGTGTGAAGGTTGATAATGCTGCAGACGCCTTTTACAATTAGTAACACTTTGGGATAATAGATGATCAATTGAGATCGGACAAAAAAAATGTCTTTACCATGCGCATATTTGTTAAATTTATTTCATGATTCAAAAAATAAATTTTACTCTTATTTTAAGTTCTGCATTTTTCAAAATTATTTAGTTGATTTTTAATTTTATTGAAAACAAAGTTTGTGAAGTTATTTTTTTTTTTATCTAATTCAAGTTTTCAATACCATATACACTTAATTTTATGATCGATTTTAGGTTAAACTTTTAATTAGTTAACTCTAACAGACGAAAAGGATAAAAAAAAACCAGTGCAAGTAAGAAGAGGTGCTGGATGGGATTGATAAAACTTGAAATATTGGTTACTAATAAATGAATTTTACAAAGGGATAACATAATTAATAGTGATCATGTGAAGAAAACCTTTAGCCAGAAAAAGACAAAATGAAATCGCAACGAAAAGTTGGGTTCGTAGATTGCCCTTAAATCATACCTATTTTCACATACATTTCTACATTTTTTCCCTTTTCCATCAACAATCATCATTGACATTTTCACATAACAAAAATAATTAAAAAATGAACAATCTTTTTCAATCAATTTCTCTTTTTGCAAAAATTAATTTTTTCATAAGACGGTTTTTACTATGAAAAAAATAATAGCTATTTTTTTGTTTTAATAATAAGATACTTATTTGAGTAACTCTGCTCTGGTGGGCATTGTTTATTTTATGGGCAAATGTTTATACGCAGTTGGAAAGAGCTCATCTCTGTTTGCGATTCGAAACCCAATCCGCTTGGGCGCGTAACTCACCCAACGCGAGCATAAAAAGTGTCGCAACAAGCGAGTCGCGGCGCAAAAAAGCAACTTTAAATAATTGCATATTGAGCGGCGGCGAGTGCTGCGCAGTACACGCCGTGTAAGTTCTCGATTCACACATAAGCACATGCAAATAAGCTACGAGTGGGACATTTCTCGCGAGTATTCAAATGTAATGGGTCAATTGGCGCCACGACAACATGCGCTCCGATTAATAATGCAAGTCATAATCACACGTGCACTAAAAATGCAGGGAAAAATGACAAGTATATATATATATATAAAAATCCAAAGTTCTGCTGTTCTTGCAAAGGCACTGACCTGCAACTGGAAAAAACAACTTTCGCAATTGAGAGTGATCGAAATGCGCGGCACACAGAGCTTAATTGGCGTGGGCGGTTTCCCACAGAGTTTGGATTTTATTATTTTGATCTGGTTTTCACCGGAACGTGTGCAGTTCAACGAAATGTTTACAGTCTCTGTCTCGAGAGCAATCGCTTTTCAGAAATCTTACTTAAAGTTCAATACAAAAATACTGTATAAAAATATTTAGAAACTCGGAAGCTTGAAATTTTGTTAATTTTTTTTTTAAATAATGAATATATTTCGTCATTGGAATTAATAAACGCAAAAAATAATTTGAATTGTTTGTAAAAAAAAGGTGCTTATTCCTTTTTTTAAATGCATTTTGAACAATAATTATTATTTTAGTTTAAATTTATCGGACTTTCATTCGTTTCGAAATAAATGATGCGTCAAGAGGAATTTATTAACTTTATCAGATCGTTTATCAGATCAGGGCCGTTATTTGACAGAACCACTGGACTTGTTAGCAAAACTATTCGAAGCTTTTGAAATATCTGCTTTGCTTTTCACGCACCAGTAAGCTAAAAAATTTGCATTCCATGGCAAGACAGGAGCTCTCCGTCCTGTTCGTGAACGTTTCTAGGCCAAAAGGTCGTCTTCGAAATGCTCTTCTGGATTAAATTACAACTAATCTCTCGGATTGTGAGAAAGATCTTGAGCTTGTGTTAAGAAGGTGATTCGCAGCGACAGGCGATCAGCGAGAAACAGAAGGGTCGTTGCGTGTAGAGAAATTTGTCACCGCACGCGGTCATAGAGTTGCGACAGAAAAAGCGGCCGCACTGTTTTGGCGGAGGAAAACGCCGATCGGATCGAATGACCAACGCTGCAAATTAATTCTATAGAGACGTTTGAAAGGAGTGTTGAGTGGCGCATACGGTCCAGGGACGGACATTTGTCAGCACAATATGAGGTCATATTGAGGCTGCTCATAAATTTTAATGCTGCCAAATTTCTTATATATAAAGAAACAATGCAAAATCAATGATACAATTTTTATGTAATGTTAATTTTAATTTTCCTCTTCAATTGAACTAACAAAAATTTGATATTTCTTGCTCGAAATTTCATTTTTTTTCTTGCTAACACAAACGAACTCATTTATTTTTAAGTCTCTGTAAAATATTTTCTTAATTAAAACTGATTTCTAATCATATTCTGAACTTTATTTCTTTCTTTCCTGTCTCTAAAAAGTAATCGTTGAGCCCGTTTAATCAGTTCGACAATCAG